CCTGCGAGATTGGGATCGCTGTTACGAACACGCTGTATCTACGCACTCCCCTCTTTCGGGAGGACTGCTGCCAACCGTGAAATCGAGACTTCACCATGTTCAAAGTGGCCTCCATGGCAACAAGGATCCCTGGAAGATTGGGATCGCTTTTAGGAACACTCTGTACCTACACAATCTCCCTAATTCCGAATGACCGCTGCCAACCGCGCAAATGGAGAATTCCCTGAAATTAAATCGCGCGCCTCTCTTGCCAGCAGGCATCCAAGAATCTTCTAGATCAGTGTTCGGAACACGCTGTATCATCGCTTCCTCTCTCGATCATTGCTGACTGATGCCAACCGTGCAATTCGGGAATTCCCCAATCACAAGCTGCCGCCCCCATTTCGAAACAAGCATCGATGAGCCGGGCATGTCGGTTCTTTGGAACACCCTGTATCCGCGCTTTCCGCCTCCGACGGTGACGACTGCTGCCAACCGTGAAAATTGGAAATTCACCAAGTTGATACGGGGCCCCTTGGCGACAAGGATTCCTGGAAGATTGGGATCACTTGTAGGAACACGCTGTATCTACGCACTCTCCTTTTTTCGGGATGACTGCTGCCAACCGCGAAAATTGAGAATTCCCTGAAATTAAATCGCGCGCCTCTCTTGGCAGCAGGCATTCAAGAATCTTCTAGATCAGTTTCCGGAACACGCTATATCATCGCTTCCTCTCTCGATTAGTGCTGACTGATGCCAACCGTGCAATTCGGGAATTCCCCAATCCCAAAATGCCGCCCACATTGGAACGAAGCATCGATGAGGCGTGCAGGTCGGTTATTTGGAACACCCTGTATCTGCGTTTTGCCTCCGACGCTGACGACTGCTGCCAACCGTGAAAATTGGAAATTCACCAAGTTGATACGGGGCCCCTTGGCAACAAGGATCCCTGGAAGATTGGGATCGCTTTTAGGAACACGCTGTATCTACGCACTCCCCTTTTTCGGGATGACTGCTGCCAACCGTGAAAATTGGAAATTCACCAAGTTGATTCGGGGCTCCTTGGCAGCAAGGATCCGTAGATGATGGGGATCGCTTTTAGGAACACGCTGTATCTACGAACTCTCCTGTATTCCGAATGACTGCTGCCAACCGCGCAAATTGAGAATTCCCTGAAATTAAATCGCGCGCCTCTCTTGGCAGCAAGCATCCAAGAATCTTCTAGATCAGTTTATGGAACACGCTTTATCATCGCTTCCTCATTCGAGCATTGCACACTGATGCCAACCGTGCAATTTGGGAATTCCCCAATCACAATCTGCCGTCCCCATTCGAACGAAGCATCGATGAGCCGTGCATGTTGGTTATTTGGAACACCCTGTATCCGCGCTTTCCGCCTTGGACGGGGACGACTGCTGCCAACCGTGAAAATTGGAAATTCACCGGATTGATACGGGGCTCCAATGCAAGAAGGAACCGTGGAAGATTGGGATCGCTTTTAGGAACACGCTGTATCTACGCACTCCCCTTTTTCGGGAGGACTGCTGCCAACCGTGGAAATCGAGACTTCACCCTGTTCATAGTGGCCTCCATGGCAACAAGGATCCCCGGAAAATCGAGATCACCTCGAGGAACACTCTGTACCTACACACTCTCCTTTATTCCGAATGACTGCTGCCAACCGCGCAAATTGAGAATTCCCTGAAATTAAATCGCCCGCCTCTCTTGGCAGCAAGCATCCTTGAATCTTCTAGATCAGTTTTCGGAACACGCTGTATCATCGCTTCCTCTCTCGATCATTGCTGACTGATGCCAACCGTGATAATTGAAAATTCACAAAGTTTCGAGTTTCAGTTTTTGAAACATGTTTTAGCTTTACTCCTTTTCTTTCGTGCGGGCTGACTGCTGGCAAAAGTGCGTTTAATGAATTCACGAAGTTTAAACTGTGCCTTTTTTGGCGCCGAGCATCAATGAATTATCGACGTCAGCATTTGGAAAGCCCCTGTATCATCTCTCTCTTCCTTGATCAGTGCTTCCTGCTGCCAGTAACTTAATTCGAGAATGCTTAAAAAGCGGGCCTCATTTGGCACAGTGCCTTTTAAACTCATTGATTTTTGTGTTTGGATCATGGTGTATTTACAGGGCCGGATTTACCTGCTTGCCGCCCATGGGCCGCATGTATTTTGCCGCCCCCTTCTCATTCGTTTTGAAACATAAATAAAAACCATCAAGTGAACGTACCGGAGGGGGAAGGGTGCAAAAGACGCGTTTATCGTGCTGGACAAGTTCTTGCGACAGCCCTGTCAACTGTGGACAAGGCCATCCATTTGTAAGAAATAAGCGAAAAAATTATGCATGAACAAACATAAATGCGGTTTCATAATTATTTTAACTTCCGCTGTCGCGCCGCGCTCACCGCTTGCGCACTGTATTTGGCGCCGTGCGTGAAGTATTCCTATACAGTCTTGTAGGCGCTATGCGGTTCACGCCGCGCCGACCGCTGCCGAGCGCACTGTGTTTGACGCAATGCGTGAAGTATTCGTGCAGTCTTGTAAGCGCTATGCGTTTCACGCCAACCTTTGCTGACCGCACTGTGTTCGATGCAATGCGTGAAGTTTTCATGCAGTCTTGTAGGCGCTAATATGTGTCACATGCCGACCGCCGCGCTGAGGGCTTCTCCTTTTCATCTCAAGTCCTCGTCATCATCGCTCTCTGCGCCGCGTCGCTCCAGGCCAAATTGCGTGTTTCGTTTCTCTCTTCACTCGACTAATCACAGGTGCTGTCATTTGTATCACCGAAAGACGATAAAATTAGAAAATACTTAATTCCCAGGAAATGAGAGATTTTGTCGCCTTTTCTAGATTGTGATTTTTTTTCTGAATCCGATTTTTTTATATACCTATAGATATACATTTAAAAAACATGGCAAAATTTTCCACCCCCTAGATTTGCCGCCATGGGCCGCGGCCTATGTTTTTTTTTTTTTTTNTTTTTTTTTTTTTTTTTTTTTTTTTTTTTTTTTTTTTTTTTTTTTTTTTTTGTCTTTGTTTTTTGTTTTGGAATGATACTCCAGCATGAGATGCAAAAACGCGACTTCCCTCCCACGTAAAACTGTTCAAGAAAAAAAAAGTTTGCATAATTAGGCTTCAAACTGCGCCGATCAATTATTAAGGACAATACTCACTTGTGCATCTGCAAAAGACAGTACATCAGTTGGATTGCATTTTGCAAAAAGAAACCACTAGCATTGCAATGTTGCTAAGATTGTGCAACTTCTTTTGTCTTGGAGGAAGAACCCGAAAATCCCTTAATAGTTTCTATTTTACTCACTGAAAACTGTAAATTTAAGACAAATATTACCATCTAAATTTCATAGTTTTTCACAATTTCCGCAATTTTATTGCAAAGGATGAAGTTGCACAATCTTAGCATCATTGCAATGCTAGTGGTTCCTTTTTGCAAAATGCAATCCAACTATACACCACCAAACACCAACTAACATACACCAAACATTCACCAAAATGAACCATGGCAAAAAGTAATTTCATCCGAATTTCATGTTTCCAGTGTCATGATAAAACGTTGTTATTATTGCGTACAAATCAACACCATACAACAAACGAATCGTTTCGCAATATCTTCCCCACCCCTCCCTTCCATCCGAAATAAATGATCATAGGACGGGATAGGGTGGAGAAGGGGATGCGAGGAAAAGGGATGAAAAATAAAAACATGGTTGAAGCGAAATAGAAATTCTGATAAAACATGTGCATTTGGTTTTCAGATTAAAAAAACACCCGGTTAATGACAAGCCAAAACAACTCGATGAAGTCATACACTGTTTCCAACCCAAAATTAAATCAATCACATCAATGAATAGCAAAGTTATCTCTGAAATTGTGGGTTATTTTTCAAATGTCCCACAGGAATTGACGGACATTTTTCAAAGACACAGGAAATTAAAAGTTCCCTAAATGCTTCTTTTAATCAAAGACTCTTTAGGATTAGTCGGGAAAAACTATAATATAACACAGGTGAATTATTTCATTCTCATACTTTCACAAAAAGCGGTTACTTGCTCCTACTCAATGCTTTACTCAGCAACCACACTTGACGCGAAGTTGTGCTGATAGTATCGCAGTCGAATTGAAGGCGATTTACGATGTAATAAGATCTCCTTATACGCTAACAATAAGACAATAGTATTGGATCCGACTCGTCATTCTTCAAGGAAAATTTCAGTGCCTGATCGCGTAACAGCATCAACTTTTCAAATTTACATTTAATCAACAATTTACTCTTTAAAATAAAATAACTAAAATATAGTAGGTACATCGACTATTCGTATTAAGCTAATGGAATGATTTCAACATCCATATTTGTAATCCAACTCAACTTAAATTTGAGTAACATAAATGAACTCATAATTTCTTCAAAATCAATTTCACATAACAATTAACATTCAAATAATCAAATCAAATCACTGTATTGATAGGACAGATTTAAAGAATAAGTTGGATGTTCACACCAATTCATAAATTCGACAAAAATGTAAAAATTTGTAGGGATTGTGACCCGGCTCCCCTTCGCAAAACTTCGTAGCGCGAACCCGGACTCCCCCTTAATAATCACGTATCGCTTGCTTGATCCGTAACGTAAGATCCCAAAAATGTAGAATTTGCACACACAAATTTCATTGCTTCATCTGAGAGTGCTTATGAGCTGAGCTCGCAGTATTTTGCATAATTTTTTTCTGACATAGGGAATTGGAGAAAAATTGATTTAAAAGTGAGAAAATGTGCCGCCGTATGACGTTATCTGGCGGCATTTTCCATTTAAACACACGTATTTCTGCAGATCAGGTTATTTTGTCATATTTTCTCCAGTAATTGTCCAATTTATAAACCAAGGATATCCTCGTACTCAGTTTTCCTAGCAGTATTATTTTACAGATAAAATTCACAAAATTTCAGACACCTATAAATTCTCTATTGTGGGAAACTCTTGAATATGTAGCTGAATAAAATTTGAAGTATTATTAATGATAGCGTGACAAATAACCTCGAAGGAATGAGGATGATATATTTTGGATACTGTGTGTGTTTTTACTAATAGAGAGGGTTACATGACGCTGACTGCGACCTCCTCTTTCCCTTGTAACGCAGCTTAACGCAGGCTCATACCTGCGTTATATCCAGAATACGCAGGGCAGGGCCAGACTCCACCGGAACTCCCTTGGGTGCGTCCATGATTTCACCCCATGACCCCCATCACAAGAGAGTGGACGGCCCCCTCTGGCGCTCCTTCGGTGCTTGACGACACTCTTTGCCAAGTGCTTTCTGCTTGCATTCCTTGTATTCCTTGCATTCCTTGCATTCCTTCCATTCCTTGCATTCCTTCCATTCCTTGCATTCCTTCCATTTCGTTCACTTGTTGGGTCGCGGTTTGACAATGAGTCAACGTCTGCCCAAAGTTGGATTTCAACAGCCTGCACCCTTCCAGCCCATCGTACAACTCCTTTCCCTGTTTGAGGACTTTGTCTCTGATCGGTCTGGCCGCGACGTTCACAGCTTTCGCCACCTCTTTGTATCCCATTCGCCCGGCAAGTTGCGGGTAGATTTCTTGAAAAGTTCGACCGAGCTCGGGCCCTATGAAAGATGACACGCCCAGCACGAAAATTCCAACGGCGACCAACAGCCTCTGTAAAAAGAAAGATTCGAATAGGTAAAATTGACTATGATAGATCGTCATCTTCTGGCCAGAGTATCACAAGCGCCATGGGACGTGTAAAAATTTCCGCCGCCATTTTATTTTTTTACAGAGAAATTGTTGGTTGAATCTGTTCGATTTCAACGAATTTTATCGGCAGCACAAAGAACATTCAGTGAAATGTTCAAACAGATTCAACCAACAATTTCACAGTAAAAAAATAAAATGGCGGCGGAAATTTTTAAACGTCGCATGGCACTTGTGATACTTTAGCCGTAATGTAACGATATGTAGGAGGGTCGTTCCAGTTACATCCCCAGCAAAACACAAGCAAATTTCAAACAATGCCCTGAAATTCTTCAAAATCGGTACAAAAAATGATCGAAATCAAATCCTCCCCTCCCTCGTTAAATGCCGCTTCTGGCCAAAGGCTAGGCGTTAGCAGGGAGTGTTCAAAGTACTTTGAAAATAGTATGTTGGAGTTTTTTGCCGACGTGCAGGGCCGGATTTATGGGCCGCGGCCCATGACGGCAAATTATGCGATTTTTTTAAACGTAGGTATGAAAAAAATCGTATTTAGAAAATAACTACAAACGAGAAAAGGCAACAAAATCTCTTATTTCCTGAGAGTGTAGCAATTTCTAATTTCGTCGTCTTTCGGTAATACAAGAGTCAGCACCTTCAATTAGTCGAGTTTTAAGAGGAACCAAACCCGCAATTTGGCCTGGAACGGCGCGGCGCAGAGAGCAATGATGACGAGGACTTGAGATAAAAAGGAGAAACACTCGGCCCGGTGGCGGTCGGCATGTAGCACATCTTAGCGCCTACAAGACTGCACGAATACTTCACGCATTGCGTTACAGTGCGGTCAGCCGTCAACAGCGGTTGGCGTGAAACGCACAGCGCCTACAAGACTGCATGAATACTTCACGCATTGCGTCAAACACAGTGCAGTCAGCACGGCGCGGCGCGGCAGCGGAGGTTAAAATTATTAAGCCACATTTTTGTTTATTCTCTCAAAGTTCCGTGAACTTTTGCTGGTCTCAGTGTTGACAGGGCTTTTGCAAAAAATGTGTCTAAGACGAATAAACGCGTCTTATGCACCCCTGCCCCTCCGGCACGTTCACTTGATGGTTTTCATTGATGTCTCAAAATGAATGAGAAGGGGGGGGGCAGAATGCAGGCGGCCCATGGGCGGCAAGTAGGTGAATCCGGCCTTGCTAACGTGCGTCAAAAATTCAGCATAAAGCTGAAAATCTCAATTCAGAGGAGAAAAGCTCTTAAAATGACAGAGGAGACTTTTTTTTTTTTTTTTTTTTTTAGATATTATACGTTTATTATATACGTTATTATTATTTAGATAAGGACTAGGACTGGAGGTACCTCGATTTATAATGGCGTGGCGTGAATCTTCGGCTATCAATATTTTTCCACTCGAGGCAATGGTAAAGAATCGATACATAGAAATTCGCTGCAAACACATTCTGAGAATCGATCCTTTACCATAGGTTTAAATATGGTAAATCAATCGATTCATCGTAAAACACGACACGTCACTGCGCGGTTAAGCGGAAACCGCGGATAATCCGAAATCAAGAAGTAAGACTCAAAGGCTGAAAATAAATTAATATTTCATACTTTCTACTACTACAAATAAAATACTATAAAAATAAATAAAATAACTACTACAAAACCCTAAGGAGACGCTCGAAAATTTCTGAAGTCAAATATCATTTGAGGTGCAAGAAATGAATGATGGAAAATGAGTGGAAGGTGTTGTAAAACTCACCGTAATTTCAAAGGAGAGCATTTTATAGAATAAAAGTTCAACGTTGTGTGCTGCACAGTTAAGAAAATAAGAGCACTGAAAAGAGAAACTTTAAAGGTTGTAGTTACAAATTATCAGAACTGGCAGATTTTCTAACCTTTTAGGATATTTATGTGAATATTCGAACAAGATTTGACGTATGCAGAGATAAATCAGGTGATAAGCTCGCAAGTACATTTTTTCGGACCGCGGAAATTCCTCAAGGGGCACTGAATGATTCATATTACTCAGTAATTATTCGTTTTATCTATCGATGGCAAAAGTCCGAAAATGCGTAACTCAGACTCAGTTTGCGAAGTTGTAAGTCTAGACGCCCTTGTTTTACTTTTCGGTAGAAAAACTAAACAACTGTTCTACCGTGCTGAGAAATAACGCCGAGAAATAAAAGAACGCCGCGCCGTCTGAACATTCGTATATTGCCAAACTTCCCCTTGTAAAATATTTAATTCTAAGGAAATTTATGAATATTTTTCCTTAAAATTTTCAGATATTGTAGATCAAATTGTAGATTAAATTCGCTGACAAATTGCGGACAAAATCTCCACAAGTCTCTTTGAAGGATCGTATTATATCAAACGAAATTTGGCAATGGCTGAGGGCTCATACGGCGTTTTTCTGTAGCATAGCAGTGTTTCTGTTTAAGTAAGTTTTCTGTAAATTTTCCACTCATTTCTAGAAAAAATTCATACAAAATTACGATTGCGATAAGTTTTCTTCGGAAATAATTAAATGGAATCGGAGATTTTCGAACATAGCAATTAAGATACACCTGTTTCGCATTAAGCCATCAGTATATTCGCAGCGGCTGATGGAATTACCGATTGTTCGATACAAAAAGTTGAATAATCAATTTGCAAAATTATGAATTCTTTGAAACCCACTTGCTATGTTCGTGATTTTTCCTTTATCTTGTTCCCGTTGTAATTCTTTACAATTTTTACTTTTTTCATGGCTGATAAAATATTTGCAAACACTCATTGTAATCGTGGGGAACGCATTTTGCAGTTTAGCCATCGCCGGATGTCCGCACAAAAAATTTCGACGGTTCATTCAGGATTCTGACGCCTTGATAACTTCAACGCGTCTTACATAATTGTCAGTGATAAAAGTGATGTCATTTGTTTAGTCGTGATATACTGCTATTTTTTCCACCTGCCTGTACTCAGTGCGCCTTCATTTTACGGATAAGCCACTTGCATGACGCATTCCGAAGTTAAATCGTTGTAAAACGGGTACGATAGATGGATTACATTTTGCAAATAGGAACCACCATCTCTGGATCCCCCCTAAGCACATATCTGCACAGGGAAACCAATGGTATGTATGTTGTTTCTAAAATGGGCCAGAAATAGTGGTTCCTTTTTGCAAAATGTAATCCAGATGTCGGATAAGTACTGAATGAGACACGCACTTGAGAGTACTTAAAGCCAATGAGCTAGCATTGCCAAAAGCGGCAATTTTAAGCATTTATCAAGGCTATAGTTTCATCAAAAATTAAGAGGGATATTACAATGTAAGTGGCAGCTCTGCACTCACAGCTTCCTGTCTCATGCATGTGAACTCTGTAAATGGGTGCAATTTTACGGCCGGAATGAGGAAAGGTCAGTTTCCTGCATTACTTCACTTTAGTGCAGTTTCCTGCTGCCATATACAGTTATCATCAGCAGGGAAGGGGGAAAAAGAAGAAGAAGAAAGAGGACATGTCGAATTACCTATTGACAGTTGAATAAGTAGGCAAGTGCAATGGGTTCCGAGTGCCTTTTTACGGAGATTTTTTTTTAAATTCTCTTATCCCGAAGAATGTTTGTTTGAAGTCATATCCTTCTACGTCAGAAATAGAGCAAACTGAACGGATTTTAGTGGTTGTAAATCTGTCGTGTTTCAAACTTATCCACAGAGCTGTTTCCTCGAGTCCGGAGGGGGGGGGGGGAAGCGGCGATCAATTTTTCTTCTCCTTTTCCTCAGGGCAAATTATGTAAATTTTAAAATGTATTCCGTGTCGTTGTAAGGAATGGGAGCCTGAAGGGAGGGGGGGGGCTTACGCATGGAGATATTATGAGAATATATTAGTGGGAATTTTCTAAACTTGATTCAAAAGATTTCCAGAATTTTCAAAGAAAATATTTCTCGTACGAGTCTCAATCTGTGAAAGAAAATTTGAAGGAAATCCGAACCATACTTAATAGGTCTGAAGTGATCATGAAGCATGAAGAGCGTCTCAAGGAAGTGTCGGATAGAATCAATGGAGGATATATTTTATCAAGAGCAGGGCCTGACTTACCTGCGTGCTGCTCATGGGCCGCATGTATTTTGCGGCCCCCTTCTCATTCGTTTTGAAACATCAATAAAAACCATCAAGTGAACGTGCCGGAGGGGGAAGGGTGCATAGGACGGATAAGACGCGTTTATTCGTGTTGGACAAATTTTTGCGATAGCCCTGTCAACTGTGGACAAGGCGATCCATTTATAAGAAATAAAGTGAAAAAATTATGCATGAACAAACATAAATGTGCTTTGATTATTTTAACTTCCGCCGCCGCGCCACGCTCACCGTATGCGCTGCGCACTGTATTTGGCGCCGTGCGTGAAGTATTCCTACCGATTCCTTCAGTCTTGTAGGCGCTATGCGATTCGGCCGCCGCGCCGCGCCGCGCCGACCGCTGCCGAACGCACTGTATTTGACGCAATGCGCGAAGTATTCATGCAGTCTTGTAGGCGCTATGCATTTCACGCCAACCGTTGCTGACCGCACTGTGTTCGACGCAATGCATGAAGTTTTCATGCTGTCTTGTAGGCGCTAATTTGTGTCACTTGCCGACCGCCGCGCCGAAGGCTTCTCCTTTTCATCTGAAGTCCTAGTCACCATTGCTCTCTGCGCCGCGCCGTTCCAGGCTAAATTGCGTGTTTTGTTTCTCTCTTTACTCGACTAATTAAAGGTGCTGTCTTTTGTATCGCCGAAAGACGATAAAATTAGAAAATACCATACTCTCAGGAAATGAGAGATTTTGTCGCCTTTTCCCGATTGTAATTTTTTTTCTGAATCCGATTTTTTTATATTCCTATAGATCATACAAAAAAACACACCACACAACAAAAAAACAAAAAACATTGAACTGGGTACATTTAAAAAAAATTGCAAAATTTGCCGCCCCCTATAAATTTGCCGCCATGGGCCGCGGCCCATGTGGCCACCCCCTAAATCCGGCCCTGATTAGGAGGATTTTTATCGTGAATCACGGTTTTTAACGTGGAAAAAATTACCGTACTAAGTGTGAGCCAAAAAATGGACCTTCCGAAAAATCTGGTTCCTAGCAGTGCGAACTGCGAATAATGAGGTATGTACTGAAAAGTAGGTGAGAACTGTTTAAACAGGAGTCATGTTACGGCAGTACTCCTGTGCATCAGCTACTTCTCGTAGTTGGGATCGATTGACCAGCAAGAGAACAGTCAGTATCAACGGCAGCTCGCCATAAATTGTGGCTGTCATGCACCAGTTCACTTTCTCTTCTGAACCATAAATTTATGACCTCCAGCGCACCGAGGCAGTTGCGATCGGTTGCGCGTGTAAAATCGCGCGCTAGATTTCTAAAAGAATGCAAGGACCTTCAAATAACCTCGGGTTGCCTCTCAAAATAACACTTTCAGCAACCTAACCTTTAATGCACTAAAAATATTAATTTTCTATTGTCAATATTTGTGAAGTATACATCAAAATGTTCAATTTCAAATGCAAGAAATTGGACGTGTATTGATGTTTTCGCAGGAAAAAACTAAAATTCTTTTGAAAATTGCTTACTAATATTTTCTGTACAGTGTAAAATAGCATGCGATTGTTGCCAACGTGGAGTCAGCTGTCGCATCCAGCGTGTTCGGAAAGTTCCGTTATCTCTTGGTACTGGTGGTTATCAGTCCTTGTCGGTGTAATTAATTGCATTCTTTCCGATAATTCGTGTTTGTCATTTGAGTAATCTCGCAAAACTATCAGTATGTCAGAACCAGTGTGCAAGAAACCCAAAATGCCGTCCACGCTAGCTCAACTTAAGGAATTCACCACTGTGGTGGCCGATACTGGCGACTTCGAAGGTAATCCTTAAATCCTTGATACTATGTAGAGGTTAGAAAAGTCACATTCAGGGGTCAACCTGTTGATTACTATAACATGACCAAATAGTTCTCACACTTTACTATTTTTAAACCCAAGTCACCCTTTCACTCTGCAGCTTCAAGGCATCACTTCAATGATACTGTAATGTCATTTCAGAAAGAAAATTGGCAACATGAATTCCATCGCTCATGCCTCTTGGTTTTAAGCAGCAAAATCTTGTACCAGGAAGAGTAGATGACATAAGGTTGCACGAACTTCATGCTTTTATTTTTCTAATTGAAAGGAGGTCGGTCGAACTGAAGGCAGTTACTTACCTTACAAGTGACGTTACACTGACGATTGTATGTTGATGACTCTTCCTGTACCTATGAACTCATACAATTCTACAATTTTGGGGGCAAAATTCATTCTGATCGTATCTGGCAACTTTCATCCTCTAGAAACTTCCGGAATTTTGTTTTGTTTGGGTGCATCACAGGTTTTGCACGCATCTTTCACTTAACGATCTCCAGACATTTCCGTTGCTTACCTGTCAGAGATCTTGAATTTCATGAACCATTCCAGAACATTTCATTAATGCCGCATTGAGTAAAGCAGCTGTTCCTACAACAGGTTTCCTGTATTTTACACATCTGTTATCTCATGGAGTCTCCTAGGTTGTCTGGTCATCTTTCACCCTTAGTAATTTTTTAAATAACACAAAATATTAGAGATACTTTTACAATCTATTTTGGTTTTACTCATCATAATTTTGGAATTTTTTGTAGCCATGAAGAAATACAAACCCACGGATGCAACTACAAATCCGTCTCTAATTCTTATGGCAGCATCCATGCCACAGTACAAAAATATCATCGATAAAGCTGTAGAATATGGAAAGAAGAATGGCTCGTAAGTACTTCTTAAAGAAATTAATTATTTCACCATTGTCACTCAGTAAATTAAGTACTCACAAGATTTGAAATCTTTGCCAAAGCAGACAAATTTTTATCTTGAAATGGGTTGTACCTACTGAAAGTTCAGCACGCTTGCTGCGTTTGAGCAGACGGTAACACCTAGCTATCGACACAGGGCTTGCACAGGGTTCTAGATTGAATCCATAGCTTTAGGCGTTGCCTACGAGAATGGAGAGGCCGTAACTAGTCAGTTCTGTGACGTCAAGCTAGTAGATATTTACCGAAAACAACAAGCATCTCCGGGTCATCAGTGCATCGATGAGTGAGGCAGTCGCTGCGTGGACCAATCAGAGTGGCTCTCGATCAGCCAAAGTTGCGCGAGCGGCCCATTTGAATCTGAGTGGAGTAACGATTTTCGGTATTACGCATTCATTTCCTCGATATTTAGACAATGTCACAAATGAACTAGTTAGTTTTCTAAAGTGAAATTTCATCCTCTTTCTAAACGGTTCTTATGAAATTTTGCGTCAGATCAACCCTGAAAGAGATATCGGCAAGAAATCATCGCGCGGCAAGCGTTCTCCCATAAGAACGCGTGTTAAACCGCGGCCGAGTTTCATCTACTAGTGTGACGTCACAGAATCGTAGTTACGGCCTCTCCATTCTCGTAGGCAACGCTTTAGGTGAACAAAGATCTTGCGCTGATCTCCAACTTTAAAATTTTAAAGTTATAGTATTTTAAAGGTGATGTATAGAGAGGCACCATAACATTTCGCCAGAACTTTTTTATTAAAAAAGCTCATTGCGGAGAACATAGAAGATCAAACTTTGATCGTGGAAAGAATGATAGGAAAGAGTTTGCAACAGAGAGTATAAGTGGCAAAAGTGTGACATTCCAAAAAAGTTACAATGAAAACGAGTGGAAGAATCTCAAGTGTTGGCACACAAGCTCAGTCTGTTAGATCAGAAGTTTGCAATCACGCAGGCATTACTCATATTCATGATGAATACTGACTCTTAGGAAACGCAACATTTTATCATTAGTTATTATTTTGGGAGTGGTTTTTCATGGAAAAACAGCCAAAGAGAAATGAAAGAAATTTGTATGAAGAACTGATGCTTTTTCTTAATATCATCATTCTTCTTGAACATGAGAAATGCCCGCACGACTGCAAATTCTAATGTGACCAACTAAGCTTACTCTTAGAAATTAGGAGCTGAAGTTTCTAACTTGAAGAGAGCACTTGAGACTATAATACTAGGCACATTGACCATCCTTGGTCTTTATTGTCTGGCTAGAAATGAGAAAAGAAAAGAAATGAACAAATGTCACATCAGAGAATGGCACCATTTGACAGGAATTCATGTGCTAACCGACTGATGATTGATACATTCAGGTTGATTCAGGACTTTGGCTCATTCTTTTCTTTCCCCAATTTGATACTCTTGCTGTTCCAGCAAGTTAATGCTTCTGTTAGCAGCACTGCAACGATTTTTCTCAGTTCAAACCTTTACCCTCTCCTCTGAGTTTATTTTTGTTTTTTTGTTTGCAAGTTTTTTCAACTCAGCTTTAATTCTCTCGTACTGAAATTGAGTGAAAATTTCTAATTCCTATGAGTTTAATGAACCCATACGCTTTTCTGTTTCCGGAAAATTCTTACTAGCCAGTGGGCGTGAAGTTTAAAAATACAGCTGTGAACGTTAATCAATTCCAGATTTCTCTTTAGTTTTCTGATCACTCTGTGAAGAATAATAAAAACTATTCTGTGAGGAGATGAATGAGAAAAAAAAGCAAATTATTTTGAAGGGCTATGCAATGTTACAAATAAGAAGAACTTTTGCAACCTACCTATAAATTTATCAGTTTTTTCTTATCTCCAGCAGTTAATCTTGTACATTTCAATTTTGTGTTTTCGTGCCTTAATACATTTTGCATGTTAAAAGTCAGTTTTCTCAGTAAGGAATTACATTTCTCCTCTTTTTTCGATTTTGGGTTTCTGGGCCCACTACTCTTTTCTAGAAAGATAACTTTCAAACGCTACCTTATCCCTCAAGCTTGGCAACAAGGTTATCCTCCTCTGAATACTGTGTGAAAATTTGTCGTCACAGCCCATCACCTTATCTAAGTTTGCTTTGTAATCTGCCCTCTCATGGTTGCCAGGTCTTAAAATTCCCTTATGATTTCCCATGGAACCACTCTGTTACTCTGCATTAGTTGGCAATGTTTTGCTGAACCCGCTCCTCTGTTTTATTGATACTTCAATGTCAAAGCCAATGCCCTTGTTTTGCTTAAAGATCTCTCTTTCGCATTTACAGTAATAGAATTAAAATTTGTAGAGCCAAAGTTTCATTGGGAAGATGATTCCATGAATCTTTCATTTGATTTTAAGCTTCCGATTTACAAAGTAGATCAATGAATTTCACAAAAAAAAGCCTCTTAAAAAATTCTTTCAGCCAAATTGTCAGTGTTAATTCTTCAAATTTTGATGATAAGAAGTCCTTTTTCTGCATGTTTCATACTGCTAGAGATGTTTAAAGGGCAGGTCAATATCATAGAGCCATGAAGCCCAAATTCAATGGCAGCAGTACACAGTTAGAGTCCATGCCAAGTAAATCAACGCACTTTTAGACTGCGACAGAAGGTCTGTCATCTTGATTCTTGCATGTACTTTACTTGGAAAAGTGACATGAGCCGATCTTCTGTCCCAGTTTAATAGTGCATAAACTTATCTGGCATGGACTCCAGAAGTTGATTACAATTACGTTAACCAGTATCTGTACAGCTAGTTTCTTATTGTGTCAGAAATAAACGTTTCAGCTGAGGAAAGACAGAGAGAAATGGAAATCTCTCTCTAGTAACCAAGTCATGGTAGAATATTTCACTTTTAAAGATCCAACTTTTCCTTAATAGGAGCATTAGTTATACCACCCTCTTCTCGGCTGTTGAGCCTTCCTTGGGTTGCGTAATAAGTCCATGGTAGAGGGACAAACGTCAGGTTCGTGATTAATTATTTGACCCTGAAGTTCCTCATTCAAACTTTTCTGTCCTGCTTTTGTTCTTAAATTCTTAAATGTTCTTAAATTTTTTTTACAGAACTCCCAGTGAACAAGCAGAGGCTGCCCTTGACAGACTAGTCGTCTTGTTCGGACTTGAAATCTTGAACATCATTCCCGGTCGAGTTTCCACTGAAGTCGATGCCAGGTAACCATCAGTAATCATTTTTTGCATTTTTTACTGTCAACAGGGCTGTAGAAATTCCCAATCACCAGCAAGTTGTGCAAAAAATGAAAGTCTTTTATAACGAGGTTTCGAAAATGGGAATGCAATTATATATCTACAACTTTTAATAACTGTTTTTAATCAATTCTCATTTCCATTACTTTGTGGACACTGCTGAGCACTCTTTTAGGATTTCTCAATGTTGCCTTTTATAGAATATCTTTAATTCCGGCAAAACTGGGCATTTTTTTAACATTGTAGAATGTTAATTCACAATATTTCATTCTCAAACTATTATTTGAACTTTTCTCTGCAGCCTGCTCTTATTAGATTCTTGAGTTCATGTTATTAGAATTTACAGTTTAACTAGAAATAATCAGTGAAGCGATTTTTCTCCCTCTTTTTCAGGTTATCCTTCGACAAAGATGCCAGTGTTGCCAAAGCGCTGAAATACATAAAAATGTACGAAGAAGCAGGAATTAAGAAAGACCGAATCCTAATCAAACTGGCCTCAACATGGGAAGGAATCCAAGCAGCAAAGTACGTAATTATTTCTTGATAAGTTCAAGCTACAATGTCAAAATTCGAACTAGGATTAAGACAGTTAATGTAAACCTACTCTCAATTTTCTTTCTATTGTTAGTGCCAGAATTTTATTTGAGCAGCTGACTCCAATTAGGTATTTTGTAAAAGAAAGCTTTAGAATACCATTAAAAAAAGATAAATTGCCAAATTTTGCTTTTAGATATCTTAAAATAATCCTTAAACTCTTGATGTAATTTTATGAACTTACAGAATAAGTATTTTGAACGGTTATCTACGTAGACAGTGAGAGGGAAGCAACAAATGTTTGATCTCTGTTTGTCCAGTATTTGGTAAAGAAAAAGAAAGACTGGTATTTTTAGGGAAATGTGTGGAGATTATATACATGTTGGGTCTACAGTAAAAACATCTCCTAAACCCGTTTATAAGCAGAGATGTGTAGACATAGAATCTTTATTTAAATAATACATATTGATGCTGGAACGAAAAAATTACAGAAATTACATTTATATCAATTATTAATTTTTACCTCTTTCCCATCATAATATTTTTTTTGGTTTCACAATGGGTACATCACTAATGTTTTGGTAAATACTCACCGAAAACTAAACCCATTAACTTATTATATGAAAATTTGTACCCTTCTATTGTTAATTTTAATATTGGCATCGTTTCAGAACCCTAGAGACACAGCACGGAGTTCATTGCAACCTGACTCTCTTATTTTCATTTGCCCAAGCTGTTGCCTGTGCAGAAGCTGGCGTAACCCTCATTTCCCCATTTGTTGGCCGAATTTTGGACTGGTATGCCTCTTATCTTCTTTTAGTATTGATCAACTCTGCAGCCACAGAATTCTCAGTTCGTCAATTGTTGCAAATACATTACCCCTGGTAATGGTGAAAATTATGGAATCATCAAGCAAGCAAATCGCGGGCTAAGGAACATTACTGCCTAACTGACAATTTTGGGGAAAATGAGTCAGCGACTTTGCCGCATTCTTCAGTATTGAATATGCAAGCCGATGTTTTTAGTTTTTTCTAATCCCGCATGGAAGCCCTGTAAATATGCTGTAATGTATAAAAAAATCGCAAATCTGACCACAAAATTACAAAAATGGCGAAGTCTCTTCTTTGTCCCGTAAAATCGTCAGTTTGCAGATAGGCGGTATTGTTTCCTGTTCATCAAAATCTGCTTTACCAACTTAAAGTTGAGGACCTTGCATCAAATTTTGCAATTACTCATGCTGATGTCAGGTCCAAGCTTATATTTTTTCTCCAGCACTAACACACCATGCATCTCTTAAAAATCAGTGCAGGTAGAATTAGAGACCATGTAAGATTTCACCTGAACCCAGTTTTCATCACATCACAGCACTTGGAAATGCCAAAGCGTTCAGTGCATGCTCATGCTGAAAACTCCGAAGATATTTCATGCTGCAGAGAATTCATCTGATTTATGTGTTGCGCTTGTTTTGCCGCCTAAAATTTCTCAATTCCATATGAAAAGTGGTCATGCAAATTTCTATGAGTAAAACCAAGGAATTAAAAACAGAATAATATGTTGATCATTTTCTATGATTTGCTCAGTTTTCTCTGTAAAAGAACGATCAAATCTCTTTTTTCGTATTTGCTTTGCATTTGAAGACCGCTGTCTGCAGTTTATTGTAGTACTGTAGTTTTATTTCTTAAAGCTTGTACTTAAGTAATTCAATCAATGATTTTTGCCCTCAAGGTATGTGGCCAATACAAACCAGAAAACATATGAACCACATGAGGACCCAGGAGTACAGTCGGTAACTAAAATCTACAGTTACTACAAGAAATTTGGCTACAAAACAGTCGTCATGGGAGCCTCTTTCCGAAACACTGGTTAGTACTCCTAAATTATCTTTTACTTTTTTTTTTTTTTTTTTTTTTTTTTTTTTTTTTTTTTTTTGGGAAGATTTTAATTACTTATTTTGTCAATAGCTATGCTCAGGAGCAATTTGCCGGCTGATCATTGGTCAGTTCTTCGTTCAATAATTTGGGCACAATGAAAGTAAGCTCAAAGGAATGGACAGGATTACTTGTTTGATCCTATGATTCTCCTAATGGTAACTACTAAGCGCCTAGTTTGACTGTGACGTCAAACCTTGTTTCTATCTATTGAACCATCAAGAAAATTTGATGGTCTCTCTGGGAAACTTCAGTGTCATAAAATGCAAAATAGCAAGGTTTCGAGTGGTCTGAAAAACGTGGAAAGTTAGGAAATTTTGCAAGTAGCGCAATTTCAGTATGTTCTCGACCTCAGCCAGTTCCATTCAAGAAAGGGCAAACAACTTCCAAGTGCCATTCTCCATAATTTAAATCTTCAGAAATGGAAATTTGGTTCAAAGTTTAACAAAAGTCAGTGCCATTAAATGCTGAAACATCTGAGTGGAAATTTTGTTCTAAGATCTTGGGAATTAGGAAAGTCAGGAGTCAGGAAAATCGCAAGAGAAGTCAAGGAATTGGAAAATGGAAACAGCTGGAAAACACTGAAGGTGTCCGTGTTTAAGATTGTATTAAGGAAAGTTGCAAACAAACTTTTGGTGTCAAGTCAGGAAAAAGTGCAGCCATTAAAGAGCAAAAACCACGCAACATATTAACTCAACTGCGCTAGTAGAATTTGTTGATCCCAAGTGTATTTCTCAGGAACTTTGGTGCTTTTATTAATTTTACTGGATATCAAATAAAATACTTCAGAATACTAATGTATACCTTAATGTTTTTTATCCAGGAGAAATCAAAGCGTTGGCTGGTTGCGATTTACTAACCATCAGCCCAGGGCTTCTCGAAGAGCTGGACAAGAGCACAGAACCTTTGGTGGAAAGCTTAACGGAGAAATCTGGTGTGTATTCCTTCAAATATCCTTAAATATTTGTTAAGACCTTTATGATTTACATTTAATTTAAGAAAACTTCTCGTTGAATTGGATCTGCTAAAGGCTTTTAAAGAATCTGGTTGAAAAAGAAAGTACTGATTTTTTAAGAGTTGTCCGGAAGCACTGAAACAGTACGAAAATTCTGCAAGAAGATCTGGAATATTTTGCTTGATGCCAAGCATGTTTTTAAGACAGTCTGGACAGCATGCAATCCTTCGTGGATTGATTTTTACTGCAGTATTTGCTCACCACAGTGCGATTGTGTGGCCAGTTCATCTTTAGCCCACCAATTAGTTTCAAACTTCGTGGCTCCGTTATTTTTTTTTTGCAACTCACGTATGAGTTTCCAATTTTGTCTCATACAAGCACTAAGAAAGTATTTACCTTCCATTGAGATACTGAAAATTTTTGGAATATACTGTACAAGCACTGAATTTTGGCCAGCCAGCTTGAGTTAACACCCTGATAAATGTTATATTCTGATCTGAAGATCAACATGAAACATTTTTACCAAGACTATTCTCTATTTCCCATTTGTCCAACTCTGTCATAAGTAATTCTGTTATTCGCTTGTTCTAGACAAAACAGAGCGGTTTGATCCACAGAATAGATAAAACTTTACCCCTCATGCTTGCCAGGTTTAATCAGTGGTAACTTACCAAAATTATTGCGTGAATTGGGGGAAACTTCTTTTTCTGAAAACCCTCTTTCACCATTTCAATCAGCCCCTCATCCTGCTTTTAAGGAGGATACTTGCAGTGATAATAAGTGGTCTCAACATGAGCAACTTCCCTAACAAATGCTTCCGTAAATTTTCCAAATATTTTAGTGTTTGAAAATTCCCTCCCTGAAATTTCATTTTATAATTTATGTCTAATTGTATGTTGTAGCTAAGAAAACTGACCTAGAGAAGGTGTCCTACAACGAAGCGCAGTTTCGCTGGGAGTTGAATGAAGATAAAATGGCAACCGACAAACTGTCTGAGGGTATTCGCAAGTTTGCTGATGATGCCCGTAAACTTAAGAAGATCCTGCAAGATGCTATCTCCAAGAAGTAGGATGTGTAATATACATCATCCTATCCGTGCCTTCAAGATTCGCCCAGAAAAACAAAAATGTCTTCTCACTTGAAAAGTTTTCTTCCGTGTTCATGTATTCTGACTGAAATCATTTTTCTTTGAGCAAACTTAAGTATCTCTGTTTCAGTTATTAATTTCAATCTCTAGATAACGAAAACTTAATTTCTCACACTCACATCTTCTCAGAGTGACTGGCTACTTTTTTTATCGAGCCCTCACTATTTTTACTAATTCTCGTCTTCCCATAATGTTGCGTGGAAAAGTTTTATGATGAAGAGATTTTTAAACAGAGAGTATGTTCAATCAAACATTATCTGGTGAAATGATGTCCCCTTTTTTCTCAAAAAGGTGGCTTTTTATTTTAATTTAAGTTTTGTAATAATCATTGGAAACAACTCATAGTTTATATTTTTTGCTAATCTTGCCGAAGTGGCTCGATAAATGTTACCCAGTTTTTTGTGATTGCTTTTTCTTACTATTAAGATATTTTCTACTTAATATTGCAGCTATACAATTGTGTCTTTGAAAGTGCATTTCGATAACTGCATTCTAAATTATCAAAATTATTCCTTCTATCCTGTAAAGTTGCTAGAAGGAATTAGGTGACAATGACAGGTCCTTGAGTGCATTTTATTTTAAAGCTAGGTCTCAGATTCTGCAGCATTTAATTCTTTTTTATAAAAACATGTGATAGGAAACATTCCCTTTTTCCCAGTGCCAGTAAGTCTAGTGAACATAAAATAATAAATAAATTTTAAGATTTTTTAATTCCTTGAGAATAATTTAAAGTCTATTTTATGCTGTTACTTAAATTTTTAATTTTTTTGACTATCTATAGTAAATGTCATTTTAAAGTTGTGGTTGTCTATTTTTGGGATGGAAGAAAATAAAGTCAAGTTAGCTGTTTATTATCGGTTTTTTTTGTTTGTCATATTTCCAGTGATTCTTGAAACACAACAAACAAGATGTGCACTTTTGTAGTTTTACTGTCCTTTTTTTTCTTTTTCTTTTTCATTGTCTATCCTTTTCCACTCATTTCATCTTTCTTATTTAGTTTCAATCCTAGGATGTTGACACAGTGAAATATGTAAAATTGGGCTGTAGCCTCAAAAATCCTCCTTTAATTAGCTCTATGCCTAACTACCTCATAAATCAGAATTTCATATATCCATAAGTTTTGCTGCGTCTTCTAGTGGAGATCCACTAAATCATATAACCAACCATTAATCGGAGCAAATCCAACCTGCTTTCACGAAGTCAAGTACACCGCAAGGAGACAAAAATGCAAAAATCCCCCCAACTTGTGATTTTCTATTAGTTTAAAACAACTTCTGGATTATCATCCCAAGGATGCTGTCTTAAATCTATGTTGTTACATATCTTTAATGTAATGTATTCTTGATAGCATACAGAGATAAACAGAGTAACAAAAGACCCAAGTACAAATCATAGACTGAATAAAGAAACAATTGTAACAACAATTTTAAAAATTAAAATTTTTTAAAGGTAAAAAATGTCAGCAGAAATATCCTATAAAGTAACTTATAATGTTAGCACAGGAAGCTACAAGTATAAGGAAGCCCCATTAGGATTATGTGCAGTGCAAGCAAATAACCCATTCAAGTAACAGTGAGTGTGCAGTGAGAGTCACACGCATGACTTCTGAGAATAGAATTTGCTGAGTGTAGCAATTTCTGCCTCAGTTAACAAATAACTAACCCTCATTGTTGCCTCTAAATCAGGAAAGAACATCTGCAAAGCGAAACATGCAATCAAAGTTAGAACCATCTGGCTGTGTCTGTGTTGTTGAACTAGATAGGCATAAACTCTCGTCAAGATCCCTGCCGTTTGGCTGAATATGAAAATTTGACCTTCCTAGGGGGTGGTCTAATATCTCTAACCCAAATTGATCTCCTTGTCAAAGCCACACTTAATTTTTTTTTTTTTTTTTTTTTTAATCTTCAACACTGCTCTGCCATGTCAAAATGACTTTTTTGGTGGAACATTATGAAGCTAAAAAACTTGAGTTCTTTCAAAATTTAAAAACTACTCAGAGTCAGAGTGTACGTCAAATTTTAACCAGAGAAGTTGTGTAGAAGCTCAACGAGGACTCTTGATCTTACTTACAATGTTTTTTCCCCAAAATGAATTTCAGAAAAAATCTATCAAGAAAATATCACCACAAGAGCAGGCTCAAAACCCTCCTTAGCATCATCATCATCACCAAAAATTATCCTGCTAATAAGATAGACAGCAAAACGCTTAGTAGATTAAAGAAAATCGAAACTTTTTCTCCCAAACTACTTCTTTATTCCTTTACGCATTGACACGTTTTTACCACTCATAGGCCAGTGCAACCGGTGATAAAAGCCGTATCTCAGATGAAAAAAACATTGAGAGTAACGAAGAATAACTTCGCCTCGCGTCCGAGCTTCACCTCGCGGTTCAATTCATTTGAAACTCCTTCTTTTCGTCGAGTATGCAATTCGTGTTACTGGTCATTTAGGATACACATTTGCCTAGCACCAAGATGAAGGAGTTTGATTGCTCACGTTTGTAAGATGTTTTTACAAAAGGCCTTTATTGCGAATTTCTGGTAAGTTTTCTATGTCATGTGAGGCAAACCTACAGCTCGTGATGAATTTTCACGTGGAAAATTGAACTTTTGTAGCATGTGCTTTTTTAGGGTATTTTCCGAAGAAAATACACTTTTTTTTTTTTTTTTTTTTTTTTTTTTTTTTTTTTTTTTTTGTTCATACGCAGAGATATTTTGCACCCTCTTGTCAGTTTTAAGAGACATCAAGAATACATTTCAAGATGGACAATTCGTTATTATGTTCAAAAAGAAGGGGGAAAAAATGTCACACGCATGATGCGGTTATACAGGTGCGTGCCTCTTCCTCCATCGTGTACCCCACAATTGCTCATTTACGTAACGTTTCTCTTGCATCGGGAATTACGTAACTGACCGGAAAGGGGGCGGCGGGGGGAACACAGACTGTCAAATTTCATCAAGTGCTTTATTAGTTTTTGAAAATCACCGTTTTCGGATGGTTGACCGATCATAATCTGAGCGAATTAAGTAGAACTTTTGCGGGGCACTTTTACGAAGACTCCACCCCGCGCTTATTGCACCACTTAAAAATAAACGTCTCCCACCACCACTCGTTTAAAAAAAGAAAATTACACCGATAGTTTTTTTTAACAATTACATGTAGCCGCACAATCAAACCGCGCGAACTTCGATCAAACAACCGTCAAATTCGGAACCATCGCGTTGTTCAAAAAGTCCCGAAGAAGCGCCTGCGTTCAAGGCAGACGCGGAAGCTGGGGTATGCTCCGAGGCGTGGCGCGGGCGGGGGGCCGGGCGCCGGGTGACGTCACGGGGCGGGCGGCGCGGGCCAGCCGCCGGGGGGTCGGCCCCTCCTTGGCGGGACCAGCGCGGGCGAGCGGGCCCCACCGCGCCCGGCTACGCAGCCACGCACAGGACGCTGCCGAACTGGGCCCGATATCCGCTGTATTTCTCCTGATTCCGGGTCGGATGGGGATGGGGGGGGGCGTCGTCTGGCGATCAAGTGCAGGTAGGTCCGCGTCGCGACGCCTCGTTAGCGCGACCTCAGCCTAACAGCGTTGACACATTTCTTTCAGATCAGAGGGGAAGGGGGATGCATCGAACTGTGTTGAGGCAGTTGGATGAAATTATTTTTGCAAGAGTATTTAGACTAGGGTGTTACGATAAAATTTCCCTTTTCCTCGAGGACGCATAGCTTATCCTCGGAGATCCCTGGGTGAGAATTCAGTATCCCCAAATCCGAAACGTAAAGGGGCCGCGCACAGTGGCGTGGCATGCTTTGCGACATATCGATTGATCGGCTACTAAAACCTGTGGAAAAGTATCGATAAACAAGGTGTTCGCAGCGAACACCTTAATAATCGATTATTTACCTCAGCTTCAAATGGGGACATATCGATAGATCGCAAAGCACGTCACGCCACTGTGCGCGGCCCCTTTACGTATCGGATTCGGGGATACTGAATTCTCACCCACTAAAAGCGCCTTCGAACGTGAAATATGCAACCCATGCTGGCACGATTGCCCTCTTGCGTGCAGCGTGATAGAAGGAGGGCTTTTCAGATTCCATCATTGTTACCTACCTGTTGTTTTAGTTCTATGCAAATAAAGAAATTTCGCGTAGTTATTCCTCAAAATCCCATAAGTTTTCTAAAATAGAGGGCAGATGTTAGATCCCATCGTTCCGAGCGTGACCGCGTAGCAGCCTGGGGGGCAACCTACAGCTAGTCCTAGAACATTGACACTTCATCCGTGACGACTCAGACATGGCAGTACGGCGCACGTGGGGCGACTCGATGATTGAAGTTGGACAAGATATGGAAACTTCTGAAGCATCTTCGTTAATATGAAACGTAGGAAAATAAAAATGATTTCATTAGTTTTTCTCGTAAAAGCTTCTTTCCGCAACATTCCCTAAATTTAATTTTGTGACGGGACGGACATTAAAATTTTAAAATTTTAGTCCGCAATTTCATGTCCAACATCTCCGAACTGCTGGATCCACAGTGCGGCGGCTGTTTATGTTAATAATTATCGGCATCCTTTTCTCTTCTCATTACGGCCCCGAAGTCGGAGAGACACCGCGGCAAACGCGAAGCCGAGCGGCGAGGCAGCCCGACCACGGTGGCAGTTCGGTTACCTAATCACTAAAAATCATCTCGTCGCTCCATTCGAGTCCTATCCTCAAATCACAATCGCTCATTCCCATGCATTCCCATTCCCTGGTCGCATCTCTGCCCGGCCTGCGATTCCAATTCTGCGGGATTTCATCCAGGGGCAACGCGTCGCGCGACGCATGGCTTCGCGGCGCCAATCCCGCAAGGTCGCCCCCTCAGCCCCCCTCCACCACTCNCTCCCCCCCCCCTCCGTTCCCTTCCCCAGGCGGCCGTAGGGTCCTGGAGTAAAACTGGCGTCTATGATACGCAGCAGCGATCCTAACCCATGGCACTATTCGAAAGTTTGCGTACATAGCGGCCTCAAGAGCGTCATCTGCGGGGGTAGGGTGGCCCCCCGGCCTCCCCTTCCCTGCATTTTGATTTTGACCTATGTTCGATCGATGTTGATCAAATTAGGAGTTATTTTTGGAGATTTCTTTAGCTCCCGAAGCCCCCCCCCCCCGGGTTTTGGCTAAAATGTCGCACCTCTGGGCGTTTCACCCCGCACACGTGGTTAAATCTATGTTTTCCGGACCTATGTTTATTTCTCGAAAGTTCAAGTACTGTACCAGGCGAGTAGAGAGGCTTCCAGTGCTGGATCTATGATTTTTTCAACCTGGTGCGAGATTGATTTATGCACCTCCGAGGGGAGGTTTAAGAGACAGTTCAGAGCCAAGGAAGTACTCGGAAGAAGACTGAAGTCCCAGGGCCGGATTTGGGCGGTGGCCACATGGGCCGCGTTCCATGGCGGCAAATTTTGCAATGTTTTCAAATTTAGGTATAAAAAAAAATCGGATTCAGAAAAAAAAAATTACAAACGAGAAAAGGCGACGAAATCTCTCATTTCATGAGGGTTAAAGTATACTAATTTCCTATTTGTTCGTCTTTCGGTGATACAAGAGACAGCACCTTTCATTAGTCTAGTTGAGAGAGAAACCAAACACGCAATGTGGCCTGGAGCGGCGCGGCGCAAAGAGCAATGATGACGAGAACTTGAGATGAAAAGAAGAGAAACCCTCGGCGCGCCGGTCAGCATGAAACATATATAGAGCCTACAAGACTCCTTGAATACTTCACGCATCGCTTCAAAAACCGTGCGGTCAGTAGCGGTCGGCGTGAAACGCATACCGCCTACAAGACTGTAGGAATACTTCACGCAGTGCGCCAAACACAGTGCGGTCGGCGCGGTGGCGGAAATTAAACTTATTAAACCATGTTTATTCTTCCACAATTTGTGCGTTCATTTCTTATAAATGAAAGGCATTGTCCACACAGAGATAGGTTTACGGAACTTAACTTTCGCGCAAAGTTCCGTGAACTTGTGCTAGTGTTGACAGGGCTTTCACAAAAAATGTGCCCAACACGAGTAAACGCGTCTTATGCACCTCTCCTCATCCGGCACGTTCATTTGATGGTTTGTATCGATTTTTCAAAACGAATGAGAAGGAGGTGGCAAAATACAGGCGGCCCATGACCGGCAGTAGGTAAATCCGGTCCTGTGAAGACCCACGAAAAATTTTACAAATTTAGAATCACTCACATATCATTTCAAGTACATTCAATACTTTTTGTCACTTTGTTTATTAAAAATGAAATGACAACTTGAAGAATGAAGAATCTTCTTGTTAGGTGGGTATGTAGTCGAAATGTGAATAAATGTGCAAGAATTAACTTGCATAAAACTGCTTTATTCGATTATAATTACCTATGTAAATATTACTATCACACAAGATGAAGAAACTTCGAGAAAGACGCATGGTTTCACAGGGAAAGGAAGTAAGCCACGAAAATAATCGGTTCGCAAAGCCGATTTTCGGTTCAAACAAAACTCACAGAGCAATTTAATTGGCAGTTTATCGAACGGATATAACTATTCGCGCTCCGCGTATTGTCTGTTGCCTATGCGGCGAAATTAAAGGCGAACCGCAAGCGGACGATATGTGTAAAGACGAATCAAGTATTTCGAATGGATAACTAATTGTACTCCGCGTATTGTTTGTTGCCTGTGCGGCGAAATTGAAGGCGAACCGCAAGTGGACGATATCTTTCCGAAAGTTTTTCAAATGAAATATTGGTTCCATGAAACATTCTAAAGCGAGATGAATCAAGTATTTCGAATGGATAACTATTTGCGCTTCACGTAATGCTTGTTGCCTATGCGGCACTATTGAAGGCGGACATCAAGTGGACGATCTATGGAAACAGGCTCATTAATTGTGCGTTGTTTATAGCTAAATTGTAAGTCTTGATCTATTGAGATAGATAACTGTGAACTTTTTGAGCGTCAAAATGTGTCTTCGCAATCTCGGTGGATTTTTTGCACTGAAATTAAATTAATGTGAGAATCAAGTCGACGATATCGAGCCACAGAATCAAACATGGTTCGCCGGTTTCGTCAAAGCTTGCATTAGTCGCGGGATGACCAGATTTTAGAATAGCTTGCTATTAGTGCTCCCGGTGATCGTTTCCCTTCGTTACATTTCTCTCTTCTTTTTCCTCGCATCTTTTTTCCTTCCTCTTCCTTTGGCACCATTTTCGTGATGGCACCTGGTGTAGTTGCTCCCAATGCACCACCCTTAATCCGGTCCGGGGGCCTTCTGGTGGTATTGGAAGGAAGAGTTAGGAAGTAGGTAGGGGAGGAAGGCACTTAAGGTTAGGAGATTGGATCGATGCGCCTCTTATCAGCCAGAGGAAACGGTCATCCAGCATCTAGGTTAGCAATATTGTGGCAACTCTGACAAATATTGTGAGAGTAGCAGTTTTGCCGTAAGTAAGACAGGAAGAGTAAAAGTAAGGAAATGTTAAAAAAAGGTAAAAGAGATAGGAAGTAAAAAAATTAAAATGTTAAAAAAAGTTAAAAGAGGTAGGAAGTGAACAAATTAGAATGAAATAAGTAAATAAAGTGAAAATACAACCTTCGAAGGATAAGAGCTTTAAAAAGTGAAGGAGAATAGAAAGTAAATAAATGTTAGATAAACAATAGGCTTGAAAATTTAAGTCGCTTGCTTTAAGAAAATTATGAAAATGAAATCTCTCTGTTCTTAGGGTAGGCATACATAAACGCGAAACAACTGTTCGTATTCGACCACCCGTGCGTAGCACAGTATCACTCGACATTGAAGGCGAACTAACCGTGCCAACTCACTAGCTGGTCATAAATGAATGTGAATGACCATAAAAATGAATGCTCCTTGCTTAGCGTACAAGAACGCGAGGCAACTATTCGACCACCCGTGCGTTGCTCAGTATCACTCGAAATTGAAGGCGAACTAACCGCGCCAACCCACCAGCTGGCCTTAAATGAATGTGAATGACCATGAAAATGAATGCTCCTTTTACTTAGCGTACAAGAACGCGAGGCAACTATTCGACCACCCGTGCGTTGCTCAGTATCACTCGAAATTGAAGGCGAACTAACCGCGCCAACCCACCAGCCGGCCTTAAATGAATGTGAATGACCATGAAAATGAATGCTCCTTTTACTTAGCGTACAAGAACGCGAGGCAACTATTCGACCACCCGTGCGTTGCTCAGTATCACTCGAAATTGAAGGCGAACTAACCGCGCTAACTTACCACGCAATTCCTATGAAAGTGAATGTTCCCTTTCCTCAGAGTACATGAACATTGGTTTCCTCTCGCTCTTTCTTCTTTACCATGAACCATGTCATACCGGGAGCGTCACAAATACCTCATATGGGCAAGCCAACTCCTAAACTAATAATATTTGCACACCGAAGATAGCGAGAACAAGTTGGTACCATCCTATTTTCAAGCATGTCGTTGTCGTTCGAGTATTTACCCTTTATTGAGAGTGTGAAGTGACAGAAGGCATAATCTCGTTTTGTCTCGGTGAGTGCCAGCGGCTGAGTCCTGAGTGCTATGGGAACTAATCTTTAAGTTCCGCGCGTATCAGTTTAAGTTTTCAGTTGCGATCACTCTTATCTTCCTGTCGACAAGGAGCTTTGTTTCACAGCATGCATAGGCAGGCTCGAAGGCNGGGGGGGGGGGGGGGGGGGGGCGTAGCGCGTCGTCGTTCAGCGTGAAAAACGGGGACGCTCGGAGACAAAAAGGTTTAAAAAGGATCGCGGAGGAAGGGGGTTGGAGGCAAAGGGATTATAACATGAATCCAGAGACGAGCTGAGGGCCGCATCGCATCATTGAGATGTTAAAGGCAACTCGGCAATGAAAATCTTTGCTGATTTGGATGTTTTTCCATTTAGAGGAGGAAAAGGAAAACACGAAAATTGCAATTCCTCACCTCCCCCCCCCCCCCCCCCCNTTTCGCTCTCGCGCCTTCGCTGTTATTCAAGTGGCGGGACAACCGGGCTTTCGAAGCGAAACATTTAAAAGCGGAACTAAGAATACTTTCGATAGAGAAGGCACAGAAGGGCAGTTGTCAAAGGCACAGATATGGTAGCATACCGAAAAGGGTGTATGGGGCACAGAAAGGTATCCCACGGAATGTCTGCGGGTGTTCACCCAGCTCCGAGCAAGGTCTCGACTCTCGAGTGGGGGGCTTACGGGGGAGGTCTAATTACAGATGTCTCAGCTACAATTATTTTGAGCTTTTTTTACCGAAATATTACAAATGAAATTTACCATACGACAAAAAAATCATCGTCGTAAAATCCATCACATTTTTCAAAAGGACATATTTGTGTGGGGGGGGGGGTAGAGAAAATATTCCACCTCCCACACTCCTCCTTAGTTCTGTTCAGGTGCCCAAAAGTATTTCGTGATGGCGGGCAATTTTCCCCGGTTTTCAGCCATGAATGGACGGAGAGAAGCGGAGCTCTTCGGACCCTCCCCCATTTTGCCCCCTTGCCAGAATTCACTCATCGGAAAAACCCCCAAAATTGACAAGCGATTGCGCCTTGACGCGAGTCGGGAGTCGGTCCGTCCGCGATATGGGGAATTCAGCTTCTAATGAGTAATCCGTACCGCGTACATAACGTCACGTCATACTTTACATTATAAAATCATCACAGTAACGCTTATAACGTCCAAGGCGCGGAGCNGGGGGGGGGGGGGGGGGGGGGGTTAAATTACGAAGCGGTCTTGGGGGCGTAGCCCCCTGGTAATACAAAGAATATCGGCTGATTAGCCTCCCTTTAAAATTATCTCTGACGTCGGTCAGGAATCGTATCAATTGAAATCTGAACAATTGAGCGCGCAAGTTAAAAAAATGGGTGGGAGGGGGAGGGGGGGTCGCAGAAAACGCGAAGATGGCAATGCGCGCTCAATTTTTCGGGCTGTAATTTTCGGGCGTGTGCTGTCTAGTCTGAATGACTGAGCGACCGGCTAGCCTTATCAATCAGGCTACCATCTCCCATTCTGATCGTGTACTATGAATGGCAACGCCTTATTTTCACGTGAGAAAAGCCTACTTCACACTGGGCGAACATAATATGCTCCACGCCAACAGAAGGTAGCGTCGTACGATGATTTTCATCATTGCTTGAACTTGAGGTCATTAAAATTTTGAATCCTATTCACAAATACTTAAGTTCATTCTTTATTCTCAAAATATGGACTAGTTCCGGGCAAAATCCTGAAATTTAATATCTAAAATTGAGTGAGCGCGCATTTCTCTCATCGCCGGCGAAGGAGTTTTATATTCTCTGTCGCTGTTCACTTCTAAAGTGCTCTATGAAAGATATTGTAGATGTAAAATGGTTCAAAAATGAGTTTTAATGCTCTTCGTTTCATGATAACAAACTTTTTCGATTTATAAAGATAAAACCGTGTAGACAGTAATTTCGTTTGAGTCAAATTTGATTGTGCGCACACACCCTCACTCACTTGACATAGACGTTCTCTGACGTCACTCTATGGTCCCTTGAAAGACTCACAGTGATAGGTGGAATCATGCAGACCAAACTTCGAGGATCCAATCAGCAGCGTCCATCTGTGGAGTTGGTCCTCCACGAAATTTTCTCATCACATGACCACTATTGCAGGCCATCTTGATTCTCTCAGCGGTCGGTGAAGTCTGTAGACTTGTTGTGATTCCTAGTATTTATTTCCTGTAAATAATTTATTAAATAAATTAGTGATAATGTCGACCCCAACAGCAGAAAACCCAATCTACGCTCCCTTCTTCGGAGTAATCGGTGCAGCCTCAGCAATCATATTCAGTGGTAAGTAAGTCATACAAGATGGATAAACCAGTATTGATTAAAACTTTCCACCCTTGTCGGCCTTCGAATTTTGACACCATTCCACCCATCAGAATGCACTTATCTTGTCTGGGTTTTACTTTGGTCCTATGGTTAAATTTTTTCTACTAGGAGTCATTATTTTATGGCATTTTCCATCACCCCTTTGCGGAACTAACCCACCCAACACCCACATTTGATAATTGATTCATGAGCTGTTATCCTCAGATTTTTACCTTTAATTTCTTTTCTGCAGCTTTGCATTCTCTTGGGCGGGTCGAAATCGCCATCAACTATTATAATTGTGACTTTCCAAGCCCAGATATAATCCAAAAACATTACACAGGTGGTTCTTATATTAGGGTGGTACCGCACTTAATCAGGCTCCCTCTTATCAGTTGGAATCATTTTTGGGAAATAAATAGGAATTTATAGTAACTTTTACCTTATCCTGGCTTCAACTTGTACTTTCATATCCCTAGGGCTTTCAACTAGTTTTAATTTTTTGAAATTTCTTGTATTTTGCTGTTAAAGTCATGTGACCTCGAATGTGATATCTCCACTGCCCTTAGCAACCTTACATTTTGTACCTTCTCAAATGACATGTAGATCTACTTTTCCTGTTTCCTTATCCCGTTCCAAATCAAGTTTGCCTGTGTAACTTTCAATTCAAAGAATGAAGGCAGCACTGACACATATCACTCATAACCTGTAAGTGAGGTCGATAGAGCTCCTCTAGTATGTGGAGCACCTGGATCTTGTACGCTAGGGACATGTGGCGAGTTTTATAAGCTCCATCGTGCTCAGGGTAGCTGGTTTTTCCAATAGTGTAAATCAAAATTTTTGATGCATTCAATCTCTTGAACCACTAGTTTTATCCACTCACTTATCGTACATATTGTAGGACGTAATAACTAGTGCGGCATTTTTCAGATCACCCTGCAAAAATGTCTGAAGTTGTTCATTGAGCTTTTATCACTCAATCTTTTGCGATTTGATCGAAATTAAATTTTGTTTTGCTTTGTTTTTCATTTCTTGAATTCTTTGTATTTGCACTCCTCAGGGTCTACTGGATAATTTATTTCTGTGTCACTGAAAACATGCAACATGCTAGTAAAGATAGGCGTGTTCTTCCACTAGTGGCGCTCAATGTATGTTGAGTATTTTTGAGACAAAAGTCACATCATGTTTGAGTCGATGTTAATCAGCAGTGCCATCTGCCCCCTCGTATGAATCTATCGAGTGGTGGCGCTTCGAGGTTAACTGACACTGAATGACATTTGTCTCATCATATAATGACTGAGGTCTTAGTTCTACTTTGATGAATGCCACAGTCATAATTGTTTTGCAATCGCGCAGAACACGCCCATTTTTATTTAGTGTTATTGCTTGTTAGTGGGCGGGGTTTATTTCATAGAAAATATTTTGTGCACAATATAGCAATATTAGAAAAGTTGGGAAAATGAAATTTGGAGAGCCTTAGCTGTCTTTGTAAGAGAATATAGTATGCATCACCAAAATATGCATCTTCAACTAAAGGACTCTGCTTATTTATTGTGGGAATGTGTGCCGCATCCGATTTTCAATTTTTTCAATGATGTAAACTCGTCAATGGATGTTGATTAAAAGTCATCATTGCGCCAACTTCCTACATGACACCGTTTTCACGTAATCCACATTTTAAGTTTCTATAATTACTTGAATAAATGAAGACAGCGCCGCAATTGAACAAGGAAAACTCCAGCCGGTGAGTGGTAAGGAAGAGAGTGGGAGAGAGAAGAAAGGAACTGATTCAGAATTCTAAAGGCTTGCAGAATCCGAGATAAGACCACCGCTCGGTATTGTAGTGATACCTAAATATGTTGAGGTCTTCCTGCTTTTTTGTCGTTTTCAGCCGGTGCTGAAAGATAGAGAGATCTTATCGACACATCATAGCTGTGCTGCCTTCATTTATTCAAGTAATTATTGAAGCTTAAAATGCGGATTGTGCTAAAACGGTGCCATGTAGGAAGTTGTCGCAATGATAACTTTTGATTAGCATCCATAGACGAGTTCATTTTAATAAAAAAATTTAAAAGTGAACAGAGCACACGTTCGCGTAAGAAGTGTGCCGGATCCTTTCATCTGTTAACTATAGCATGTTCATTATGATGTGAGCACCTAAACCTGGGACAACTAGACTTTCCATGTGCTAATTTTAAAAATATGTGAGTGAAAAAGTGATTATTTATCTCCTTCAGAAGCATTTTCTTGTTGAAAGTGTACTATCACCGTATTGGTGAAGAGAGAGCTCTCCTACCCATGTCTGTCGGAGAGATGAGACAGATGTCACTTGCTTCAAAATTCGTGAATTTTTGGACATGCTGGCTTCTAGTTACCAGCTGTTGGCAAAGAAAGCCCAAAAAATGAGTCTAACCAATTTAATAATAACTTTTCAGCCCTGATTTTTCTCTAATTAGAGTGTAGAAAGATCTACTTCTAAAACTTACCAACCTCTGTTGGTGGTAAAGAACCAAGAAGTGCCAAAATTTGACTAATGATGAACCCTAATCGGTGCAATGTCTTAAAGCATGCTTCCAAATTTTTGGGAATTTTTTTCTATTTTCCACTTATTCCCTAAAAATCTAATCTATTTGATTTTTTCGCTCTTTTTTCTTTCACTTTTTTAATCGCCAGAATCTTGGAGAAGTTGAAAAGTTTCTTCTAAAGATCCCACGAAAATTGGGAAGGAATCTGCCAAACATTTGACATGAATCGATTTTCATTCTTTTTCAGCGCTGGGAGCAGCCTATGGAACGGCAAAGTCAGGGACAGGTATTGCAGCCATGTCCGTCATGAGGCCAGAATTGATCATGAAGTCCATTATTCCCGTTATTATGGCGGGTATTATCGCCATTTATGGACTGGTGGTGGCAGTCCTTATAGCCGGGCAGCTGTCGGCAGAAAATTATTCACTATTTAAGTAAGTGAATCCGACTTCATTTCTCCTTTAGTTTTTCATCTGGTACTCACAATTTACAAAGTACTACTTCAAAATATTTTGGTAGAAGTTTGATCAGCTCTACTGAAGGTGTTAGAAAAGTATATAATTAAAAAGGAGCCTTGTTTACAACCAGTTAAAAGGTTTTGTGAAGTTCCACCAATTATTACACTCAAGGACAGCTGTACTGTTGGGTCAAATTAGGAATGTGAAGAGACTGTGGGGCGGTACTGGGACTTGGTGGCTGGTGCTCGCTGAATGGTTACAGGACTGCTCTTTTCAAGCCCATTGCCTGCAAGTGTAACTTACAGATTATCACTCCCAACTTTCTGGCAACTTTTTTTAAATCAGTTTTCAGTGACGTATTTTGCTCCTTCTCAGTATTATAAATTTTAATAGAACTACACCAAAATACCAGGTAGAAAAGTAAATGAAAGCCTCAATTGTAATTCACTTACTCTTTTTACTCTACTGTGTAGAATTTTTGTGTGAATTCTTTCAAATCTTACTCTGAATCAGAATTCTGACTTTACCTACAAATATAATTTAAAATTTTTAATCAATACAAAAATTCGGTTAAAAATCTAAGGGTCATCAAGCTGTGAGCCATGGTCACCCAGTTGCAAGGTTAGTGTGTGTAAAAGAATGCTTCCATTAGGTACCAATATCCGGCTGTCATCTGCTCGTATGTCAATTCATCCATTTTATTTTGAATTAGCCACCATTTTGGCAGCCCTGTGAATATAATTGATACTTTTCGTAGCCAGAGCCTTGAACCTCCTAAGTTCCTTGCATTTTGAAATATTCTCTCCCTTCTTCCTCATCTGAACACTTTTCTTGTCAATTTACTGAAAGCCACTTTCGTTTTTTGCAGAGGTTTCATCCATCTTGGTGCTGGTCTAGCGGTCGGTTTCAGCGGTCTGGCCGCTGGTTTTGCCATCGGAATCGTAGGTGATGCTGGTGTGCGAGGAACAGCCCAGCAGCCACGTCTGTTCGTCGGTATGATCCTTATCCTTATTTTCGCTGAGGTCTTAGGTCTGTACGGTCTCATCGTGGCTATCTTCCTCTACAGTAGACAATAAACACCCAACGAAAAAGCGCATCGTCTGTCACTACAAGCAGGATGGAACTTCCGACCCCTCTGTTACAGACTGCACGGCTCTGCTGTGATTTCACCTGTTTTTTTATTATTATTTTTTTGTCGAAGGGAAAAATTTCGACCTCTTATCATCGTGCGACTTCGCTATCATTGACTTTCTCCCCACTCGCCCGTCATTAGTCATAGATAACACGATATGGTAGTTTTGTAAAAATAATGATTGTATTTATTGTTTTAGAGGTCATCTCATTCTTTTTAGGTTTAATTTTATACCCCCTCTGGCCCCTGCCCGTCCCCAAATATTTCTAGATCCTTTCCCTGTAAGACACTCCAGGTTTCAGATACAAATTAATTTATAGCGATAAAAACGAACTATGATTTTTCTTTTCTTTTTTAATTCACGCACTTGTTAATTAAATGTTCAATTTATTCACCTGAATTTGCGGTGATTCTCAAGCGCCCTACAGGCAGTTAGGCGGAGGCATGAAATTAAACATGCTTTGAGAAGACTTTCATGTGAGGCTAGTTATAAACATAGATTTTAAGTCCGGTCTTGTTTCTTGATGCTAGGATCAAAATAAGATTTATGCTCAGCGTTTCTCCCGCCTGAAACATCCACTCTTCAAGTTTCAAGATAACTCCTTAAAAAAATAAAACCAAATTTTGAATAGTGTTACAAATTTTTATTAATTTTATCAACCTATCCACCTGTAAATTTCACCTAGGTTTACGATATTTTGTGTGAAAAATGCGTTTGAGATCCAGGGGAGAGGAATTAGCGATTAGAAAAATTAAGTTGGCGTTATTGTTATTTTATATTTCGTTAATTTTGTCATCAGGCCAGTTCATTTGACTTTAGTAATCAGAATGTTAAAGCGTTGTTTTCAATAGTTTTCCTTGAAAATATTTGTGACCACTCCTCAATTTGAACAGAAAGATGAGAGTGAGAAGTCAGCCACCGAAAAACTTGTTGGTTTAGAATATCACAGACTACTCCCTGACTTTAGTTCAATTCAAGATATATTACATCAGAGATATTTTGTGAAAATGAAAGGACTTTGCAATTTAGACAATTTTTAAAATTTTCCTAATATCGCTTTGTTTGCATCAAAGCCCCAAAGAGTACACACATTTTTTTTCAGAAGGTATGATGGTCGCTGCTGTTTTGATGTCTCATTCAAAACATGGAGTCTCATTCCCCACCTCTGAATATTTGGGATCTAGATCTCCATAGTTGTGTCTGTGCCATAATCAGCTCCAATAAATATCAATAAAATTGTAATGATGAAATTCACAGAAAAGTATTCGAACGTTTTCCAAAGTTACCACTATTGTAGATTCCATGTTTTAAGTTATGCTTTTTCAAGCAGTAGAAATTAATTTTTTCCAATATTGGCCTACATAGGATCTTCATACGTTTAAAGCGGAAAACAGATACTTAAAGTCAGATGAACTCTCTTTAACATTTCTGTCCTTAATTTTTTGTCTTGTTATTATACTTTTTTTCTTTTAATTCTTTGTTTTATTTATCTTTTTTTTCTTTTTTTTAAGAATCTTTTTTTTCACTGAAAAATTTAAACCTAACAAAGCCAGAATGCTTTGAAATCTCAGAGTTACTTAACAGCAAGGAAATCAGGCGGTTCTCACCCAAAACATTCCATAGCTTTACTTTACTGCAGTGTCTCCACAAGGATAAAGAAATCATACTCGAGTACCAGTCCTTTTTGGATATTCTGTTGGTTGGCGATACTGCTTTTTTGAACGTCATGATCTTGCTTGTACCAAACATTCGTCGCTATAGTGGAAGTACAATTTTGGAAAAGTAAATCAAAGCCCTAGGCTGCATTGTAACTTTCAGAGCTCAGGCCAACAAGGCCTTGTATACGAAAGCTTTACCGCTTGGATTGTAGGCTGTTGTGAGGAAAGGATAAGTGTTCTTGGCAAATCGTGTGACAGGGTGGTACTTCTTAGATCTTTAACATTACCAGTGAAGCAGAGTGGTTTTTAAATAAGCTTTAAACATCTTAAAATCACATTTTTTGCCGTTACTCTCGAACACAGCTTTGAAAAGTCAATGGTTTTAACAATCAACCTTCCATGCATCGCACAAGCTGTCTCACTTTTTTCACATGTGTCCCGGAAAGTGACAAAAATAAAAGCTTCTATCTGCCCTGATCATGAAAGCTTGTCCGAAGTGAATATTCTCTGAAGGTTTTGGTTCCCAGTTCTATGGAAAACTAGTCTTCAACTGTATAATTTGATCTTTGGAAACATCTCGGAGCACTTAATTCTCTAAGTGAATGATATTTAACTGCGACTTCTTGTTGTTTCATTAGTAACAACATTAAAAGAAAGAAGTTTCATGTAAACTACTGGCATGATTAAGCAGCCATTTCAGAGACGTGAATTCCTTAGAGCTGTATCCAAGCTGTCTGAAAGTTACTGGCTGTGGACGAAGCATTTAATTATTTTAAGTGTTTTAAGATTATCTAACCCTTTTGTTTTTTAGTTCTCCTTTTTAACAATCATTATATTACAAGATGGTGTCTATCTTCGGTTGTACATCAGTCTAACCTCAAAAACTTGACAGTGAAAATGAGAGCCTAAATATTATGTAGCTTGAGTGTTCGAACTCATCTTGTCGGCATTCTTTCATTACTCATTTCAGTCACAAGATTATCTGTGTCTACTTTTTACTGTCATGTGTTCCTTAGAACTTGGTTAAAGAAAGGGGAAAGTGCTTTTTACCTCTTATTTTCTCATAAGGGAGCACAACTCTCTTATTTCTTGATTGAATGCTGCCTGAAAATGGCCATCTGTAAGGTCAGAGTCGAAGCTTTAGTATTTTGTCTACTGAGGAAGTTAAAATTTTTCATGCTTCAACGAATACTGGATGGTCAATAAAGCCGCTGACAAAAGTTAGCTGGTAGCCCAATAGCATGTCTGCCTTGTGCACATTTATTATAGAACCACTTCGCTCCAATTTAACAGCCAATTCCCAGTCAAATTACTTAAGACGAAAATGATTTTGTTCACAAGGAATATTTCTAATGGAAGTGTATGATTGTCCTAACCCTTCATAGCAAGTGAAAGACTTAGCATTGACATCTCATGCTGCAATATGGTGGTCAATCAAAGGCTGGAAACCTTTTTTATTATTACTCGCTGCTGTTGTTGGGGGAGAAAATATTTTTGATTTCTTCTTTTTTTTTTTCTTTTTTGAAGTTGGGTTTTTTTTTATTATCAATTTTCCCAGTATTCGTTGAACTTTTAAGATTGCTGCCAGTTGGAATGATGAAAATTTCCAGCGTTGTTGATGGTTAGAGCTAGGGCTATCAGTGAAAAAGTCAGCTCTCAAAATAACTATGTGTGATGACTGTTAGAGTGACTCGCACCCCACAAATTTTTGAAATTTGATTTTATATCATTACTATAAGATTGTAAACTTCTGCGTAGTTGAAATTCAAAGGAAAGTAAATAAAGTATTATGCATATTTGTTTTTAAGCTCTTCTTTTTATTAAGCCTTTTTTCCTATACTGTTAGTTTTATCCAGTTGGTAATTGTAAAGTATATTTATATATTTTTGTTTATATACATATTCAACTGCCAATAATTGAATGTTTTACCTAGAAGTACATATTTAGTTATGTAGTCGAATAAATACACAGCTGTATATTCAAACGCGACTCCCTCGTTCTCTCTTATTTTAAAAGTTTCGTCTGCATTATTTACGAACTTATTCCAGCTTGCAGACCTAGGCAAAGTATATAGTGAGAGCTGTATGGACGCTATGGGGCTGCTCAGAAGGCTCAAACATTGTGATTTCTATCAGTTCTTCTGTCTTAACAGGGAATATTTTCCTCCTTGAAGTTCACAAAGATCAAGATGCGAGAGAAAAATGATCAGAAGGTGATCGAACACTAAATTTTCTTAAGATTTAACAAAATTTCTTTTCACTATGTCTTAGGCTGCTAGTGTTTTCTCTATGTTAACAAGATGTAGAATTCACAGCTGCCACAGTTGAGAATTTTCTCTCGATAGAAATTATTTCTCATCCAGCAGCTATCATTGAAAATTTTATCATGGAATCAGTCAAGATGTAGCGAATGTGCAAATTACTTTGTAAAAATTAAGACTCATCTCAGATACTATCAGTACAATGTTACCTGTGAACTTATTTCTCTCTTCAATCAAGCCCATTTGAATGATTTTCTTAATTTTAAATTTTGCAGATTTGAAATGAAGGATTCTCGAGCTATATTCCTCTGAAGGAAATCTATGTGATGGATGATAAAGGAATTGATTTAATAACTAGATAGCCTATAACTTACGAATTGCTGGTAACTCAGATAATTAAGATCTAAATAGTGCATCCAAATTATGAACAGTTGTTAACATTTTTATTATGGATATACAGAGCTAAATTTTGTTTCAGAATCTTGAATTGCTATACATTAATCCATTGAGCAGAGTCCTGTAGCATTTTGTAGTAGCCTGAAATCCATCACTCAGATAATTTTTGATCATAACTAAGGAATTTTCAGTTTGGGTCAATCATTTTTATAGGCACAGCCCCCTAAAAAGATGAATTTTTGTTTTCATCTGTTTCAAAGAGTTGTAATTTCCATTTAAGGTAGAATCAAATACAATACAAATTGCTCTGTTTTCTTTTTTCTATCTATCGGGTTAAACATTGAAAATATAAAATTAATTCCCACGTGGTGTAATATTAATGAAACTGGTAAATGCCAAAGCCTTACTCCCTGCAAGAGCACAAAATTAAACAATTTATGAATTTGGAAATTGGGGCAAAAGCCTCACAAATCGTGAGACAATTAATGAAATCAATCAATTTGTCAAATTTTTTGGAAGCCTAAATGAGAGAGGACAATTTTTCTTTTCTTCTCTATATTTTCAGTATTTTTTTCTGTTCCGAATGTTAAATTTTATTTTTCATTCATCAACATATCAGAGTTAAGAGTTGAAGAATCACAAAGGTGCGAACCTATCCATTTACCCTGTGGGCTACGTGTTTCAGGTGTAAATATGTAATAAAATTCACCCCTGCCTGTTTTCATAGGACCTCAAAGTCATGAAATTTTGGTGCTTACCAAATTGCTGTAAGTATGAAGGTTATTTATTCTTAAGTTCTTATACAGGGTGATCCAAAAGCAGCGCACTATCAGTATTGGGGATCACCCCTGTAACTTTTAAATGAACTTAGATAGAAACTGGAAATTCGGTGGGTGTTCTAAGGTCCAAGGAAGCGACTGTCAGGACCCCCAAAATTTGAGGAGCGGCACTCTGAGAGGAGGCAAGAACTGTATGGGTGATGCGGTACTTATAGATCACCCTGTGTAGCTCCATCACTCCCTAGCTTTACTGTGGCAAGTTGTAAAGAGTTAGTACTTAAGTAGATATCTAGTTTAGTTACAACTGAAGGTTAAATTTTGTCATGTAGCTCTTGTACTCTCACACTATAAGTGACTTCAAATTCTATTTTATAATTCAAACATTTTTTATAACAAGAATTTCATTGAAAGGAACGTACATCTGAAAAAAAAAAAAACATGAATTTGGGAAACATCATCAAGTATCTGCATGATATTTTCTTTCTTTTTAAAAATTGAAAGTTAGTAAAGGCTGTCAAAATCAGTTTTAGAATCTGTGTCTGTGTGTCAAATTTTTTTAATTAACTGCAAAATCACCCGGCGGGTTTATTGGGTCATTCACAAATATTCAAATTTTGCTAGTGGAGGTTGAAAAGTTTAAAGAGCTTCAGTTATTTTTCCAACTTTTAAAAGAGAAGCTGTTGTCTTAAGTTTCCAATTTTCTTGAAGTCGATAGTGAAAAGCGTCCTAAAGATCAGTTGGGAGCAATGTAGAGAGTGGGTGTTTCTTCATTCAAGGAGATAACAAATTACAGGAGAAAGTTATACAAAGGATTAAAAAATATGCAAGTCCGGTTGCAAAATGTCTGGTCAGAGGATCTGAGTATGCACCATGTCACATTTGAGTCAACGGTCGTATTCAAACAGATATTATTATCTCAAACTGAGATTCATAATATTCGGGTTACTTATAGTTGATATTTGAATCAAACACATGAAAATTTTAAAGCCAATATTCAGAAATAAACATGTCTGATATTTTTATCAACGGTGTCCTTAATTTGTAATCAAGAACCTGTATGAATACATTTTGGTGTTTTTTGCTGTAATAAATAATTTAGTTGTTACCCAACTACTATCTATTTATTTTAACTCACAAATGGAATTTTTCTCATGTCAATTTTTAATTTTGGGCAGCTCTTATTTACCTACCTATTGCTAAGTCTCTACATGCCAAAATTCTTTCCTTCCTGAAACTTACATATTTGGCATTTATTAGAGCATTTTTATGAAAATCATTCTTGGAGAGAAGTTTCACCTCAAACTCACCTGTCTTAAGACTCAAGAAAATTGCACTGACATTTTTGTTTCTTTTAGTTTCTGAAAGAATGGCAATTTGCCATTGGCAAATTGATGCGGCCATAGAAAGCTCATCACTTAACATCCACCATTAAAATTTTCAAAGCCCTTCAATGCTGACAGTAACCACCAAAGGCAAGTAATAACGTCTTGTCTAAACGGTAATACTTAGAAAACCCCTTGTAATTCTTTGGAAATTAATAATTACCTTGAACTGCTGATGCAATTGCGTTCCTTTCTTTTTTCCCTAGCTTGCCGCATTGACGAAGGAATATTATTTGTTTTCTAGGCATAAAGCTGCATCTTTCACCTCCCTTCTTCTGTGTGCCCTCATATTTTCATACTAATGACCCATCAGACGAATGCCTTATTTCAGCGGTTAGGCAAATTTAGTCTCCGCCATACATTGCCCAGGTTTTTACATAACCCATGTTCTGAAGGCGTACCCAAACTTATACGAGCGTAGCAAACGCTACGCACCCTGTCGGACAACTTTTAAAATACTTAGATCCAGTTGTACCATATACCAGCGAAAAATTCCCTTTCAGGGAAAATTTTTACTCCCCAGATTTGTTTATTATTGTCTGAGTCCAATTGCAAAATGGCAACTACAGAAGTGGATTTGTAATTTGATATTGATAAGTAATTTAATTGTAGTGAAATGTGAAAAGAAGCAATTATTTTCCTCTTCCCTCGAATTTTTCTTATGAAATGACGCGACTTGCGGATTATTTCGTTGTCGTCGGCTATGATCACGAGAAAGAAAGTAAGTTTCATACTTTCAGGTTATGCCTCAGAGACTTCGGTCTTACCTGTCAAAAAATTATCATTTTCATCCTTTATCTCTCTTTATATTCAGAAGATGATCCACTGTTGCACTAAATTCCTTGTTTACTTAGCTCACATGTAGAATAATTTATTTGTACTTCCAGGGGCAGGGGCAAGTAATGGAATTATTCTGCAACGATTTCCAGAGAAAGATTGGTCGGACGCTCCTTTTATCGAAGGGATAGAATGGGTCAGTATCTTTCAATCAAATTATTATTTAGAAAATCATTTCAACCCTGTTTGGAGTGTATCTCACTCTGAAGTTTTAGCATTCAGTCTATGATGTATTTTAATTACTTGAAACCGCTCCAATTTGCTGACTTCCGCTACAAGAACCGAGTGTGATTCATGTAAGTATCCTATGTCTGCAGGGTCAGGAACTTATATGATCAGCTGTATCAGAAGTTGCTTAGTTATCTTAATGGAACCTGAAGTATGATATGTTGTTCATCAGTGCCACATGGAGGGGGAGGGGCAGGGGATTGGACCTGCTTGCGGCAAATTACTGAATTGAGGCGGCGGATTTCATAAGCGATATCCCATTTTTCTTCATCTTCTCAAACTCATCATGCAAAGAAGTCTAATCATGTCGAAAACATATGATTAATAAAGGAATAAGTAAAATGTTTCACTGGATTTAGGATCTTATCAGCTGCTATTTGGCATCAAAAAGTGTGAGATTACAGTGTTTTCTTTCCTTTGAGTATTTCTATTCATCATTAGAACTATGTTGCTCTCGTCTTGTATCCATCCGTAGAATTATGATGTTTTCATCTTCTATATACAGATTATTTCTAGCCCTGTGAATAGGGTTTGACATGAAAAACTGACCAGTTCTCACCGAGATCATAGTCTATTACTTTTATTAAAAGCTCTCATCAGAAGTATTGCATGACATGTTCCCTATTTTTCTAAAAACTGTGTCAACAATTTTTTGAGATCTCATGAAATAGACACTATCTTGAAGAGGAGAAGAATTTCTCAAACAAAAGAACTTGGCTATTGACAAGTTCTCTTTTTTTTCTTATGGTCTATGTTGCTTGTCTTCTAATTATTTTTTTCGGTTTACAGTTCTGTCAGCCTCAAGGATGGGCATTATCATCAGAAAGGATCGAGCCCACATTTTTCGTCTCCGTCCTGACTGACATTGATGCTAATCGGCATTACTGTGCCTGTCTTTGCTTCAATGAAACAGTCTCAATTACACCCACTAAACCTGTCGATGAGGTATTTTATTATACATCATTTCCTCAAGCACTCTTACCCCCTAAATTTTCATATTTTGTCATAGTCGTTCTACTGTTCTACTCGGCCAATTTCCATGTTTTTAGTAACTGTAGACAGATGATAGTCTGTAGATGTGCCTGTTCATTTTAGAAGTTGTCTTCTATTGATGCTTACTAAAGTTAAATTTTAAACCAGAATCAATATTTTTTTTTTTTGATTTTATCACTTCATTTTTCTCTTTTGATTGTATGGACCCAGCAGTAGGTACTTACTCTAACATCCGTTGAACCAGTGTTTGAGCTACCAAGGATATTCAGAGAGTCCCAAGGTCTCTTAATCTTGAGTTAGCTGATTTTCCCTTAAATTCTTGCAAAAATTCCTTGATTTCCTCAAAATGTACGCAGTAATTTCATTCCTAATACAAAAGTCATCACTTGATGAAAATTTCCATGAATTGCCCCTTATCGACGGTGAAACTACCAAACCACGTATCTCGGTTTGCGACGTCGCAGACTTCCTGTCATACTTTATTTTTTAAATGAAAAACTACTTAACATCCAGTCTTGAAAATTTCTGTGATTTTTCCTCTTTGTGCGGAGAAAATTCCGTGAAAATTTCAAGGAATGATATTGATTTGGTCTACTTCAAAAAAATTAAATGTGAGCGTAGATTTTTAAACACCGCAAACGAGATACGTGGTTTGGTAGTTTCACCGTCGTTATATATTATGCATTCAGTGAATTGCAAGATTAGGCGGTTCCTGAAATAAGGCATTCGCCGAAAATTTGAAGGATCGAATGTTAACTCCAAGTAGGTAGAGATTTTCTATGACAATAATTATTCAGTCTGTAACCAATTGTTAATACTTAATTGTGTCCATTCATAGATTGAAGAAACGGTTGCAGGAGAACCAACCCCACACCACACTTTAACGTTGAATTCAAGATCAAGTATCATGTATGCCCCAAAGTGTCTAGTTTTGGTGTCCTGTCATGATTACATCGAAACTTTTCGTGTAAGTCATTTTGCCTATTGAAATTAGATTTTTTGTTTGCATTTCGGTGCTCATGATTTTTTTCAACTAATAGTAGCAAAAAAGCAGTTTAGTCTCTCAAATTAAAAAATTTGGTGGGAAAAGTAAGTATTCAACATTTTTTAGGATTTGAGCCTATTCTCCATTAGAGCATTTCCTATAATCAGTAAAAAAAAAGAAAGAAAAAAAATTATTGCATAGGTACATACTCCGTTATTTCCAAAAACCTATAGACTTAATTTTTCAATTTGCCACCAGGTGTACATTTTCAACTCTTCTGTTTAGAAGTTATTTTTAACACATCCTGTAAAATTGGTCCTCGAGAAATTGAATATTTGTAATATTATAAAAGACATGCTTTTAAATGTATCCGGAAAGGGTTTTGTGTGTCCCACTCAAACTTTGGCTCTTTGACTCATTAGGTTAAAAAAACATTTTTTTTTCCTGCTTACAGAACTGTTTGGGCATAATATATACAGTTTTCATTGATACTGTCGGCACACCCCTTGAAACCCTCGTCGGGAACATTCTCGGATGTGTTCAAGTTCCGCCAGCTGGAGGGCCTCAAGTTCGGTTCAGTATTGGAGCTGGAGATCGCCAGGCTCTCCAGCCGCCTCTCTCTCCAACTCTCCCTGTCACCCATACTTCTGTTCACCTCCTTTTTCAGCAACTAGGTAAGATTTGTCTGAGACATGAAACAGTTTAACATGATGATTGCCTGGCCGTCCATAGTGACAATTTTCCTGTGTCCGCCTCTGGTTAGAACAATTCCTCTGACCAGGTGAATTGGAAACATGTGTTAATCTAGTCGTGAATAGTCATTTGTATGATTCTAGTCCAACAGAGATAATGTCAGCACAAGTAACAAGCTCTCATTGTTTTAATCGCATCACCTAATAGTAGGAATGCTTCTAGCAGGTCCACTGTGAAAAGAATGGACTACTAGACAAGGTACGAATTTCAGCATTCTGATACATGTTTCTTAACCAAAATTTCACGTAGAACACGATACGCACAACGAAAATTACCGAAATCAACGCCTTACGAAGATACTTAATGATTCTTGATGCGTGAATTCAAACCACCCGCTCATGAAAACTCAATGCTCTACGTGATTCACATCGCGCGCTAAACGTTTATCATGACGTCTCTGCAATATAAAAATCTGGAAACCTCAAACTTGACGCTTTGGCTCAGCTATAGCAAATTGCTCATAGTTTGAACGACACATGGTGGGAAATGAACATTGCTCGATAGAGAAGATTGCCGAAACCGTTGTAGTGCGCGATTTGGCTCACGTAGAGCTTTGAGTTTCTTGTGAGCGGGCAGTTCAAATTCCTCGTAACCAATGTGAAATAAAAACGTTAATATCTTCATTTGAAGTTTGTTTCATTAGTTTTCGTTGCGCGTATCGTGTTCTACGTAAAATTCTGGTGAAGGAACAAGTATCAGAATCCTTTAACTCGTACCTTGTCTAGTGGTCCATTGTGAAAATGCAACTGAAAGGTAGAGGAGGTATTGCAGAGATCACCAATAATTGTTGGCTTACAGCTTTTGTATTTCTGGTTTGCCAGTGTGTCTTTCAGTTTGATGGGAACAAGACTTGCTGGCTGTGAGTTTTCACTGCAAGTGTGCCGTTAATTCCACAGGATATGACAAATATTCTTTTTAAATAATTAATATTCTCTGTTCTGCTGGAAACTCAACAATGGCAGTAATAATATTGAATGACTTTTATACCTTAGACCTCATTTGAAATATCCTCAACACATGAGATTGATTTTAAAAATGATAAATGCAAAAGATTGCATTTATTTTATGACAAGAAAAAGAGAGACTTTCCGCCGTGTAAAAGCGCCAAACTTTTGATAAGTTTGATATGATGTTACTTATAGTTAGTGTATTAACACTTGTTTTTTTTTTGTCTTTTGCAGGTATACGAAATAGTTTAGTTTTGTTTTGCGCAATCATGACAGAGCACAAGATCCTGTTCCAGTCACATAGCTATACGCGACTGAGTGAAGGCTGCCGAGCTCTCAGTGCTCTTATGTACCCGTTCCGTTACTCACATGTCTACATCCCACTCTTGCCAGCTGCCCTTGTTGAGGTTCTCTCTACACCAACGCCTTTCATAATGGGTGTCCACGCCTCCCTGAAAACAGATGTCTCTGAGCTGGTGAGATTTGCTCTCAGTAGAATTACCGTTCATCAGTCTTCTATATACTATCAATTTTTCACGGCGTCTACTAGTCCAGACAGTCCAAAAAACATAAAAAATATAATTATACGTTTCACAGCGAAAACAATTTGATAGCCCAAGAAGTGTGACAAGGAAAACGTGGGCATGTTTACTCATCTATTTTTCATTCAAAGTATGAATAGGCTCAATGCTTTACAAATGAAATAAGAAAACCAAGGCAAAATCGTGGCTCTGTAATTATCAAATGGATGTATGTATGGTAAAAGGCACTATATTGCACACAATCCCTATGTACATAGCTCCTTACTTGTAGCATAAATATGTCCAAGTAATGAAAGGTAATTTAAAAAGATATAGTTTCTCCAAAGAACAGTTAGTTCTTTATTTATTTGCGCCATCAACAAAGGGGTTACCTAAAAAAACATTTAGTAAGAACTTCATTTTCTGTTTGTTTCATCATTGTTTGTCACTACAGTTACTATTTTGCATTCCTTATCTAATCTTGCCATTATTGCAGATGGACGTGATTATCGCAGACTTGGACGGAGGAAGCATAATGGTGCCTGACGGAGTTTCCCTACCACTCCTGCCAGAGCCCATCCTCTCATCAACACAGGAGTCCCTTTCGCTGGTTCTGCAGCCAGAGCTTTTCCTGGCTGACCATGCATTCCCTCCATCTGCTCTCCACCGCCCCTCTCACCCAGCAATTCTTGATAAAGAGATTCGGGCCATTTTCATGCGATCTTTCGCTCAACTCCTCCAAGGCTACCGCTCCTGTCTGACCATCATCCGCATCCATCCTAAACCAGTTATTACTTTCCATAAGGTACGATGATTGTTAGTCAATTTGAGGTTCATGGATTTATACAGGTCAATCTAAAAGTCTAGAACCGGTTTAACTCCTCCCACTTATGAATTGAAACTTAAAAATAGAAAAACTGAAAAATACGAACTAGATGCTGAAGATCTTCTGAGGTTTGTGGTTTGATTGAGTTTAGAGGCAGTTATGTCAGGCACATGTATATACTCAGCATCCATGCGAAATAAATTTATGTACTTTCAGAGTGTAACAGAAGATCAGCTGCATTCAGTTTAGCATTTGAAGTAAATATACAGGGACGAAGATGACGGATCTTCTGTCTCTCCTCTTAGCGCTAAAACTTATTGTACACGGACTCTAGAGATATTTAAAACCTCAGGCTTTTTCCTCAATTAATATGACCCATTTTTTGGTTCATGGAAAAGTTTGGATCCGTATCTTTGTGGGCTGATTTGGATTCTAACTCAAAATTTTGAAATGGCGACATTTTTCTTATGGATCAAAAATAATTAAACAAAGTAAGACTTTTAGCAAAAGCCCGCAATTTTAACCCATCACTATTTTAAAACAGTAGTTAGTCAAAGTTTTAAAAACTTGAATGTCTTTAGGAGAGCATTTTTAAATTGGTGTTGGAGAGGAACTTCTCTTTACTCTGCTAATTTCTTTCGATCTCTTTCAGAAAGAAATTACTCATTGTTGTCTCTAAAAAAATATAGGGTTCCCCCTGACACATCTCTCAAAAATAATTTTTTCATGATCCCCATTGTGTTATGTATTATTGGAGAACATGAGAATATGCCTAGCAGAAGACAAAGGGTCACGGTCAAATCTACGTCTCAGACAATAGTCGGTTCCAATGCAAAGCCGAAGTTCAAAGAGGGTATTTGAAAAGCAACACCGGCAAATGTATTGAATTATTATCAGTATGAGGAAGCATTTCAGTGGAGCAAATTGATGTATATAAAAAAAAGAAAATTATTCTGAACAAAGCGGTCTATTTGAGGCAGTTCTTCTTATCATATTTGGGTATCCACTGCGATGACCTATTTTTAGAAGATAGTTGCCGACGAACCTACATTGTAGTCAGCTGAATGAAAAATATCAAATTAGTGAAAAGATGTTTTAATTGAGGTTCAAGCCAAGAGGGTTTTATTTCCTCTTTTACTGCGGTCTTTCTGCTAAGCTGCAGGAGACAAAAGGGGGGGGGGGCATTGCAAAATGATGCATTTTTAAAAATGACTTGAATGATTTTGTTGTTGTTGTTTTTTTAAAAAAAAATAGAATGAAAAAATTCTATAAATTCAAGCAGCATTTTTTTAAGGGGGGGTGAGGTTGAAAAATTATGCCTACTTAAAAATGATTTGAATGATTTTGCTTTTTTTTTAAAAAAAAAAACCAAAAAAAAACCAAAAAAACAATTCTATAAATTCAAGCGGCATTTTTGTTTCCATAGGTTCAGAAGTCCGTGGATATGCTTAGCCTCTTGTTTTTTTTTTTGTTTTTTTTTTTTTTCAGATTTGATGTACTTTAGGTCAAGTGTATGTCCTTCCAGGATTCCTCTAAAACAATTTCCATTAAATTAAAAGGCTTTAATGAAGAAAATCAGCATCTAATCACATTATCTCAACCAAGATCAGGGTAGCGAGAGTACACCTATCAAGCCATTCATCCTCTACTCATCAATTTCAGACTTCTCTAAGTCAAAATCTGAGAATCTGCAATGTTGAAATAAGCAACTGACTAATGGCACCTACATATTCACTTTTTGTCTCTCTTTGAAATTTTTGGCGTTTTTTTTTATTTTTTTTTACATATATTTCTTAAATGGGCTATGATTGATGTTCTAAATCCCCCTCCCCTCAAGCTATGTGTTTCTCTAATCCAAAAATTTTAAAAGTCATATTGGCTGACAAACGTAAATTTTCATTTTTTTTTCCTTCTAACAGTTTTTGGGATTTACAAAAATTTTGGACAGAGACTTTACATCTCAATAACAGTCTAATGTAAGTGTATATTTTTTTCTTTTTTTGCAGGCGGCTTTCTTAAGTGAACGATACCTCTCTGACTGTGATTTTACAACACGAGTTTTAGACTGCATGTTTTTTACTGCATTTGTGACAGAACGTGGGCCACCCTGGCGACCATGTGATTGTTGGGATGAGCTGTATAGCAACATTACAGAGCAGTTGAAGATGGAAAGCCAAGACCAAAGACTAGTCTTAACACATATTCAGGTAAATAACTGGTCTACATTTCTTTCTTGTTTATCCTCAAAGGCCAAAAAACGCTATATCTTGGAGATAGAGTTGTCACCAAATAAATTCAAGCACTTGATTCTTGCATTTAATTTCAATGCAAAACTGATGTCCTTTGACCTTCTATTGCAGTCCAAAAGTGCATAAACTTATTTGGCATAGATCCTAGGAAGGTGGAGCAAAAAGTCAATACCTTTGACAGTATCTTCTTTTGTATCATTAACAATTCTCTAACTGTTTTGTTTGGAGAAAATTGTAAATCTTGAACACTAATACTATTGAATTGAATCGTTCCAGGAATTAGCACAACAGCTGCATCAGAACGAGAATCCAAACCCTCAACCCTATGTTCAAAAAATCTTGAAACCGCCAGAGGGTGCATTTGCACGAATTCATCACCCACCGTTCCCTCGCATCGATCCCACCAGAGTACAAACAATAATAGATGATGGCCAAGCCAGTTATAATCTCAAAGCAAGGTACGTAGTCAGGGTTTTTATTTTATTTATTTTCTTGACCAAATTTGCAATTGTAAAAATACCCTTGATTGCTGGACCTTTTTGTCACCTTGGGTTCCATTTCTGGCCTTTCACAGGAAAATGAACCTGAAAGCTGAAGGAAAAAATAGAGCTGTTGGTACCACTTCTTAGAAAAATGCCACAAGAAAACTTTGGCACATATGAGCTCCGATCAATGAAAATAACTAGGATTCATGAAGTTTGCAGTTAGGTTTTGAAGCCTCCAATCTGTCTTGATTAGGGCTCAAAATCATGTGATTGAAATGGACTACACACATTTTGTATTGAGGAGCTACAATTTCTGGCTAATTTTAGAAACAACTTTTGGGTTATTTGTTACCTTACACAGACAGGTGCCTCTATTGATGAGGCTGAGATATTAATTCTGTATTGTCAAATTTAGTCCAAATGAATTTTAAGTGTCTCGGGGTCTAATGAGTGTTATTGAAACTTAAAAATTGGTTTTCTTGGTTATTTCGAGACAAGAAAATCTGGAAAAAAAAATTATTGAAAGGTCAACTCAATCAGTACTTTACGAAACTGAATGAACAAAATAGGGGCCACTGACCCATTTTCAACATAATTTTTTACTATTTCAACCAACTTATCAAACTCAAATGTCTTCTCTATTATTCTTTTATCCCTTTGAAGCAGTATCTCTTTTTTTCAAAACTCAGAGTTTCCATCTCATATTTTATGTTTTCCAATTCATGCTTACGCTCCTCAGGGGTAGTAGAGGGAATCTATTCTGGTAAGCAAAATCTTTCATTGTATCTCTTCCACAAAATTAGCAAAACTTATCTTTAAAATCATCAAAAATTCCTATCAAAATGTTGCCTGCCTGACCACGCAGCGTCGGAATTTTCTATGTTTGCCTTGAAAAAGTAATATTGAGGATCTTTAAGTAACAGTCCACCAGACAAGGTACAAATTAAAATGCTGCACAATATTTCTACTCTTTGTAATTTTACGCAGAAAACGATTCAGACAACGGAAAGTTGGGGTTTCAACTCATGAACGAGGTATTAACAAGTAGCTTAACACAGATAAGATGGAAGTTAGATTATTCAAAAGATGCCCTTTGTATTTTTGCCACTTATTTCAAGTTTATTGTAAACACTTAAATCTTGCTTAGAAGTTAATATCCAGACTTCTCCGTTTGTGATTCGTTGCCCTTGTCAAATTTTGAGGAGAGAACTTGTTGCTTAGTGCTTTAATTCATTTACTGTATAGAGGCCCATTGTCAAGTTGCTATATTAAGCAAATGCACAGCGAGCCACTTTTTTGTTGATGATTGGCCGATCGTTTTTGTGTAATTAGAATTTTGTTTCCTTGATCTATTTTCAGATCAATCACCTCATCTAATTATCACTCATGTATGAATTACGTCCACTATATAATTCTCAGATCATAACTCATTCTGATCAAAATTTTGAAACTATCTTTTAAGTGTGGTTTTAAAGTTAGATATCTGGTTGCTTTTAGGTTGAGTGCTTTGAAGCCACTCCCCCCAAGAATTGTACCAACCGGTCTCCACATATCAAACGTGAATGATTCCAGGAATATAGTCAGTAATTCAGCTCGACGTTTAGAGGTTAGTATTTCCACAGTCAAGTAGCCAGACCTTGCATGTTGTTCAGCAGCCCGACTGTTTTCACATGGATGCAGAAACAATCGGCCTGCTTACTGTGTTACTTTTTGTGGGCTTAGGTAGGAATACACTATGTATACATAAAGTACAAATTGTCACTCAAAAGAAAAGTAACTTGTAAATCATATTTTGCGTTTGTTTTATCATATAAAGATTAGAATCAAGATATATATAATAACGCATACTTTTTTAGTTGACAATTATCTGTCCACTTTTTGGGTTGTTGCCCATCTTCAGTGTTAAGTATTTAAAATATGTAATGATGACCGTTTTAAAATACTTATCACAATACATAATTAGAAAGAAAAAAAGCAAGATAACCATCGGAACTTATAATGTCAAGAAAAGGAAATATTTTGAAGACATATCACAAGATTTGGTCGTTGTTCCAGGTTTTGAAAAATTGTATCAACTGCATTTTTGAAAACAAGATATCAGATGCACGGAAAACATTCCCAGCTGTTCTGAGGGCCCTCAAATCACGGACAGCCAGAATGGCCCTATGCACAGAACTGGCACAGCACGTTGTTGGGAACAAAGCAATGCTGGAGCACCAACAGTTCGACCTTGTTGTTAGACTGATGAATTGTGCCTTACAAGTAAGTTTCTGGTAAAAATATCGTTTACCAAATCAAGCCACCTAAAACAGTCAGATATTTCAGAAATTTCTTCAGTTTTAAGTGTGCTCCAAGATAGTAGGAGGAATCATTTGAAATGGAGATCTCAAAAAATATATTCTCTTTTAAGGTTTATCTCAATTTTTAAAACTTACAAATGTGTTCATAAGATCTTTTAATGAAATTTTCCAGCTTGAAAGTAAAGTTGAGCGGCGGACCTAATGAATGGGGCCAAGGCTCATGAATGAAAAGGTGGCTCATGCAAAAGTAGTATGCTGTAGCGTCCTGTCAAGTTTTTTTTCAACCCACTCGCCCGTGGCTCAAATCTCATTATTCACTTATTTCTTGTTTCCTCCTCCACCATTGACTGAAGGCAGATAAAGAGAGTGGGAAAGAAATTTTCTGTTGTCAAGGAATTATTACCTCAAAGTTGAATTTGGCGCTATTAGTTAATACCATCTACAAATTTTCACAACAATTGACGCAAAACTGTCCTCAGACTTTTAGAGGAACAACTTTTTTCAAACTTAAATTTGTGAGGTTAAGCTTTAGAACCTACGTTTGTCAGGGGAGAAAAGGTTTATCTTGACCTGAAGAATCACCTCTTAAAATCCCGCTGGTTAAACCTGGGGCGCATATTACCAAAGTTGTGATCCCTTCATTGAAGAAAAGAGGACTCATTTAGGTTTCGTTTAAAATTCAATTTTTTCTCTCTTCTGAGCTGCGCAACTTCTATCACTGTGAGTTTTTTGTTCAACTAATGGTTGACTGATGTTTGGATTTTTCCCCAGGATGGTTCACTAATGGACGAATTTGGTGTAGCAGCAGCCCTGTTGCCTTTAGCGACAGCTTTTTGTAGGAAATTATGTACAGGTGTCATTCAGTTTGCGTATACATGCATTCAGGTAATATTCCACTTATATTTAATTTATCCTTATAATTTGGCACTTTCTTGGTGGGAATTTCTAGCTATGCTCTTATGTACTGCATACAATTTTATTGAGAAACATGCATACGCTCGAAGGTAGGGATAGGACTTGAAAGAAATTTTCAAGTGCGTGCAGAACTTTTGCATATCCTTAATCCTGGAATGTATATGACAGTATGTTGATACATTGTAGTTTTGATTATTCCAGTTTTATGTCATCAAATATAATCAGAACATTTTGTCCTTTAAAAAACTTGTGTTTATTTTTTTTTTCTTTAGAAAAAAGCAATGTATCATTTTTGTCATTAAGTATATGATAACGTTTATATGTTGCAAATAGCTGTTATCATTAAAATTTAAATCAGGATTTGACAGGTTGGCCACAAAGGCGTTTTTTAATATACATAACCAAGGGACAGACGCACTGTCAGACGGTCAGTCTAGCTTGACACACCCCCAAATCATCCTACTCATTATTTAGCTGGAGCCAACAAAAAAGATGATGATTCTACAGTCTGGTCTTTGCTCGTCAGTCCCTGGTGCCTGATGTCATCCCACAATTAAAAACTTGGACACCTGATGTCATTGCTGAGGGGTTAACTTAAGTAATCTGTGCATGAATTATAATTAATTATATTTAACATCACTGGGTTTTCGCTGGCCTTAGTATTCATGAATTGAAAATATTCCATCTCGCTTAAATTTATCGTATTATTTTCAGGATCACGCAATATGGCAGAATCAGCAGTTTTGGGAAGCGGCTTTTTACCAAGATGTTCAGAAAGACATCAAAGCTCTGTATCTGGATTCACAAAGCAAGCTCAACCCAGTGACGCCCCTGAGAGAGGTATGCAATGAATTCACATGATTTTTTTCCTCTTCAAATGATACTTAAATCAAAGCTCTGAATTATTGCTCTTATCATTTTAGAAAAAAGACAGAATGAGAGAGTACAAGTTTCCCAGAATATTTGTGTTTCATTAAATGAAAATTTAACAATGTCTGAACGCTCATACAGCATTTTTTCTTTGCACAGCTTCTTGGTTTCTAAAATTTAGAGTATCCTTCAGTTATTTATGTGTGTTTGATCATCATAGCTGCAAAGATATAGATTTTATCAAAACTTGAAATTGGTTTTTTTCTGAATCTTCCTACCCAAAATCTTTGAAGCCCCCGTTTTCAGTGCCAATAAGGTCACAAGGTGTATATTTTTTATTGTTTGTTTTTGGTCTTTGCTGGAGTTCAAAAAAGGTTGGTGGTCCGTTTACAAAATTAAGTGCAAAATGCCAAAGTGTTAAACCCAATCTTGTGGAAATGGACCCTTCAAATTTTTGTTTTTTGTTGTTTTCAGAGCAAAGACTTTATTTGGAAGGATGGTAGATCTAGTTTTGTAAGAGGACAAGAACCCTCTGCTCTAGAAATTGCTGCCGAACAAATGCGGATACGAAACTCTCTGGACACAGGTCTGTCTCCCTTTCATTAAACTTTGAAAGTTAACATTTTACAGCTGTCATACAAGAAATATATATTTTTGAAGAATCTACTTGGTGTTTAAATTTCTTTTTAATTTTAGAAGCTTTATTATTGAGGTCCAGTGAAAAACTAACAAATATTGTCTTGAAATCATTAATTCCAACTTAAGCTCCTGAAAAATGGCCTGCGTAACTGTCTATTTATACTAATTGGCCAGGTGTGGGCGGGACCTGGGATAGAGAAAGCCTTGGCAGTCAATGTGCTTGAAAATTCCATTACATTCTTGAAGCCTAAAAAATTCGATTTCTTGTCATAGAGCTTAAATTTATAGTTTAAAGGTGAATTTTCTCAAGAGGTTCACCTCGAAATGAGATTTTTTAAAAATCGCCATAATAACAGTTTTTTAAAAGAATTAATCTACCGATTTTACAAATTGGAAGCTTGACTTAATCCAGAAGAAAACAACAAGGAAAAATGTAAACTCACCAATTTCAGAGGCTCATCGCTATTGGTTTCCGCCTGTTTATATTCAACGTGAGTCTTTCTCACTCAAATTTTTATTTTTTGAAATTCCAGACAAGCAGACAGAACTAGCAAATAGCGAGGAAAGCACACTTTACAGTCAGGCAATCCACTTCGCGAATCGTATGGTATACCTTCTTGTTCCTCTCGACATGGTCTCCAAGAACCACAAACATGACAAACATGCTATAGATGATGAAAGAGCCAGCAACAGCATCACGAATCGGTGAGACAGCCCAAGACTGCATAATTACAATCTTTTAAGGTTTATTTTTTAATGTAATTTATTCTGGAAATTTACAATAAGTCCACTCCATTTTACATGATATTCTGATGAGGGAACTTGCATTTCATGCATGAGGTCTAATTTTTTCCAGTAATCCAATGTCTCAAATCGAGAAAAGTAGAACAAAGAAGTGAGTTGAACAATCAATTAGGTTTAAGCAGAGAAATCAGGTTGAATTCGCCTACCTTTAAAACTCCAGTCTTTCAAGAAACATACTTGAGCTGGCAGGAACAGTCAGCAATTAGGGAAATCACAAATTTCAGTTTTAATATTTCAATAAAATTGTTGCAGGTCGAGTGTAGCAGAAAGTGATAGCGGAGACGCAGAGTCTGGCTTTGAGGACCAAGACCCAGGGGAGACAGGCACAGCAGTGATTCGGCTCGTCTCTCGCTTTGTTGACAAGGTGTGCACTGAGGGAGGCGTTAGCGCCAATCATATTCGGAGTCTGCACCAAATGATTCCTGGAGTGGTCCATATGCACATTGAGACCCTGGAAGCAGTCCAGAGAGAGTCCAAGCGCCTCCCTCCCATCCAAAAAGTAAGCTCCAACAGTTCCTTTTTACAAAAGATTCTGGCCGTATCCCATTCCAAATGTGGATTTTATCAATCTCATGCAGTGTTTTGTAATAATATCAACAAATTGAATTGGACAGCTCTTAGCAATAGAAAATCAAATGACTTTTTCAGGAACATAACGTTAAGATCATTTCGTGCTCATTCAAAAATATGTTTTCTCCTGGTGTAAGTAAGTCAGCAAAATAGAGTTTTCATAGAATATGAAAATTTACTTAGAAGTTCGTTTTTTACATTAAATTGTAGGAAGGGCTAAAACTTTGAACCCATTTTTCTATGTTCCAAGCCCATATATTTTGTTCTCTTCTCGCTAAACACTGTTTAACCAATAATTCGTAATAGAATCATAAGATAAGAAACAGAAAAGAAAAACTTACCTCAAACTATCTGCAAGTCAAGACCATCTGCATGTTTCAGAATTCAATTCGTTGAATTGACTTTTTCAGGAATGTAATAATAACTTATTTTTATCATTAATCGCTGTGCTTGTTTTAAAAACTTTTGAATTTCTGAATTTCAGCCAAAGATTTTGTCCCCAAGCATGTTGCCTGGTGAAGAACCGTTGATAGAAGGCCTGCGAGTCTATCTGCTAGCAGATGGCCGGGAAGAGGGCACTGGTGGGGCCATCGGTGGACCTCCATTACTTCCTGCTGAAGGCGCAGTATTCATCACCAACTACAGAATCATATTTAAAGGAACTCCATTAGATCCATTTGGTATGTTAGTTTCATTTATGTTTCGCCCTCTCTGTATTTTTGGGCTGCAGAATGTACAGTGAAGTTTCCAAAACATTATTTGTACTAATTTTAAAATCATCAATATTCATTTTCTTCCTGTAGCAATGGTACCTCGCTCCTGTGATGTAAAATTATTAAATTTGATCTCTAGTGATTGTTTTGACTATCTGAAGAACGATAAGTGTATATGGGTGTCCATCTTAAAAATTTCAGAAGTTGGACTTTTCTGGTACCTCTCAAGTCTATAAAATTCCATTGAAATACTCAGTTTAAGTAATGAAAAGTAATAAGTACAGAGTGAGAAAAATTTCTTTTCATCTAAAACTCTTGTATATTTTGATGTTATCGTCAAAAATTTCACACAGCATTTCTTGTAAAACAACTTCTCATAAGCAACTCTTACCCAGTGGTTAATTTTCTTCATAATTTACTGAAATCAATAGTCTTTTCGCTTCATCGTCAGCATAATTCTCATCAAATTGTCTAAACGTTTTCAGCCTGCGAGCAAGTAGTTGTTCGGGCTTTTCCTCTTACCTCATTGACGAAAGAAAAACGTATCACAGTCCAATATTTGGCACACCTTGACCAGTGGCTGCAAGAAGGCCACCAACTACGTTCTTGTACATTCCAGGTAAACATTGTTCTCTGCTCTTATGTTGTTCATTCGTGTATCTCTTCGCCAAAGATATTGCCTTAGACAATGAGTTGAACCCACCTAAAATTTATTACCATGTCAGTCACCTGTATTTGACAGAGGACTGTACTACCCCTGCTTCAATGGTTGTATGTGACTGGGATTGCAAATTTTGTGATTTTGGCGCACATTCAGCATCTTGGCGTTTCTAGAAAAGTTTGCAAAGCTGGTGAAAGATTTCTTATTTGCTTCAAATCAAGAGTTTCCTCATGCATATTCAATAAAATATATAGGTACAAGGAAAATGAACAACAATCTTATGTTTTTGTTTCCAGTTAATCAAAGTGGCATTTGACGAAGAAGTTTCTCAAGAGAGTATCGAAACCTTTAGGAAGCTAATACATCGTGTACGACATCCTCCACATATTTTCCACCACTTTGCATTTACCGGCCAGGTTGTTGTTTCTCAGGCCCCACACCACAAGGATAAAGAAAAGAATGCTACACTTAAGTAAGAGAAGATTTTTTTCATACTAATTTTTTTTAAAATTAAGAACCATGAAATATGTAAAGAATGTAATTTTATGCTGTGAAATCTAATTACCAATAATTAGAGAGAAGAGAGAATAAGATCATGAGCAGCGCAGTTCAAATTTTTCCATTTTCCGTGCATTTACCATCAGTTAAGAATTTTTAGACCTCTTCAAAATCTTGAAGAATTTTTTTCACTAACAATAAATATAACTTGCACTCGCTCTCATATAATTTGTTTCATATTTTCAAAAACCTACCGTTTAAGTTTTTGGAATAGGAGCTGTATTTAAAAAAATAAAACAAACTCTATTTACTAGGGAATTTTTTTGACCCAGAGATTGAAAGTTTTCTCTGAGCTAAAAATCTCCATAACAAATAGGATCAAGTTTACAAAAGAGTTACATGAAATATGTAATGCCAATTGGACCTCTCACTCCCCTTTTAGAATGCTTCTGTAACTTAGGTTCCTATCCTTCAAAACGTCAAAACATATAGGCGTAAAGCTCCCCTTGACCTCCCCCCCTTTCTCCCTAGAAGGTTACGTATTTTATGAACAGCCCTTAAAGTATAATCTTAAGATTGTATTATCTTGAAAATTGTTCCTCAAATGGGATTTAGGTTTAGATTTTAATTTCAAACAATCACAACTAGTTTGTATCCTAATGGTTAATTTTGATCTATTTTTAATTATAAGTTCAAAGTTCACTTTATTAAAAAAATGAAGCTGAAAACTTTCATTCAGGTCTGCGGCAAGTCTTTTAGCACCCATCATCATCTATGGCACTATGTTCACTTGACATAAATCTTTCGAGTTGTAACTACAAAATATTATGTAATTTAAATTTAGTTCATATGATAAAACAATGTTCTGTATTTTACAGAGGATTCGCCAAGAAAACCCTAATGAAAACAGCACGGAAAGCTGGCTTTAAGCAGAAAACATCGTCAAAGCGACAAAAGTATGTCTTGCCAAATATGGGAAATAATATCAACCCCAATAAGTATTCAACATCGCCAGGTCGCATGAGTCTTCCGTTTACTGATCCAGATGATTTGTCAGGTAAACTTACAAAACTATTTACTGAAATAACCGATTAAATAAGTTATTAAATTGATTATTTATTTATGTATTTATTTACAAATTCCCGGGCAAGCCCATTAACGAAAGTTTACGAGAAAAAGTAACAAGATGGCTAGGGGGCATAACATGGATTTAAGATGCTATAAACTCATGATTTTTGGTTAAAAGATGAGATAGATAACTGAAAGAAATCATAAAAGGGGAAAATTCATTTCCAACCCTACAGATACGAGACACACACATTTATATGAGAAAGTAGAGGGGGGAAATCATAAAAATTATTAAAAACCTAGAACAAGAGCAAAAATCAAACTTGGTCTTGATACTAGTTATATGTAACCTCTCTGCAATGTATGTCAGTCAGTTGTACTGTTTTAATATTACATTTTTAGAAGAAGAGACTCAAAGGTACTGGTATGAATCTGAAAGAACAGGGAGTAATAGCATAGAGTGTTCGATCTCCGTGTAATGAAGTAAATTGAGATAATTTTACATTTAGGGGAAGGTTAAGAGTTGGAGCAGTTGTCCCAAATAATTCCATTCTTTGTTGTTTCATGTCCTCAGTGTCTTTTTGGGCAAAACTGAAAATTTCCATGATTGTTTTCTTCTCCGCTCTGAATTTTTCTTTGTACGTTTCCAGTCGATAGTTTCGAGATGAATGTGGGAGTAGGAGCAGGTGTGGGTGTACTCCTTCCATCGCCAACGGATGCCAAAACTCTTGAACGCATGTCTGAGAGAAGCTATGTACGCGACTGGACTCGCCTAGGACTCACTTCTTCCAGCAGTTCTGGCAAAAGCAAGGATCCGTTCAAAATCACCACTGTTAACTCGGTTTACATGATGTGTCGAAGGTGAGTAAAGTAGTCTATGGAGTGAAATGTTTATTTTATCAGTCAAAGTTAAAAATGTCCACTGCAGGAAAAGAAGAGAGTAATTTACACCAAGAGTTATCTAAATATCATAAGCCTTTCATTTTGCTGGATAAAAGAACTGAGGTTTCAATCGTTCATACTTGCAGTTTCTCCAGAGAGTGGTTGGAGGTAGGAGCATAATTGTTTAAGCTTTGAATTTTCTAGGAGGCATTGAGATAGGAGCGTCCGCAAAATGTATAACAAAAATATTTTGTGATCGTTGCCATGTGTGATTTAGACCTCTGTTCTTTCATCAGCAAAAGTGAAAGCTTGGAAAATGTAGACAAAACCTTGATTTTTGTACTAACCCACCTCTTTCACTATACTGATCAAACACTGGAAAGATGAGATGTGAAATTCAAACTTCATATAAAAAATATATAGATATTAAATTTTGTCAACACTTTTCAATTTTTATAATCACTTTGTTAACAGACCGTTGAACCTTTAGTATTGTCTAAATCAATGAAAGTGATAAGAAAACTTCAAAGCTTAAAGTTCAAAAATAAAGGTTAAAATTAAGTAATTTTAGAAAGGAAGTTAAGTGTTTTGAGTAATGTAAAAGCAATTTTTATCTAACTAAATTTTTGTGTTTGTTGCAGCTATCCAGCCCTGTTGGTGATGCCAACTGGTATATCTGATGAGAATGTGCGGAGATTTTGTCGTTGTTACCGAAATAGTCGTGTGCCTGTCATCACATGGCGCCATCCTCGAACGAGAGCCCTGTTCTTGCGTGGAGCTGGTTATCACGGTAAAGGTGTGATCGGAATGCTCAAGTCCACCCATCCTGCATCCACTGGTATGTAACAGTTGATTTTACCTGTCCTCAAGAACTTTAGCCTCCACATTATCTCTTTGAAAATTAGATTTTTTTCATACATCTGTCAGTATCATGTGTAAACGCTGAAACTAAAAAGATAATCCCACAGAAACAGGAAAGTTTGAAGTTAAAGGTTGATTCTGATTACCCCATTTTTTTCTCCCTTGGATTTTTTTGAAAGGCGTATCGATTGTGCTTGAGGTAAGGCGTCGTTTCACTAAAATTCCAGACCCCCAAAAAATTATAGGGTGGCGCTGGGGGGGGGGGGGGGAGGAAGTTGAAACCTTCATTGCCGATCTCAGGAATGAAAAAAAGACATCATTTTCCAGTTTGCACTAAAAATCTTCTAAATTTATGTACTTTAATATTCCGGAAAAGACTTACCGGTTTGCGTTTTAAACCTTTGTTTTACACCTTAGTACCTGCACAAATGTTGATTTGTCAATATTTTCAAACTTACCTCCGTAATTTTTGTGCCTTACTTTCAAAATTCTGAGTTACTTTTAAGCTGTTTTTTCATACCATTGACACTAGTCTTTTAATCTCTTTCTTAGGAGTATCTCACTCAGACTCAAGCTCTTCAGTAGAGCAGGAACGGTACCTGAATGCCATCGTCAATGCAACTCCTTTGTCTGTGCTGAGACAAGGGTCAGCTTGGGGTATGTCTGACTCAAGCCTAAGCCTCAACTCGCTACTCATGGCAGCAGAGGATGCGACCAACACCCTTACACCTGAGGCCTCTCGCCGTTCTTCGCACAACCCATTCAACAAGGCCATTGGAACTATGGGGTAAGACCAAAAATCCCTATGTTTTTGAGGTTTCAGTCATGTTGAATGGTAATAAAGTGGCTTGAAGTTTCTGATATTCAACAAAAAGTGAAAGAAGTATTTTGAACATTGAAAGCATATAAAGAATCAGTGTCTCTATTATTTAAAAATTTTTTGCACCTGAATAACAATCATGCTCAGAATCCTCCTGAAAATTTATTCGATTGATTCATCATAACCTCCTTTTTCAGGATGTTCCCGCGGTCAAGTGGTGGTAAAGGTGGTAAGAACTTTGGTCGGTGGGGCTCCCTAAAAGATCGCCGCAACAGTTCTGGCCCATCGGTGGTTGGTCAGATGCGCACATCACCCATCAACCCAGCTCGGCGCTCCGCAGATTCCGACTCTGGCACTGAGTGCGTCCAGACATTCCAACGAGCTGCTCTCTATATTCTTGGCGAAAAGGTATCAACTGACTTCAACTTGAAGTTTTCTGATTTGTTTGATCTTAAGTGAAAAAGCTCATGTTTATAAAGCTGCGCCTATGTTTTATCAATACTTGGGTAGACCCTGTTGCAAAGCCATCAACATTTTTTCACTAAAATCCAAGAGATGTTTCCAAAATTAAGTTTATTCACCCGTTTCAACTTATGGGCCTTGATTTCTTTAAAAACAAATGTTGGGTTAGAACAAGGTGTTACAGTACATCATATGTCATATGCTTGAAATCCTTGCTCTGATAGTGGTGAAAAATTGAATACTCTGAAGTTTTTCAAAAAATCTTAGGTCATTAAATGACTTCCTTTTCCAATTTTCTATTTAAATACTGGTAACACTTGATAAGACATTTCTGAAGGGGATTAAAAAATTAGACATTGTATAGGAAAAATTGTGATTCAAAACAATGTTTTGGATTTTTAAACTCCTAGCTTGTTTTCCAGTGTTTTGAAAGGATTTTTGATGTCTTCTTTTTGTGCAAACTTAGTCACCCACCACTAAAAAAACTATTTTATGGCAGCGGGAAACTTGTCAAAACGTGTCACAGAATAAGTAAGATGCACGTCAAGAAGTGGCTCTCAGATTTTTCGATGCACCCATTGCGATTTTCTTGCAACTTCACCTGCACAGAGTCTTTTTACTTGACTGTACCTCTAAGGTGCAACAGACCCATTTTCAAGCCTCTCTCTATCACAACTTAGCTTGCAAATCTATAGCAGCCTGATAGCAAATGCGCTACAGTTCATGATCAGTCACGTAATTTGTTTTAAATATTTTGTCCCAGACCCAGATGAAAGGGATCAAGCCGGACGCAGTGCCAAAGATTGATATGATCCCAGTAGAGTACGCAGACGTGCGACACACAAAAGCAGCATTCAAGAAGTTGATGCGAGCCTGTATCCCTAGCTCGGCAAACCAGAGTCAAGAGCCAGACCACTCTTTCTTCAAGCTCATTGAGAACTCAGAATGGCTCCAGCAGATCCAGAACATCATGCAGCTGTCTGGCGCTGTTGTGGATTTGCTGGATGTCCAGGGCTCTTCTGTCATGCTCTGCCTGGAAGACGGTCAGTATTTTTTATGACAGGTAGTAAAGTAGTAAAGATTAGAAATGTGAAGTCGGATGAATTTAACCGTAATGGATTAGCCTAACTACATTTTACGTTTCCCAATTTTCTCTTATGTTATATTTTTTTAACAAACAACTAAATTATTTCAGGCTGTTAAATCCTCCGTGAATTTACCGTGGACTATGAAAAATACATATTTGCACAAAATTTAAGTTTCAGTGTTGCTTAGTTTCTGTTTAAAAAAAAGACATCAGAGGAAATGGATCAGTGGCCCCCCTCTTTGAGTTTATTTTGTGAAAGTATGGAGTAGACTAAGCTTTTAGGAATTCTCCAGAATATTTTTAATCCCTAATGGCTAAGAAACTGCATTTTGAAAATGCTACAAATGGGACCCAATTGAAATGATGCTTTTGACAGACCCTGATGAAGTAGCCAGGTGGGAAAAACGGTATTTGCTGATTGGCTGAAGTCAGCTACAGTCATCACCTTGCTTCGGCAATTCGGCTGTCGGTTTTTGATCAGTCGGATTTTCATCAATTTTTCTTCCGTTTAGAAATGATTTTTTAAACACTTTATTGAAGTTTTTAGTTTTTTTCACGAACTTTTATGCAAGGGAAACTATGTAACAACCCTGCAAAAATTCTTTGCCTCAGCCTTATTAGACAACGTCTGATGTATTTGAGCTGACTCCATTGAAGTTGGTTCAATTTCCACAACATTTTTTGGTGTTTAGATTCATTTTATTAAAATATACAAAGGAATGAGCTCTAAAACGTGTGTGCCCTTTTGTTGTCAAGGGAAACGTTGTTTATTAATAGGGGTTGAATTTTTATTTTTCAGGTTGGGACATAACCTGTCAGATCTCCTCTCTAGCCCAGCTGTGCCTAGATCCACATTATCGCACCTTGGAAGGCTTTCGAACACTGGTGGATAAAGAATGGCTTGCCTTCGGGCATCGTTTTTCTCATCGCAATGCTCTAGCTCAAGCCTCACAGGCATCTGGCTTCGCACCTACGTTCCTTCAATTCCTAGATTGCGTGCATCAAATCCAAAATCAGTTTCCTTTAGCCTTTGAGTTCAACGATTTCTACCTCCGTTTTCTTGCTTATCATTCCGTATCGTGTCGCTTCCGCACATTTTTGCTGGATTGTGAGTTGGAGCGGGTGGAGTGTGGGATCGCTGCTGTGGAAGACAAGCGGGGCTCGTTGACATCGCACCACAAGGGAGTGGATACTGGGTCTGATGACGAAACAATCTATCCTGGCGGCAGACTGGCTGGCACACATGTTGGACCAAATCTTGGGCAGTCATTGTTTGATTACATTGAAAAGCAGCATGCACGATCACCAGTGTTTTTCAACTTCATGTATCAGCCAGATCTTGATCACCCGGTTTGTATTCATTTTTAAAGTCATTTTAACCCCGTTTATAAATTAATTATTTTTCAAGAAATATTGGAAATAAATTTTTCATTATAATTCTAAGATGTGAGAGCTCTTGAACAATTTCAAATTGTCAGGTGTTTTGTATTTCTTTTCTAGCAAGGATCCCTTTTTGACTATTAAATTCAAACTAATTTTCCCTTGCACAGCCCATGTCAATGATAACATATTATAAAATTTTTCGGTGCAGGTTTTGCGACCACAGTCGCATATGGCAAACCTTGAAGTGTGGCGGTATTACCTCAGTGAAGAGCTTGCGCATGGACCCAGTTACGATTTGGAAATAATCCAAATGGATTCCCAGCAAGAGGAAGAGGCTGAAGCCGCTGATGGTGTCACCAAATCCCAGCGCAAAGTTGTATCCTTGGGGTAAGAGATAAGTTTTTCTCCTTTTTTTTAATCAAACAGGAATAAAGTTATTCAAAGTATTGTATCAAGCTAGTCATTGGGCACATTTGAATACTTTTTATGTAAATTTACTCCTCCAGCAATTTTATTTTTCGCTTTACATTAGTACTTCCATTATTCGGCCATCACTTATCCGATGCGAGCTTTGCCACAATTCATCGAATAATCGAAGTATTACTGTATTTGTTAAGGGGAGGAATGCATTGACTTTCTTTAGTAAAGAAGATGAACATCAAAATGGAAATAAATTATATTTTCTGAAAATATCACAAATGTTAAAGCGTCTCTGAGGAGTATTTTTCTTATTTAATCAAATTTCTGCTTTATTTTAGGTATCATTCAGTGGAGCGATCTCTCCCAGATGCATTCACCTACATCCTTGAAGATATCCACAAACTAGAGACGGAATTGGGACACTTACCTCAGAAGTGGAAAATTCTGTGGGACACACTGGAACTTCCGACAACAGACTCCCTCACGGTAAATCAGTCAACTTTTCAAGAACATTTTTTTTTATCTCTTTTCTCATTCAACTTTCTATTTACACTGTAAAAATCGTTCTATTGTTACTCCAGTCCGATTACAAGAGAATAGTATATATATAATAGCAACAAGCAACACAGAGCAATGCATCCATATCATAAGTACTATGAAGAAATAGAAATAATGTCAAATAGAGAAAAATTGGCGAAAATTCGTTGAATATCAATAAAAGAATAAAAACGCTTTGGCCATAGACAAAAAAGGAATACTATTTTGAATTATAGATTAAACAAATGCAGGCTGCATTAATGCAATAAATTTAAAACAAGCTTTAAACAAACAACAAAAAAGACAAAAAAACTCCATAAAATATGGGAACAAAATACAAATGAAGAATGAAGGTATCATGAATCACCCAACCTATCATGCTCCAACATAAATATTTTTGAATGTGTACTTTCCAATATCTCTGTTTTGAGTCTAATAATCGTTGATAATTGCAGCGACATGCATCTTTAAGCACACAGCTGGTTCGCTGGCATGGTCGTCTGTTGCACAAGCGCTCAACGCTGGAGATCCTAATGCGAGGAAAACTTGTCGGCACAAGCAACACTCAAGAATCATCTTCGCATCAGCCATATTCTGCTCCTCACCGCTTCGAACGCTACAACTTCACGACTCCAACCTACTGTGATCAATGTAACAATGTACTGTGGGGCCCTGTGAAGGTAACAGTAATTTGTTTTTTTCCCATTCTTTGCATTAAAAGTTGAATTTAGTTTGAATCAAGCATTAGCTTTCCAGAAAACAAGCACAGTGACATGAGCTAAAAAAAAAATAATAAAGTTTGCATTAGTATAGAACTATTACTTTTCAAGGATTTTATTTTAAACTTAAGCGTGATGTATCGTAGCATTTGAGTAGTTTATGTTTTTTCAGTTTCTTAGAAATTTATGTTGATCTGTCTTGAGTGTCTTTCCTTAAATTTTTCCTCATTTTTTGTTATTTTCAGACGGGCATGCGCTGTTGTGATTGCGGATACAGCTGTCATGAGAAGTGTATTGAGAGTGTCGCCAAGAACTGTACGAAATACAAGGCTGTCTCAGATAATCACTCAAATGCTAACAGCTCTCGGGCTCAATGTGATAGTTCCTCTATGAATTCAAGTAAGTCACTATAATTTAAATTACATCACAGCTGTCTAGATTTTTATCTAGAAGTTACTGAACAAATCATCTTTTAAAAAAAAGAAAGTTTTTTGGGAATTAATTTCTAATCACCTTTTGGACCTCTGAATTCGATGGTATTTATGTAATATTTTATGTTTCTCTACTCACAATCCGTTGATGATGTTTTGATCTGTGATGTGCTAATCTGATGAAACTTGATTCAGATGAGGTTGTGCACTATTATGTGGGTTGCACTAAGAAACAAGACAGACCTTGGCTTGACAATGCGTAATTGATGATTTGCTTTGACTGTTGGGTAGGTTGCTCTCAATATTTTTTTATTCGCAAATCCCTAGTCTCTGGTGAATGTAGATTTTTTTATTGGGGAAAATTATAAACTCTGAAAAAATGTGAAGTTATTTATGCTATATTAATTAGTTCTTTTCCAAAGTATATTTTTGTCTCTCGCATGGTAGAATGTATTTCATCTGCGCTTTTTCAATAATTCTAAGGACATTTTATATTTTCGTCGGCAAACGATTCTACAAGCTTGTCTGAAAGTTATGTGTCTTTTCTTGCAATTGCTAAGAATAATAACTGTAAATTTCAGGCAACTTTATCTCTCTTATAAAAAATAAAATGTCCACAAGAAATACTGTAACAGCACAATTGCAATACATTCCTTCAAGTGAGAAACAACAATACGTATATTTCATTAAGTTTGTGGTAGAATGTGTCAGATTAGTTTGGGTCCCCTGTAAGATGGGCACAAAAAATCAAGTGGTTAGAAATATTTTTTTTAACTGTAGTGGATAGGTTACCAGAAGTATTCATAACCTTTTTTACTGCTGCAGGTGTGAATGTTTTACAAAGCTCAAATCAGCAGTACTACAATGACTTTTCTTCGCATGTTGCTGAGAATCGAACACATGAAGGGTACCTGTACAAACGGGGTGCTTTGCTCAAAGGTTGGAAGCAACGGTGGTTTGTTCTAGACTCCATCAAGCACCAGCTCCGTTACTATGATGCCATGGAAGATTCTCACTGCAAAGGATTCATAGGTAGAAAATTTATCATTAGCTCTTTTTAACTATACCTGTACGACTTTTCTCCAGAAGCAGTTTAAATGCATCACTAGCTGTTTTACTTCCTCTTATGATTTATTTTTTTTCATAGGGAATCAATCAAAATTCTTCCTCGGAATTTTGTACGTATCGTTGAATCTTGGTATGTTGGGCGGTTTTGAAATATTATTGAACAATGGAGATCAAATTTGGACAAGAGAAAAGAGACAATTGGGCCTCTAGTTCCAAAGTCAGGGAAGAATGTCATGAGAAAGAAGATGAAAAGTCAGAGATCGCCACTAAGGTCCCATAGGGCTGTTGATTCAGAGACCTAAGTCACGGAAATGTTATGGAGGTGCGGAGAGGGGGGGGGGTGTCGAAAAATCCAAAATTAAGCTTTACGTTTTTTATTAATGGCCTCTACTGTCTTACCCTGTAAAATGCTTTACTTGCGGTTTCTGTGAAACCCAACAACGGAAATTCTGGTGAACGAAGTTTTTTTGTAAAAAAATTCGGAAATTTTGTGCAAGCAAAAAAGTTTTGAGGTTGAGGGATGAGACTGCATCTCTATTCTAGTTATCTAATATGTGATTCCTAACTTTTTTTGATGTTCTAGTACAGCATGCATTTGCAAGTGCTTCATTCGACTAAATGTACCTATGGTAGAAAAACTAGACGACAGATAAATATGTTGAAGTTGAAAGAATTTTTGACGCAAGCAGAATTTGAGATTCTAACTTATCGTGTCGTCAGTGAGAAACGGACAGGACCAGTGAAGAAATAACTGATCTCCTAATAATATGGAGTCTGGCCCTAATGTAACATATTAAAGTTATAATGTAAATTTACTAAAATGTGAAACTTTAAGTTTACCATTTTTTGTTTCCTTCTCTGAACAACCAGATGGAGGCAGACATTTCCTCTGTTCCATTTTTATTTGTAAATCTGTGTTGCGATCTAAGCTTTTGAAAATAATATTTTTCTCTGAATGGTCTCCGCTGATTTTTACCTGTCTCTGATTCCATTAATTTTGTTTTCTAGATCTCGCCGAGGTTCAGTCTGTAAATAATGCTCAGGCCGCTCCTGTGCCTCCAAAGAGGACCGATGATAAATCATTCTTTGATGTAAGTATTGAAAATTGTTTGATCTACAGTAGATGAATGAACCACCAGACAAGGTGGGAATTTAAGAATTATAATGCATGCTCTCTCATCAAAATTTCACATAAAAAACGATTTGTGAAACGTAAATTAATGAAAGTAACCTCTTAACATTTATTGAAGCCTAAATTTAAACTTCTAAACCTGTAGAAAAAACTATACTCTACCTGAGTTCAATCGCACTTTAGACGTCATCGTAACAGTCTCTGCAGTACAAAAATATGGCAACCTCAATCTTGACACTAAGGTTCAGCTGTTGCATGTTTTTTAGACTTGAACTACTCAGGGCAGGGGAGAAATACTGCTCAACTGAGAAGCCTACTATTGTAGTGTGTAATTCGGTTCATGTAAACTGTCGTTTTTCCAAGCGGGCATCCAAATTTTTTGTAATCAGTGGTTGATGAAAACGTTGATACTTCGGTCAGGAGTTTATTTGAGTAATTTTCAATGGGAAAATTGTGATTCATGTCAAATTTCGAAAAGAATTCATCTTTCAGAATCTTTAAATTTGTACCTTGTCAAGTGGACAATTAATTCGATTTTTTTAACAAATTGCAATGATCTAGTAACTTGCAGAAAAAATAATTTTTCTCAACTTTTGAAGTTCAAAAGATGAAGGATTCTCATGGTAGATGCCTCCAAAATTTAGACAAAATTTTTTCCATTTTTATAGATCACCAGAAAAATTTGTCCCAATTTTAAATTGACGGTAAGTAATGGATCCAATATTTTGATTTTGTGTGGTGCCAAAAAATGGATCTGAAGTTGCCATCTTCAATTATTAGTGTAAATCAATAAAAGCCAAGTGCATGGTGTGTAAAAAAATTCCGTTCAATGTTTGTTTTTGCTAATGACGAAGGCCACTTCAAAATATTATCAAAGTTTCCGAAATGCTTCATTTCAATGTAGCAAACGTTTCAGGTCTTGTTAAATTTTCTGGGAAAAGTAAATTTCATTGTGTCTATCAATATATTCTAATTGTGGTTCTATTTTTTATTTGTCGCAGTTGAAGACTAGTCGTAGAACGTATAACTTTTGCGCCAGTGACGCAACAACCGCTCAGGAATGGATCGAGAAGATCCAAGCTTGTCTACAGTAGTTATTTATTTGCTCATTGCTCTCTGCTCTCTTTCAAGTTACTCATGTTACCGTCATTTATCTTGTACATTTGGCTTCAGTCTTTGTGAGTATCCATTCATTTGTCCATTGTAATATTCAGTGTGAAACATATGAAAAGTTTCAAGCCGTTCTATGTTGAAAACCTCTCATCATCATGATGCGCTGGGCTGCTTATGCCTAACCAGTATTTTTTTACGAATTCAATTAATTTGGTTTAGTTCTCAGCTATAACATAAACCTTATTTTGGATAGCCTTCGTTCAATCTAGAAACCCATAAAACGAGGTATCTGGCTGTTCCTGCAAATCTAATTCTTCATTCATGATTTATTCATAACTCTTTTAAAGAACCAAAGCTTATTGTTTTTCTCAATAATCATTCTTATTTTTATTTTCTGAGCATAACATTACTTTTCTGCCTATTGTTAAAGCTAATTGTTCAAATAAATCTAAAATAAGACGTACATTTTTTTCAGGTTATGCTTTGCGCCCAAATGAGTCACTAGTGTTACGCTTCTGCTACTATTAACTTGTTTTCAAGTCTCCACACCTTGCCAGAATTTCGCTTCGACTGGGCTCAAGTATTTAAGTTAGCTTAATCAAAATGTTATTTTTAAAATTTGAAAGTCATTGTATAATTTTTTTTTTTATTATTATTTATGGTCAAATTCCCAAAATTTTTAGCTTGGTAACATGACAACTAGAAGAAATTTATGTTTCTGCTGGAATCAGCTTTTTCAAACATTTACCAAAAGCGACTTTTTGAGGAGTAGAGTAGACACGTAACACATTCTGTTCCGATTCTACATTTTTGTTTTCTTTTTCCTAATTCTATTTTTATAATTGAATCACATATCTGTAAGTTATTCCCCTTTTATATGACTTTCTTTTCTACTTTATTACTGAAGGATTGAATATGTACTGCTTTTATCAAAAATTGCTTTAGATAGAATTGCTTTTTTTTATGAGTAGGAACACATAATTATTCTATGATCCCAAGAAGTATTCTAGTAGAAACTTGGTAGTTATTTTTTGCTTTCGAATTTAAATAAATTCCTCTCGTTCTCTTTCTGTAACCGTACAACGAAGACTCCCTAAAATTACTGCATAATGTTTAATAAGGAATCTCAAGGCAAATACTTAAACAAATCATCACTTAAAAAAATTTTTGTCTGTTTAAACCCATCTCTAAATTGTTACCGCAAAATGATCAGAAGACTAAAAATCAAAAGACATGTAAACTTATAAGATTCTTTATGTCATTGTAAATTTATCTCTTAAACATGCTCGGTAGCTCATAAACTGGAACTTTAGGGAAGTTTATCCTAACTATCTTGCTACAACTTTCATGCGCTGCTCAAAATTTTCACTCCAATAGTTACTTTGAATAATATTATTGTACTTAACGTTGTCAAAGCTGTAAAAATTTAGTTCATCGTAGCATGTGTTCGTCTTGACAAAGGCAGGCAACTTGAAGCACAAGCATTTTTTGAAAAAAAATTCACCTCTCTGAAAGAGGCAACTTGAAGCACAAGCATTTTTTAAAAAAATAAACTCACCTCTCTTAAAAAATTCACCTGCTCCAACGTTCATTCACTATTTTTATATAATTTCACATGCTTCTTTTGCTTTGCGAAGCTAGCATTTTTAAAATTTTATAACTGAGTAGACTTTGTTCAATTTTTACTCAATACTTAGTATGTGAAGTGTTGTGCGTGTATAGAACTATTTAAATGCTACAGTCTATAGATTAGCTGCCTTTTGTCTGCCTTTTTTTTAAAAAACTAGGTTCTCTCTAAGTTGCTCAGTCTGGAGGTTCACCCTTATTTAAGCCCTTAATTCCTTTCTATCAAATAAATTGAATAAATAGACTTCATTATTCAGTTTCACTGTCCTCAAGTATAAATATTTTCTTTCTTGCTATGCAGACACGTAGAAAAGACAAACAGATAATGATGAGAGAAAGATTACTACTAAATTGGGGAACAGCAGGAAAAATTCCAACCTGTTGGGTTTCCGTGTCAGTTTTGAGAGTTCAAGAAATGAGCCTCCATTTGTGGAAAAATTTCCCAATGATTTGAAGAATGAAGATTTTGTTGGAAGAGTTTAGGGTTTTAATTTTCAACAGGGAATATTGTATGCAGAGATTCCAAGTATGAATTTAGAATGTATCTTCGCAAGTCATATCAAGCTGAGCTACTTACCAGAGTTAGACCAAGGACATATTGTGAATTTAGTCGTAATAAAATCAAGTTCTTAGTTTTTCCTTGACGTTCGTCCGTTACATACAAGCAATTCATTCAATTCAAACCATGTGAAAAATAGGCCTGTTCCAGACCTTGGTCTGGTATCCCGACGTAGCCATGAATTTGGCCATTTCTAAAATACTCATCTTACTTAACGTCCAGGTCTGCTTCTCATCGATCCTTTCTAAGTCCTCATGTGAAAACTCTATCAGCAGGCTTAGTAATATACTAATTTCATGTTACTCATTAATGAACGGATCTTCAATAATTTCAAATTGGAGTACAAGTCTGATTTGTTGTTTCTTCTAAAATTAACCCTAATTTCAAATATTTGTAGAGAACCTCAATAATTTTTTAATATTTTCTTCTATACAGAAAAATTTGTCGGTTTTCTGGTTTTTCAATAATTACGAGACTCGGTAATCATTCTCTGAAGATGCTAAACTCGATTTAATTCTCCAAACTAGATTTTAAAATGCTCCTGCTTGAAATCTCGACTTGAATTCGCCTCTCTTGCTTAATTATCACGTGTATCAAGCCCAGGGATTTCAACTCAGTGTGCTTAAGGAGCCTTTACAGATATTTGAAATCTGCGAAAATTCAAGAAGTGTCTTTCAATTTTGGCCCAAGTATTCAGCCCATACAATCAAAATTGTTGAGGAGAGTTATGTTGTAGAAGCTGGTGCGGCTACGTTGAAACGTAGTCGCACAGTTCGACAATTTAGATCCGATGCTTTATTTTATCAAAAGCTCTCTTCTGAAGAATTGTAAAATTCTTCCCCTTATCCTGAGAATTTCATTTGTTTCTGAAATTTGAAATTACTTTCCTTTCGTTACAAACCCTTGTAAGCGCAGAAGCTTTGATGTTACTCCTCAGCTGTTGATTTTCTGTTTGTAAATAATTTCCTCTCTGTTGAATTTTACTTGCAATTGCTTCCTCAAATATTGTTCAAAGTGTATCTTGCGTAGGCGTTACCATGAAATTTTCATCCAAATGCATCGAGGGTCATGACTTTGGACCGAGTTTAACAGCAGAATGGAACCGAGAAATGTAGGTTTGAAGTTTATTCCTCCACAAGGCTCAACGTTAAGGACAAAGTCCAAGGACTATTTCCACATTCAAAATATTATCACTAGACTTTGAATTTTTGACGGGAGAAACTTTACAGCCGATAGAATTATAAACTATTCCAGACTCTTTTTTCTAGAAATGCGACTTGATATGTTTCTGTTCTTGGTTCCTCCCAATCATTGAATACGTCCAAGGAACCATCTCTGCTGTTGTTGTTGCTAAGACTTGGCCCAGATATGCTTTATGTCCAAGTAGATTTTTTCATTATAATTGATGAAGCAATCCAGCGCTGTTCTTTCCTCTATCCCATATGTAAATTTTTCTCACGTTAATTTGGTATCCTATAAATATTTATCTTGCTGTTTTTTATCTTGTACAGTCAATGTTACGTTAGCTTATCCTTAGCTTGTTGTTATCCTATGGGTCTTTTTTGAAAAATGCACTGAAAATATTGGTTTCTGCTCTGCTGGATCAAGAATCCTGGTTTGTCATCAGAAAATTTGTTGTAATGCTGCAGCCTATTTCATCCCTGTGAGATTATCGCATTTAGAAGATTTAAAACAATGTATCTCTCCTTTAGCACAAGATGTTTCAAAGCTGTGGTTGTAGGTCATTTTTCCGTACAAAACATCCCTAGTTTGCTGAAGAAAATATCTTTCCTCCAACTATCAACTATTTAAATTCATGAATTGAATATGTTTTATTCTGTACTTTTTTCTCATGAAAGCTTTATCTGAAAGTTATAATTATTGCACCCCTTAGGAGTGTGTAGTACAAATTCTCCAATGAAATGAACTATCATATCAATTTTTTCACATTAAAACTGCCAGAAAAAAATAACTTTCATGTTCCATTTTTGAACTTTCTAAAAACCATCTGTACATCAACATTTTTTGTATCATTGCTCCTCCACTCCCCTCTTATACGCCTACTAATTTTCACCCGGGCATTTGAAATCAGACGATAGAATTGGTTTCTTTTATTCCTTTTTACTAGTTGCAGTCTCTTCTGGATCTCAGTTTAAGAATGTAACTTTAAGTTTTTGAATTTGTACATTTTACGTTCGTTGTGATATCTGCGGAAAACGCAGAATTCTAGGCCCTTGCTAGAAATGTTTAGTGTGTGGAATAAAATCGTTTCAATGCCGTGTTATTGACTACAAGCCACGTCTGATTGCCGAAGGCCTTGAATCTGAGTTGAAGAAAAGTCATGATTGTTTCACACAGCTCAAAAATAGTTTGTCTAGTGTTCTTGTGCCCTAATCTAGCGTCCTTGTGATTAACTTTTTACAAAGCATAATTAGTAATTATTTGTCTAGACTAAAAAAAATGTTATCAAAATTTTTATGAAAATTGTAAACGAAAAAATAATCTTCAGGCCTAACTATGTATTCTGTGGGAATTTCATCTTCAGAAATTTCTGATGATACACTTAACCTCACTGAACTTAGTCCACATCAACTCAAGGGAGCAGCTGGCCAATCATTGAAATTGTTACCCAGAGCTATAGACAAAAAAGTCAAACGAGATATGGAGGGATCCCATTGGTGGAAGGAGATGGTTGCAATGGACAAAGGAGGTAGGAATGGACTGCTAACGGCAACCCGCAAGAGACCTGATAGTCCATCATTTCCTCCCTTAGTCTATAAACCACCCATTCCAACCAATAGAATCGCTCAATATTATCTATGTCTTCTTTGTTTATCAATTTCAATTATCAGTCCGCTGGTAGATTTGGGATTAGAATCTGTAATTGGCAACGCATAAATCTCTTAACTTTGTGTATGCTTAAAGTATAATCAAGTAAATGTTGTGAGTTATTACTTAAGTTATACCTGTAGTCTGTTTTGTGTGCAAAATGTGCTTCCATTGGCTATCAGGTCGCTTAGGTAATTATCCTCTATGCTTCTTGGAAAATTAGCACTCCTAAAAATTCTCAGCCGCAACCCTCAATTATGAACGAAATTATGCAACACACATAGAATGATGTGATTAATGTTTTTTTCTCCTGAGTGGAAAAGTTTTCAAATTCAAGTTCAGTCTTTGTCTAATTAGTTTCACTCTACTCATTGAAAATTGTATCAAGCAAAAATTAAACCATTTAAGTAACATTCTAAAAGTTGCGATGAAATGTTTCTGTTACTTGGAAAATCTCTATATCAGTTCACCACCACTTTAGCTGAGATCTTAAAGAGTATGATAATAGTGAGTGAATACTGAAGGGTTATACACTACATTTTTTTTTTTTTTTTTTTTTTTTTTTTTTTTTTTTTTTTAAGCAATAGACATTATAAGTTAATTTTACAAGCCAATTAAGCCAACAGACCGTACGATTTTATCCATCAATGTTTTCCGCTCATTCCACAGTCCATCTTCAAATTCAGGTATTATAAGACGAAATTCGACCAGTTATTTCCCGAAGTCTTTGTTTCACCCTAATTCTTTGAAACTTGAGGCTTGGTTCCTTTCTTTTGATTAAATCAAAACCGAATATAGTACAGTTGAACGTGTTTTCCAAGTCGCTTGTATTACAGTCGTAAAATTTTGTGGTTTTTTTTTGTACGTAGCAAATTTTGAACTTTAAATCACATACGCTAAAAAAATTGGTGGAAGAATGTGACAGAAGTGCCGTTACGCCATTGTTTTGTTGGAAAATACTCAGCCAAAGATCGAAAGGCGTAGGAAGTAAGTTTTTGACAGTTCATATTTTCTTAAGACGTGTATGATGTAAGATTATTTATATACTGAACTAATTTTGTTTGTAATTAATAATCATTTATACCTGGGAAGATTTATAAACAAAAGAAAATGTTTTCAAAAATTGAATTGCCTATCTTATTATTATCCTGCCTCCTTCTCAAAGCAATAAGCTGATTTAGTGGGTTAGTCATTGTTGCAATATTTGACATTCTGATTTGCTGTACATAATTGATATATGTATGATGATTCAAACTAAAACTAACAAACATACCCACAAGTCTAAATTCTGAATGAGTTAATTGTGTCAATTCAAGAATATTTTGTCAAACAAGCCATATATCAAGAATATTTTGTCAAACAAGCCATATATAAATTAAAGACTTATTCAACATGAGAAATTTTGATTGCAAGAAGCAACCGATGCATCTTTTACCACCATGGCGCAAACAGGATAAGATCACTAGTCTTTACATTTGAGCCGATACTGCGATAAAACTATAATGTAGCCACTAACTCAGACCATGGAGCACAGTGCATTTTTTCCAAAGTCACCTGGAAAAATTGTAGTCTAATGTAAGAAAAAAATTTATTTTTTTTAAGATAAAAAATTACATATAATAAATAGTTGAGACTTTGATGTCAAATTGAATGGCTCCTGTGTATGAATGATTGACTATGATGTTAAATTATTCATAAAACCTATGCAAGTATTTGTAGATTGAATCAGTCATTAGATCAATGAATGTTCTGCAAAATGAATCAACAATATCTGAAAATGTGTGAATACATTTATTCAACTCCATAAGCTTTGATAAAATCAGGGTAAAAAATCAAACAAATAGAGGTAACAAATTGTGAGCTGACAAGTCAACAAATGGACTACGTATGAGTGAAAATATACAGGCATCAGACATCATTCTATAAAAAAACACTGTTTCTTCATGAAAATGCTCCTAGAAAAATTACTCAACTTCATATACATGTAGTGTACGATTTTTCATCTCCCAGACAAAATATTTTTATTCATACCACATAGAGCCTCAGAGCTCATGTTAAAGTTAATCGGACTTCATTTTGCGATTGGATTAAAAATTGCAATTTGGAACTACCAATTTCTGGTTCTGTGAAGAAACAACGTATGTACCATTAGTTTCTCTGTATACATGTGTGTATGCAGATGAGCCAGAAATTGTAGTGCGTAATAGCAAAATTTAGTCCAATTCGAAACTAAAATTTCTGGCTTATATCCGTAAAAAGTCATATTTACACCAGGAAACTGATGGTACATATATTGTTTCTATACCAAACCAGAAATTGTAGTCCCAAATTGCAAAATGTAGTCCAATCAAGAGGTAAGGGCTGAACCTGATGAGCTGCCATGCTGAGTCAAAGAGCGGTAAATCTATATTTTGCCGTAAATCTACAAATTGCAAAATATAATTCTACTTGTTTCAAAGAATTAGATACACTGTACATTAAAGCCTAGATTGAAACGTTTACATCGATGATTACGGATTAGTCGCATTTAACTTGCATTTTCCTGTAAGTTTGAAATCCTGCATTTATTGCTGACTGACTTAGCACGGCAGTGAACTGACGCTTAAAGTTTCTCATAGTCATGACAGAATGAAAGAAAAGGCAGCTCAATAGCAGTCATGTACTTGATGTATACGTTTTCATTGATAAAATGAAAGATGAAACTTCTGCAGTTTAATTTTTTTCTTTGATGGAAATTTTAAAAAAACATAAAAATGCACACCAAACTTTTTGCAATTCAAAAGTATACTTGACAAAGAAATTTAGAAAAGTACATGAGTGATGGAAATGGATATGATTCTAAATTTAAGAGCATAAGGATATAACCATGAAATCCTTCCGTATTCTTGATCTTGAGGTCCAAGAAAAAGTAGGTCTTAAGCAAGATGTACATATTTTAAAGTAAGTGGGTCCAGTTTGTCGAGAAGAACAAAATTATTAGGATTTTTGCATTAAGATTATTAACTCCATGTAAAGTGAACCCTGAGTCCTATGATGTTTTAAGAGCCAGTGAGACAGCAAACACTCACTCATGTAAGACTATTTTTATGAAACTTTGGCGAGGAACCGAATTATTTGAACGATCAAGAGGTGGCCTGTTCTTATTAATAAATTGGACCATCATCCAAATTATCATCCTCATCATCGAGATAACCTTCTCCGTTATCGAAGTAGTTTTCATTGTAATCAGTTCCATCGTCCATCTCTTCATCAGCCTCTTCTTCATCACCTAGCTCTCCCTCCTCCTCCCCTCCTTCCTCTTTGGCCCCTTCTTCAGGAGTGACCTCTTCTGCTTTCTCTTCCTTCCCTGATTCCTCACTCTTTTCTAATGCGTCTAGCCATTCCAAATTTGCTTTCCGTTTCAAAACCGGTTTCTTCACTGCAGGCTTCTTGAAATGAGGCTTAAGTTCACTAGGGTAGACATCCCAGTTAAGAAGCCGAGGTTCTCTTTCCTTGCCTTCCTCTGACCTGGAAAAGTACTTGAGGATGTCCTTTTTGTACCGAAGCCGTTTTGAGTATTCTGGTTTGAGATCTAGCTCTGCTGGGTGAAATTCAAGTCCAGGGAACAGTGGTGGTGGCTGAAGAACAGGTCCAGGAAGCGCCTCGCCTGGCGCAATGCCTATTTGCTCTGCTGCAAATGACAGGGCTGCTCTACCGCGACCACGACCAGCCATTTTAATGTCTTTAAAAAATGAGAGCACTTGACAGGGACCTTGGAAAGATCAGTTTCTCAATCTAAAAATGACAAATTGATCTTTAGAAAGAGTACTTGATGGTGGTGCAATTGAGAATTTATTTACTGGAGCAAGTTATAGACCGATAATTGGCAAACGGCTAAAATTAAATTCTTCCAAGTATGCATGAGGTTTCGTTAGAACTATGCAAGATTTCATATTCAAATTTATCTCTGAACTAATTCAATTTTGGAAGGCAATTGGATTTTCAACAATTAAAAGGTACAGTAATCAACAATGGAGGAGAAAAGCTGTGGAAAAATACTGAATAGTAGACGGATACAAATTCGCAGAAAGTGGTCCTCGGGCAAATACTACTTATCACAATAATATGTGTTTGAAATCAAGTGTTGCACAGTTACAGCTAAAGTCAATAAAAAATGTCTATTAGTCGAGGATGAAATTGCTTGGAATCAATATTGCCCACATAATTTTTGAAAAATGAGAGGACTTAGTTGGTTTCTGACTGACCAGTTTGATGCTTGATGATGTAAGTTAAGGAGTAATCAATTGACAACAGCAGATGATGTTGATTTAGGATGAGACTCTTCTTCAGATTTGATCTTGTCCTCGGTCCGAAATTTCTCTATATCGTAGATTACTTTGACTACCAAAGAGCAACTGGGGCACTCTGCTGCGTCTTTGCCTGCTTTTAGTTCAGTGCCACTGATTTCAAAGCGATCACCACATGGGCACGGATAATAGTAGGTGTCATTCTCCTCATCGTACTCAAAATCTTCTATCTCCACTTCATCGTGATAGATAGACATTTGTCCAACACACCTGATGGATAATAGAAGAAAAAAAAAAGGATTTATTAGCAATATCATCATTTAAAAAATACTGATAGATCTTTGAAAGTACCTCTACAAAGAGAGCACAATTTGAATCGATTATAGAAATAGTAAATCATGGAGCCAGGAAAGATCACAGCTGCAAATAAAGAAATAACTTTACAGTGATCTTCTTGACTTTAGAAGCTACAGGACTAAGCGGAACCCACAGCTTTGATTTTAAATTGAGCTGTTAAGTTTTTCATTGGCTGGCAGCGAAGGAAGCGTTGGATGAAGCGCAATAGGATCAAAGTATTTGGGTGCAATTGATGTTGTCGTCATAATACCTTCCAGATATCATATCTTATCAAACCTCTGCGGAGAAACTCTGAACAATTTAAAGGGGATGATTTTGTTAAAAATTTTCCATGAACTTTCAGTCTTGTTGACGCCAATGGACAGATCTAAAGAGTTGAAAACAAATTAAATCTAACGGCACACTTGAGTTATCATTAGACTGTTTGATACAATATTCATTAATGAACGTTTGTGTAGGTAATAAGGGCTAAGTTAGGATAATGAGATGATGTGTCAAAACTTTTAATGATAGGAATGGGGTTGAAATTCTACAAATCAAGCGAGAGCGAGTAGTTCTTGATGAGGTATTTTGATGCAACAACTGCAGGAGGGTATGGATTCGATCGACATGAACCGATCGAAAAAGGAAAACATCTATTGATCGACATAAATCAATCGACAAATTGTTAAAAAACCGGTGTCGATTCGGTCGACATGAATGGATCGAAAAATGAAGACTTGAATCGATCCACGTGAATCAATCCACACCGATTCGATCGACAAACCCCTGAGTCGATCGACTCATGGGTTTGTCGATCAACTCACGGGTTTGTCAATCGATTCACATGTTTGTCGATTGATTCACGGGTATGTCGATCCATTCACGGCTTTTGTCAATCGATTCACGGGTTTGTCGATCGATTCACGGGTTTATTGATCAACTCAAGGCTTTTGTCGATCGACTCACGGGTTTGTCGATCCATTCATGGGTTTGTCGACCGATTCACAGGTTTGTCGATTAACTCACGAGTTTGTCGATCGGTTCATGGGTTCATCGATCGATTCACGGGTTTGTCAATTGATTCACATTTGTCGATCGAATCGGTGTCGATCAATTCACGTTTTCATTTTTTGATCGAATCATGTCGATCGTATCGATACGGTTGTTTTTAAATTAACTGTCGATCGATTCACGTTTTCATTTTTCGATCGAATCGATACGGTTGTTTTTAAATTAACTGTCGATTGATTCACGTTTTCATTTTTCGATCGATTCATGTCGATCGAATCGACACCGGTTTTTTGACAATTTGTCGATGGAATTGGTGTCGATCGATTCATGTCAATCGATTCACGTTTTCATTTTTCGATCGAATCCATACCCTCCACAACTGCGTACGTGCATTTCATGTGGTGGCGCAAAACCCTGTGGTCGTGAAAAAGACAGAATATGGTAAAATAAATTAGTATATTACCTTCAACTTGTGCCAAAATTAAATTATTCTCTGAGTTTACTTAGCGCGGAGCGAAACTGACAAAACACGTGAGCGAAAATTTTTGTGACAGTTGACAATTGAGGTTAGGTGTTTGTCTGTTTGTTTGTTTGTTTACAATTTATTTTAGGTAAATAAAAATTTAGGTTATGTCTATTATCGGTCCGGTTATCACTAAACGGCTCTTTCATTCTACATTTTTCCGATTTTCAGGATCAACTTCGAAAGTACGCTTGATTTAACTGAGCAGATTGTGAGTTTCTCTCATATACTTTAAAATCTGTTTCCTGCAATTAGTCGCTTTGCAATAAAATCTTTCTATAAAGGCTACATTTGAAATCCGATCATGAACGTAATGCGCAGCTCATATCGGCCTTTTAAATTAGCTCAGCAGTTTTTGAACTTCTCTGCTGATGCATCTAGCAAGTTAAAGGAAATCGAGCAAATGGTTAAAAAGAATAAAGTAGTTGTTTTTATGAAAGGTGTTCCTGATGCGCCAAGATGTGGCTTCAGCAATGCGGTTGTGCAGATCCTCAGAATGCACGATGTCAAGTATGATGCTCATGATGTATTAGCCGACGAAAGTCTCAGGAATGGTAAGCATTTTTAGACTATTCAAACCTTTACTCTGCTACTTCTCTCTTGAAGGTGATCAGAGTCTCAATGCCTCTATTGGTAGAATTTCTGAAGCGGACTTGGGCCCCTCGCTGTACTTAAGCCAGTTTAAACGTCTTGGCCGTCTATTTACAAAGTAAAAATTACACCAAATCATGGCCCGAATACTGTTTGCATAGGCTTACTTGCGGACAACTCGGGGTGGGAAACTGAAGTTCTTACCAAATAGTGAAGCCGGTGTGACTGAAATGAGACTACAGCAAAGCATCTCTAACGTAGATGCTTAAGCTGAACATTCTCCCCCTCAGTCCTGGCTAGAAACTCACTAAAATTTATTGTAATTCTACTTCTAGTTTTTCGTCTTATCTTCATCACAATTTTAAGGTGAAAATTATGCAATTAGGCTTATGGCAAAGAGGTCAAAAGTTTATGTTCAGACCATGAAGTCTAAAATACTAGCAATGTCTTATATGCTGATAATTCCCTGATTTTTGAAGGTAAATTTCTCATAAGAATCTACGATTAACTCTCATTCTTCCCCACATTTTTTGGAATTTTCATCAAAGTTAAGAGAAAATGTTTTGATTTGTTCATCTTCATGGTGACACCAAATCACAGTAGGATGAGTTGCAAAATTTTTGAACCAAATAGTCTTGGTAAGCGCAAGAGGAGAAATTCCCAGTTTTTGGGACCAATTCTGTAGCTTTCCCAGAGATTTTATGCGCTCTGATAAATCCAAATTTTTCCTGGTTTTTCTAGATCCTGGACACCAGGGTTTGAACACTGTTTTTGATTATACTTAGCAATTATATAGCGGGATGATGGAATAGTGTTGGATCAACAATAGTCTGAATGTCACACTTGGTGGCGCTTACCAGATTCTGAATTTCCACTCTTCAACTATACTGCTGTGCTGAGGAAGAACGCCGTATGAACATTTGAGAGTTGCCAAATTTCCTTCAATAAAATGTTTATTTTTGAGGGAAGATACAAATATTTTTCCTTGACATATTCAGGGACTTGAGGTGAAACTGTGAACAAAATTATCTGAAAAATTGAAAGGAAAATATTTATAAGTTTACCAGGAAATTCATGTTTTGTCAAAGGAAATTGGCAACGTCTGAAGGTTTATACAGCGTTTTTCCTTAGCACAGCAGTATTTGCCCATTGAGTTCGAGATTGACATTCTGTTTTTTTAAGTGTAAGTATCAAGCGCAATATTACCCCACTGATGTAATTAAGTTGAACATTCTTAAAATTCTGGAACCCTCTGAACATACCTTGACTTCTCTTTTCTCCTTTCCTGCAGGCATCAAGGAATTTTCCAGCTGGCCCACAATTCCTCAAGTTTTCATAGATGGAGAATTCGTTGGGGGCTGTGATATACTTCTTCAGATGCACCAAAATGGTGAACTTATTGATCAACTTCAAAAAGCAGGAATCAGCTCTGCGCTACTTAAAGAAGCAGTTGAAGGTGACAAGAAGAATGACAAATAGCTGTCTTAAATTTTCCTGTCAAGGTTTTATACGTGTATATAAGTAGATTATTTATTCGCTCCTTTTGAACAGTCTCTTAACATGAAGACTGAATGTATACCCAAGCAGGAATGAAAAGCCACTGAAAACTTACTGTGAAAGCAGTTTGAGAGAAATTTCAATACTCACGTCAAGCAATAGTAATGAAGCCTTTTTTTTTCTTTCTTTTTTTTGAACCAAAATTAATGAAATTTAATATGACAGGTAGTCTGCAAGGGTTCTAAGGGGGAAAAACTCCACTACAGTTTTTATTCATCTGCTATTGTTGTAAAATTGAAAAACTTTCCCCTGTTTTGAAAATATAGACCTCTTTTTTATTGAAAAGAAGACTTCTGTGTCAGCGTTTTCATCTTACCAGTGTCTGCTCAAGGACTTCGGAGTGAGGAGATTTATTATTTTGTTAGACCTATCTTTCATCTATAGTTTTTTTTCTTAAACAGCATTACCAGCAGTGGCATTTCTTCCATAACCCATAAGTTTGGAAACGAACCTCAATTCTTTTGCCTAACAAGAACCCTTTCCAAATTTATCATGATTATCTTACGTTCGCATCCCCTTCCTAGGTATTTTTTTTTTCTTGCAGTTTTGATTTCATGTTATACTTTTTTCTGTAAATAGCTTAGTTTTTTCACTAAAAAATCATTGGTTTTTTTTAAATAGGTAATTTAGGTTCTTTTACCATTGTTGAGTTTGAATTATATGCTGTGTCCTTACTGAAGTAACTGTGTTTTTTCTGTCCTCTCTTTTTGTCAGTCATGGAAATTTTTGATACTTGGGTGTGCATTAAATTATACACTTTTTTTGCTCTGTAACTCTTCCCTCTCCACAAAAAACTTTTTCCAAAGAACTAGGTTTAAGAATGGGAAGCTAATTGCACATTACAGGGTGATGCAGAAGTCCTGCACCTTTCCCTGAACCCCTAGGCATTTTACAGTAGACCTACTTTCCGGAAACCGACTCTTGCTCCTTTTCAAGATTGTTCCATGGAAATTTTGGGCGTTCGCAGTTTTCATTTCCTTTGTCCTAGGAACCAAGAGTGGAACACTCGCAAAATGTAAAGTCTCTATCTCAATTTGTTCAAAAGTTATAAGGTGATGCCTGTTGCTAGTGGTTGGGAATCTTGGATCACCCTGTACATTTGTAGAGCACTTCCTAACTGCAAGCATGCGAAGCGTAATGTGCTGAGTTCAATGGTCTTCAGCAAGGAAATGCATGGCGTTCATTTTCTTTCATAGATCCTAGCGATTCAGTATGATTCAAAAGTCCTGTACAACCCCTGAAACTTTTTTTTCTAATTGAGCTATTGTGTCTAAACTTCTGGCATGTTCATAGAAAACTACTATGCAATCTTGGAGGGGACTCCCTGGAAGATGGCACAGACACTAACCTTTTTATTTCAAATAGCAACCCCTAGCTTGTGATGTATCGTTGGAAAGGGTAGGAAAAACATTTTTCGGGCTGACTTGAGGTCAATATTTGAAACCGTTAGAAAATGGCGGCCAGTTGAAGTTGAAGATGCGGAATGAAAAGCAACTCCGTGACCTATCAACAGATTTGTTTCATACTTGATACTATTTTTTGAAAACTTATCTTAAAATGGCAAGAAACTGGTATTATTCTGCTACTTGATAGGGACGCTTGTTTTTCAAACAAATGGCGAATTCGTGTGTTTGGCACCACTAAAATCCCCCAGATACTAAGTTTGAAGCAAAGTCTTCGAGTAACTGGAAACATGATCAGTTCCCAGTCATTAAAAAGCCGCCATCTTATAAAGAATTTGATGGTTTGAAAAACAAGCGACAGGTTCATGTTGGGTCCTCTGAAAAACTACCAGGTACCGGGTTTGAGGATCAAGAGAAAAGAACAAAGGTTTTAAAAAAGACAAGAGTTACATTTACTACCTAAAAAGTCAATGATCAGTGTTACATACATACAAAATAGTTTAATACAAAAAGAAGTTCAACTGGCCAAGGGTGTGAAGGCATAAGCTGAATTTTTTTATGAGGCACAGACATTAAAATTGGAACAACGGTCAATTTTTCTGCTTGTCTTGGGTTAAATCTAATGACAAATCGGAATCATATTACATTAGCCTACAGTTTCTAACAAAATAATTTTTAAAAAAAAGTGCAATGAATCGCCCACATCTTCTATTTGGAGCAATGCAATTCCTACCTAAAAATAATCGGAAATCAAAAGAAGATTATGGGTTGCAGTAAATCATTAAAAGTTAAGTGTAAAATGCTATGTAGAGTATGTAACTGGGCCATTACTGTTAGTGATGAGACCCTGACTTTTCAAATTGAATCCAGGTTAAATGCTCTTCAACTTACTTTCTGAGCTAGTCTAGCAAGATCGTCAACCCAACCTCATTAGAGGAGACTGCCTGGAGAATTATCAAAATACTGCAACCCTCTGGGACATATTCATAGTCGTTCCTGAAACTCCTATTCTGTTGAATTTTACTTGAGACTCACTGAAATTTTCCTTCATATGATGCAATGTTCCTTAAACCTCTCAAGGTCACAATATAAACCGAACAGGGCCTCTCAAAAAAAAGAGCCGTTTAAGGAGCGACTATAATTACGGCCCTCAAACGTAAGTATTCATTGCATATTAAGACAATGAATAACAACAGATTCAAGGAATACTGATGTGATAAAAACAAATAGTTATCATTGAACACAATATTGAAGATTTTCCAATTCAAGCACAGATCCTATCAACAGGAAGAATTTTGATTTAGGGAAGCCCATGCAGAGTTGAAAGTATCACAGCCTGCTGTATGAATGCTTGCTTGCACGTTATGTGAGCTGATCGCAGTGATTCAAACCATTTAGTCACACGAGATTACATGATGTCATATTGGCAAAATCTCTGATTAGATCAATACTTTAAACATTTACTCAGATAATTTCATCCTTTTTTTACAAATTATTTTCAGCACAAAAATAGGATTATAAATTGAGTTGTCCAAGTAGACACATTTAGGTGTAGAAGTTTCACTTGCTAACAGAGTTAAAGGTACGTCACATTTTTGTGGAATGCGGTAGTTGCAGAAGAAAAACAAAAAAGGATTAAAAACTGAAAATTAAATGCTTATTTGATAAAAAATGCAGAATAATACTCGCCTCTTTTTTTGTTTACTTGCTGGGACTGAAATAAAAGTGGGAATTGGGCATGAGGAAAACACTCCTATTTGCTCAGAAAATAATTTACCTAGAAAATTACAAATCCATTCTGTTTCAAACAAATAATTTTTGAAATCATTTGTTCCTATTATAATGCCAGAAGAACAAGATTGGTTATGAATTCTTTGAATGTTTGTACCTAAGAATAAATTGTATGTAATGTTTGGGTAGTTCAACTTAACTGATAAGCTAAATGTTGGGTTTGAGATCAGTTCATTCAGATCTATTTTCCTCAGGACGATAAAAAAGAAAAGAGCCAGATGCTTAGAGAAATACATGCTACCTTGTAAAAAAACTTTCAAATTTTTCTACGCACATTAAAATTCTCAAATACACTCAGAACAGTCGAAAACTCTGAAAACTTGTACCTACTTACATATCAAACACAATTAAACAAGAGATGATTATAAGTAATTCTTGCCTCTACGAAACAAACAAAAAAAAATTATTTGAAGTTACAGTTCATGCAGGGGAAAATTTCACCTTCCATTAGAAATGTTTAAGGCAAAGTACCTATGTAGGAAGAATACTGACATGTTGAAATATGGAGCCCTCAAAACTCAAAAATGCAGTCAACCTTCTAACACAAAAAATTTTGCTGCAAATCTTCAGATTCCAATATCAAATCAAGGTGGCCAAGAATGTTCATGAATGAGCGTCTTTCTGCGAAGACGAGTCAATTTATACAAAAACTAAGTCAAATATATGCTTTACAAATGACAGGTCATAATAACTGTAACAATAAATTACTCTGAATAATTTGAATTCATAGGCTGGCTGCACTTTTGGGCCCTAGAAGCTCCATGACCTAATCTCAAAATTACAGAAATGTCCATATTCTCACTACACAGGTATTCTAGTGTAAGGTTAATCAGATTTTCTTTAAAGCTAAAATATCAGTAGTACAATTACTCATTGAGAAAAATAGTGGAACAAAACCTTTGGGAGCCTCAACTCAAGAAAAAAGCGAGTTAACGCAGAATGAGCTCAAATAAATAAATAAAGTCTTTCAGTAAGAGAAATTTCGGCAAAAACCGAATAACATTAATCATTATTTTACAAGTGAAAATAAATTACTAGTGCTATTATAAATTTCGTCTATCTCAGGTAATTTTGTGAGAGACGTATCAAATTAGGAATTGGATAGGAACAAATAACTTTAATTTATGCTCCAAAACTTCAAAGAGAGGTTGCGGCAGCAAAAAAATCAAAGGCAAACAAGAAGCTGTCAGAATTATAAAGTTCAAATTAGAAAATAAAAATTGCTACATTCATCAATTATTATCATGCTGTTGATGTTAAGAAGTCTGGATTGCTTGGTGATGGATGAAAATTAATACATAAGCCCAAAATTGCTATAAGTATGTGGCAGTAGGCTAAGTTTCATCATTCCAACACTACAGCAAGCTTCATGAACGACACATACTACAAATTTTAGGAATGGTTCCGATTGCCATTGATCAAATTCAAACCCTTAAGAAAAGGAAGTTGATAATGATTTAATATGTTGCTGGCAAATAAATATTTAGGCTTGAAACAATTTCACACGGAGCTTTGAAGTCCCTTTTCAAACTTTCCTTTGCATGCATTACCTATTTGAGGGTCTAAGTGAAATTTTAGGGAAGGAATGTGCGAAGAAATGCTTTAGTTTAGAGTATTATGTGCCAGTTTGTTATTGATGTTAATTTAAATCTAACAAAATATATAAATTGAGTAGTTACAAGGTACTTACAAAAGAAAAATAAGCAATGCTGATAGCTTGGTAAACGCTAGTTGTAAGCTGAATACGGAGAGCTGTCCGTAAGTGTTCTCTGTGGATCTTCTAGGCTCGTATTCAACAGGGATTATACTTTCGGAGCCTCCAGTAAGTAATTAATGAACTATTCAGTTGAAGTTTAGATGCCAAAATTTTGGACAAAATTGGACTCATTGAGGGAATTTACAAGTAACTTATCATGCTTGGAAGATGGAGATTTAAAAATAAGGGCAATCCATTATCAAATTTCAAGTAAGTACTCCAGCTCTCATAAATAAATAAAAAATTCCAGACCTTTAGCCTTCTCTTCCACAGAAGGGAATCACGTAGTATTAAGATGAAAAAACAATTAAAGAGTACAGGGTAAGATTTAATATTGGGGAAAAAAAAAATAGGATACAACTCAACTGGAATAATCATAGGACATCCCATCAAAATTATATAAGGTGTCTTTAAGAGAAAGAGACATAACTTCCATACAGGAAAAAATAGAATTTGAATCTTACAAATTAAGGTGGTTTTATTACATTACCTTCTGATTTTTGAGACTTTCAAAGCTAAAGATCTTAAAAGTTCTGAATATTTGAAGGCATCGACTATCAGAGAAAATTTTAGAGTATCGATTGTTATGTCCTCCCTCAATGCATTATGGAGAGGCGAGCAAGGGACCTCTGAACACAAGCATTGAATCCATCCTCATTCTCTCCATAAAGGAATTACTCACCAGATAACTAGCTGTTGAGTCTTGGCACAATCATTGCGTCTTACAGGGTTACATAACTTGTTTCTAAAAGAACAAATTTGATCTAAATTGATAAACCGTTTTTAGAATATAGTAGGCAAAAAATTAGGGGAAAACAAATCGCATCTCTCTTCTACAGTGAAGAATCAGTCGATATACAAATAACTGTTTAGTTTAAAACTACAGTACCACATGAGAAAACACAATTTACATATTCAGAATTGTCTAACATAATTTACATTTTACAGGGGTTGGGTCTGTTGAAAAATAGGTCGTGTAATCGTTAACAGTTGCTTGGAAGCTAGCTACAGCTGAGCAGAAAACTTGCGTAAGAAACTCAAAAATACTTTGGTAACTTTCTAAACATCCGTAGATGCGCCAATCTCTACATTTAATTACATAGTTTTTAAGCAAGGAGCACCGGGTTGCATTCGGGAAAGAAGAAAAAATTTGACCAGTTTTATCAAAGCTGATAAATCCCATTTTGATCAAATATGAACCCATGAATAAAATTTGCTGCGTAGAAATTTACAAGAAAAGCACAGGAATTGATGGTCAGAAAATCCAGGATTTCCTTTTCTTTATTTAATGAAAATGTGTTGATGAAAATAAATCGGCGATAACGATAAAATATGACTTGCGTATTCTTCAGAATACTTCTTTGGAAGGGGTGCAAAGTTACCTAAAAAAAAATAATAATAAATTAAGCATAAACAATATAAACATCCGGATAAATTTTTACATTTCCTTCTAATTTATGATCTTCTGTTCACCCTAAGAAATCATAATTTAGATTTTAATTTATTATCCATCATCTATTAGTACGTTTCAAAAATTATCAAATACTCCTAAGGATGAATAGGGTTCTTTGGCTGCAACACACAGCAATACAGGGAGTGGGCAGAGGGGGGTACTAAGCAATTTTGAATGAATAATTTTCGATGTTTTCAATGAATTTTTCGTTCAGTGTCGCCCTTAAAAAAATCAGTCTCTCTTTTGTTTTTTTCTTAGCAGCAATACTTTTTTTTTGCCTTGTTAAAAATCAACCCTTATGTGAGGAGCAACCCCTGATTAAAAACACAACTCTTGGTTCAGTACATTTAGCATGACTTTTTCAAAATGCTGTCGTTTGGAAGAAGACTGTGGGTCAACATAGCGTAATTTTCACAGAGAGGTCAAATATGGCTTTATAAAGTGATGTTAAGAAGGACAGAGGAGACAGGTGACTATGGTTTTTGGGTCTGGCAGAGTGGTTCCATTCAGAAGCAGTAATGATACAAGTGCTCAATCTATTTGCCATCAGAATGATCTGAGCTGGCAAAAATGAGCTGTTGCTACGTTCATCAGTGTCATGGACCAAAAACCCTACCGACAGATTTACTGGGCAACTATTACTAACTCAGGGCCCGTTCTGGAAAAAGCCTCCTCATTGGTGTATCAGTATATTGGAACGGGAGTTTTGATATTTGAATACTTCTTGCAGGAAGACGGTCAGAAAATGAAAAGTTTGGCACTTGTCAGTAAAAAGAACTGCGTATGAGATAGTATACAGATATTTTGGAACATACTTGACTCCTCCCAATTATCTTGATATTTGATTTTCACAGGGTAAATCTATAATGCTCCGATGAAAGCAAACAAAAACTGATAGGAAATGTTTCTACACCTTTTGAGAATAACTTGAGACTTGCTGAGAGGGATTAATGGGATTATTTACTTGAAGGTTAAAGAGATTATGAGGAACTTACCAAATTAGTGTCACGAGTCAATCAGGTGGTGTCTTTTCTTCATAGAATCCGTTCTGTGCAATAATTGATCAGGCGTTGCTTTTAGAATGTCTGGTTGAGTGCCTCTATTTAATGTGCTACTCAAAGGAGTATTGCTGTGACCTATGACGTTCATATAGTCTGCAATCAAAAGCGTCAGCTCCAGAATCTGAAACAAGAGAATCATGTTTGTAACTAACGTATGATAAACAGTATTGATAAGAGGTATGATATAAGATATAATACCAAGGGCTAAGGAACTAAACCACTTAACTGACAATTTTGGCGGAAATGAGTTCAAGACTTTTCCCCGTTCAGCAGAATAAAAGAGGCAAGCTGATATTTTTAGTTTTTTCAAATTCCCATGGAAGCTGTTGATGATGCTGTACATAGTTGTGGTTGATAAATTAAAACCCTTACCTTTAATTTGCTCAGTGAAAACAACAGTTTGTGAGATGACCCGTTATCTGTTGCCACAACTAACATGAAATCATCTTGGCATCCACCGAATGTCAGAACCCTGGAGTAAGAATACCGAGCAACAGAGGTCATTCCTGTTAACTCAAGAAGAGACACGCTATCTTCCATGACTGCAAGCCATACCACGGCTGGTTCGCCACCTTTCCACTGCAAGACAACAACAAATTCATTCAATTAGCAATTTCAATTAGCTTCATTTTCATAGGGAAAATAACAAAAGAAACCCGACCATGGGATACGATAAAATAACATTGCAATTATAGGATCTTTTGCAAAATGAAGAAACAGAGTGTAACCAAGAGAACGTTTTACAACAGGTCACAAAGGAATTTTGCTGCTTTGTCATATTTTTGCGCTAGTGACAATATAATTTTATATTTTTCTCCATTAAGAAAAACGATAGATAGAGATATTTTCAGAGCACAGGATCATGAAATGGATCATTATTTTATTTACAAGGAAGAATTAGAGAAATTGAGGAGGTAGACACAAAAAGACCTACAGAGCTCTGGAAGTTTTTTTGTAAGAGATGACATACATAATTCCTTGTATCCCAAAGAATGTATATGTTCCAATCAGCGGTGTAACTAGAAATCCTTGCACCTTCCTCTCCTATTCTAGGCGCTGCGCATTTTTTCTATTCTTCCTTCAATTTTTGTGCCCCTTATGATACTACGAGAGTTGCAAGGGTGATAGCAACACTACTCTTCTAAATTTCACCTTTTTCGGTAAAAAATTGAGTAAGAGATGCAGATTTTAGCGGAGGCCTTACTGGTTGATTTTGGAGTCTGTCCAGTAAAACCCACAAATCAGAAAGTTACTTGATGGGAAATATCTATTTGCCATTGCTCTGCACTTCGAGAGTCTGGAGGTATTGGGTGTATTGTATTTAGTATGAGGAAGTATTGTATTTAGTGTTGGGAGTTTGTATTTAGCGCTTAATTCGGAAAGGTATTGAGTCAGATTTATTTCGAGATTGAGTTTTCTTGTTTTTGACAAAAGAGTAATCCTTTTTTGCCTCCTGCACAGTTTTCTTGTCTCCTGAAAAATTATTTTCCAGAGTTGGCACCTTCTCAAAATGAGCATCTCAATTTCGTTCACAATATACGTAAACGGAAGTAAAAAGAAAAACTGGAAGCTTTTTTCTCAAATGGCGAATTTTGGGCTGAAAGCCTTCTTGAACCTACCTTTTCGATTAAGAGACAAAAATTTGAATAGATAAAAGTCTAATAAACTATGATTAATTCTTACCTTAGCTTGGAAAAGAGATGCAGCAAAATAGGGCCATTTACGGGTGCAAGTGAGATAAATTCGAACGCAGTCTAATGCACTACGACCTTTTAATGACGTCCACTTCTCCTGCAAACTGGATTGAAGTTCCCTGCAAAGATTCCAATACGTTATTACCTAATTTTCTTTTCAGGTTTAAATAATCCAACCAGTCTTTATTTCAATTGATGATCCAATTCCACTGAGGTTGTAGCTGAATTTCTTTCATAACAATTAAAGAAAAAACTAAGTCTGAAGGAAGTGCTTTGGTTTAAAAAAAAATGTCACTAAAACAAGTCCTCTATTTTAATTGGCAAAATCCGTAGAAGAAGTGCAAATTATTCACTCAAACCTATAATTTCATGAAACAAAAGAGGGATTGAATGGGGAGGAAAATTTAAAACTTACTTAAGAGCTTCTGAGGAGAGACCATCCCTATAGCGATAGGGATAAAATTTGTCGAGAGCTTGAAGAACAATCAAGTCTCGGGCCATTGCACCGCTGCCTCGACCTTTATCACAGTTATATTCACCAAAATCAATCTGAAACAAAGTTGGTAACGGTTACTTTAGCTTCAGTAAAAATATAAAACTGCTAAAAATGATCAATTAGAATGAGAATACTAATAAACTAGGACCTCAATAAGAAAATTAGGATTCGGACAAATTTATTCCCGATCTATTTTTGCTTCAACGGATTTCTGTGAGTTTTGCATAGGCAAATAACTTAAGGTACTTTACGTTAGTGCATGCAGTAAGTGTATTACACTAAAATAAACTCCCTCTCTCATAAAATATACCTTTTATACCTGTCTTTAAATACTTTTAATCTGTTGACTTTTCCTTATGCCTAATTATTTAGGCTGGACTAAAAAATTGTCTCAGTCCTCAACAAGATATTAGAGACAAATAAAAGACTTCCAACATCCTTTTGGCAACAGGTGGTAACTTTCCCTTCCAGACGGAGACAAAAAGAGACCCTCTAATAGTATCTCCTTGATGGTGGAAGATTTTACTTTTTGAACTCCAGCATTCAATCGTTGACCTACCTTGATGTCCGCAGTCCACCAACGTGTCAAGCAATTTGTTGAGCAAACAAGCCGATGTTTGGTAAACTTGTTTGACACATTGTAACACCCGAAGCTCATCAGCCAACAATGAGGTAGTCAACAGCTGACAAAAAGGTAGATGACTATTGCTGCTCAATTATAGTTGTCCGTGAAGTAATATTGAAATATTTCCACAATTGCCCAGAATTTAGAATGACGTCTCTTTTTGTCTCTGCTCTCGGACCATTAAAATTACCATAGTGCTGTAGAGTTGCCATTCTCAATTCTCGAGAGTGAAGGTTCCCAACATGCGCATCTTTAAAACATCTCTTTATTACAGAGGATTCAATTTCAAATTATGCGTATCCATTATTACAGTGCTTTGATGAGAAGATTTATATTAGAGACACTTGGAGAAAAATAAAAAATGCACTCTGAATTTGACAAAGTCAAGCAACTTACTTGGGCCATTAAAGATGCCAGTTCAAGAGCAAGCTCCTTACTAAGTGGGAAGCGACCTTGGATAACCTGCTGGTTTGTTTGGTAACAAAGCAACAGACGCTCTCGGTCTGTTTCAGTTCTGGCGGAGTTCCGCCAATACAGACGATTTTTATAAACTAGTTTGATGACTCGAGTGTTCTCAAATTTGCCAGAGCCTTTTTCCCGAAGAGCAGTCTCCCACTTGGAGATCACATCACACAACTAAAAAAGAAAACAATTAAGTAATGTAGAATTCAGGATGAAACTTGACAGAAAAAGGTAAAAAATAAAGACAACTTCATACGGTTGCAGCGTATTAAAATGAAGTGCGTTGATCAGCATCTATCCTTAAATCATTTACTTATACTAAATTTTATGTTCAATATGGTTGTCTTTCTTCCAAAGATATTGAGATTTCCCATGAGGAAGTGAAGTAAGGGACTTATTTTAAAAACAAAATTGAGCTGTTAAGGTTAGGAACAAAACCTGTTTCTGCCCAACCTTCACATAAAATTTGACCACAAAACTTGAATTTTCAATGATGCAACATTAATTTGAACATTTCGTAGATCATGAGGCGCCGAGATAGCATTTTTTAAAGCATTTAAATTCTCATCATAATCTCACTTGAAGGATGCCTTAGATTTATATCTGGACACGGATTTTCCAAATAGTTCATTCTGAATTTGAAATAAGTCCGACAGGAGAAGAGTCCTATAAGAAAGAATGGCAATCTGAGCACATTTGCACCTTAGAGAGTCTTCGGGTAGAGCTTTCTTCAACTTAAAAAATCTCTCGGTCCCTGCATTTGAACTTACTTTGGTGTGAGACTCCAAGTGATGCTCCAAGTCTTTCTCAATGGGGTCGTCACTGAAAAGCGTAAATCCAGACTGACATGACTCTCGACAGCCTATTTCTTGATTTAGTGTTGACAGGAATTCCTCAATGGTAGTTGAGCCATCAAAACCGATAACCTGGTACGTGCCATTGAGAAGATGGACTGGTATCGAGTGTGGGAGCGAGTGGTGGTATGGATTCTTCAAGAGAATCGAGAGAACTTCCATTCGAGAGGGCTTCACTTCCCGGTTTCCATTTTGGATCGTCCGCTCAAGAGCTCGCTCGCAGTAGGCAGCATACTTTCCACATTCCGTTCTTAAAAAGAATTAAAAAAGGAGATTTGAAAAGAATCAAAAAAAGGAGATTTGAAGTTCGGAACTACACATGATAATCGGGCATATTTTTCATTGCATTAAAACAACACATAAGCCATGGGCAAACCTATTCTATGAACATTTTCACAATGTTCTTTGATCTTTCAGGTTTGCATTTATAAGATTATAGGCATTTTTATTGCCCATCGATGGGGCATACATTTTACATAAAAATTGCATATTTTCGGAGTGATTATCAGTCTTAATGCAAAAGAAAAGACTATGTGGCAAAAACTACAGAACATCACAAAACATGGGATATCGCTTTCATCATGGGGTGCAAGAACTTCCCGATTACATGATCGTGGCTGACTGCATGAAAAAACGGGCAGGCTGTAAAAACTAGGAAGGCTAGCTTACAAGAACTTTAAAATCTAGGTATTTGTGTTTTTTCATAAAATCGAGGTGAAATTCACGTGTCTTTTGCAGAAGCGCTGCAATTCATGAATAAAGGACAAGGAAAAGGTAATGGCTATGAAAATTTTGGGGAAAAAGGAGTTTTTAAAATGAGACAGTTAAAAATTTCAGCACCCCTACTTTCATCAATATTAATCTAATTCTCAGGTGAATATTAGCTTCAGTATAATTCACTTGATGAGCTTCTTTTTGATCTTTTCCTCCATAAACCTAGGAAATAATGAATGACGGCCACATGAACCGTTTTTTTCTTTCAAAAAAATCTTGATTATGAGCTTTAAAATGAGGCAAACTCAGGTAAGGATCGAAATCTTCAAGTTTGTACTTACTTTGTGTCAGTATTACGCCGGAGATGCAGTTTCAGATACCATAAGAGCTTATTGTTCTTTGGAACAAATAGTGAGACAGCCAATGCAAGAAGCTGCCACGCTTGGACGAAGACAAATGTTGGAGGGTTGGACTTGGAACAATGATCGCTGACAGACATCGGTGGTGGCGCATTGTTGGTAGTTGGCGAGCCGGCAGCATCACACGTAAACAATGACTGCGTGGCACAGAGTAAAAGTTGCTGTAACATAACATAACAAGTTGTTTCTGATCCCTAATCAATAAAGGAGTACCTAGCCACATAGAAGGGGGAGGTGATTGGCGGAATTTTTTTTTCTCGACTTAGTTCGAGCCCTACATATTGCGGTGAGAATGTTAATTTCAGAAGCAAGATGATAATTTAGGAAACCCGATGATTTTCTGTACTATAGAGGATATGGGAACTCAATGTGAGTAATACTTGGAGTAAATTAAAGCGACTGTTTGGTTAATTTTAAAAAATGACGACGTACATTTAAAATTTACTGAAATGATCCTGCAAAGTTAAAAATGAAAGAGCTACATCTTTTCTTTTTGAAAATAATTGCATACCTCTTAGTCCGTTTTCCTTGCGTTTGACTGACAGTGCTTACCTCAAGTTTGTTTGATTGACTTTTAATAAATGTTCATTCTTTGTACTTTGAACTGTTGGATACACTCTCCTGAATTATTTTTTCTATTTTGACTCTAATATTATTAAATCAGGTACTAATAATAGTTCCATTCCTCAATAATCAAGGTTTTTTAATTTCTTAATAAAAAAATAAAGATTTTAAGCCTCTTTGGCCTCTGAGTCATTGATCTTCGTTCATTACGGATAATTTAATTTTTAATGCATTTTTTACTTTGCAGGTAAGTATTTGAAAGTATAATATAAAAAAGTTCTATAAAAAGTTTTGAGTGTACACGGATTGTATTTTCTTTCAATGACATTTGAGACTGGGGCTCTACTCAGTTGATTAGCGCGAGTCTTAACTTCAAGGATATTATACGAGGGGCGTTCAATAAGTAAGTATCCCCCCTCTCTAAAATCCATAAGAATGGACCAATTTTAAAAAAACTTGGGCTCAAAATCTTCCTTAGGATATTTTGAGTTCAACAAAACAAACCGCAACAAAATCGGACTATGTGCAGCCGAACGCGAGCCGTTTGAACGCGCCGAGGTGCTCGACGCTCCCGCCGAATCTGCGAGGATTTGAAGTCCGCTACAGGAGAAGAGCTTCTCTGCCAAAGCCTCAGTCGTTCATCACTGACGAAAAATCAAAGAAATTTTTGTAGAATAAGGGGCTTACCTCACTTCTCCACATAACCAGCTCGATCCAAGCAAGTCTGATACTGAGACTTAATTTTGAATCAGTGGAAGAAGTCAAACAAGCCGTCCACTCTTTCATCCGCGGTCAGCTGAAAGACTTCCACGCACGAGGCATCCAAAAGCTGTTCTCTTAGTCTTAGTCTCAGTATCAGACTTGCTTGGATCGAGCTGGTTATGTGGAGAAGTGAGGTAAGCCCCTTATTCTACAAAAATTTCTTTGATTTTTCGTCAGTGATGAACGACTGAGGCTTTGGCAGAGAAGCTCTTCTCCTGTAGCGGACTTCAAATCCTCGCAGATTCGGCGGGAGCGTCGAGCACCTCGGCGCGTTCAAACGGCTCGCGTTCGGCTGCACATTGTCCGATTTTGTTGCGGTTTGTTTTGTTGAACTCAAAATATCCTAAGGAAGATTTTGAGCCCAAGTTTTTTTAAAATTGGTCCATTCTTATGGATTTTAGAGAGGGGGGATACTTACTTATTGAACGCCCCTCGTAAACACATGAGATGAAATTTTCAAAAACTGCGATAATATATTAAATAAATATGAACAATGAACGGTTCAAGCAGTAATAATATAGGCTCAGGCAGGGTGGGGAAACAGGCAAACTAAAATTTCTGACTTGTACAACAACTAGTTATAGGGATAACATGGACGAAAAAAATAATGAGACGAGAACGGTGCAGAAACAAACTAATTATGTTACGTTCAATGTAATCACAAGACAAGAGTAATACAAGACAAAAAGTAGATGAGAATAAATAAAAATAAGAGAATCACTATTACATTTTACTGCCGTGCTAAGGAAGAACGCCATATGATCCTTCAGACGATGCCAAGTTTCCCTTGATAAAAACCGAATTTACTGGGAACATTGTGAATATTTTCTTCCAAAATTTTCAGACAATTTTGTACACAATTTGATCTAAAATATCCGAAAATTTCAAAGAGAAAAGTGCATGAACGTTGTCAAAAATACATGTTTCATTGAGGGAAATTTGGCAACTCTCGAATGTTCATATGGTATTCTTCCTTAGCACAGCAGTGTAGTTCGTCAACATCGAACTAAGCAAAAATGAGCAAAACGGCCAAAAGTTTAATAACTTTTGGTTGGTTCGATGCAAAGAAACCACTGAATTAAAAAAATATGCGTCTTCCAAGAGCTTTGTTGGATAAGATTCTTTATGCAGTTTCAATAAACTACTAAGAGACTTTCTTTTTTTGTTTTTGGCTTAAAAGCAGGGAGAAAATCATATTACAACAAGGACTGTCCCCGCCTAGACCAGGGGCAAGCAGCAAAAGATCCCAGCCTTTAACAGTCGCAAGCGGCCAATAACGACAGAGGCTAACGAGTAACTTCGTAAAATAAAAACAAATAATGCAGGGCTTCAATCTACTTCTCCGCAAAAGTTGATAAACTTACAACTAAATGTTCAGAATTTAGAAATTTTTTGAGTATTTTGTTAGATCACAAATTTCACATTTCACATCAATGAATTAGACTACATTTTTCAATATGGAACCACCAATTCTAGCTTATTTGTGAGGCATCTATTTGCATGGAGAAACTAATAGCACATCCATTGTTTCTAAATTAAGTCAGAGAGGTTTCTTGTCGCAAAATGCAGTCCAATTTAAAATCAATGGAGAGGTATGAAAAAATAAACTCGGTTGGACTTAGCTGATATTTTGAATGAAGTTTTCTTTTGACTTCTTGTGTCGGGTCTAAAATAATAGTTTTCTCCATTCTGAAAACTTTGACATTGTTGAAATATAGGCAATTTTGGAAACGAAGAAGGTATCGGAGAAAGTTTTGATGTCTCGTAATGACGCACTAATAGTAGTTTCATACTCCTTCTTTAAATGATTAAATCTTAGGCATTTCTCCAAAAGTCTAAGATTCATGTGCTGAAAAATACTTAATCCAACCGATCAACATATAAGCGATCAAAATACTCAAAAAATTGAAGAACGTCTCAGAAATTTGAGCTTAATTTCAGGCTTATTTAAATACAACTGAAAATGATGCAAAAAAATAAATAATGAATAGCTGTCAGGATCTATATCTAATTGAACGATGCAGTGTAGGTAATAATCATGAGGGCAGATAATAAAAAAGAAAGGAAATGAGTATTACAAATGCTTGTATCTGCAGACTATGCTAAAAAGGATTGTCAACTTAATAAATACATTAAACATGTTTTAAAGTGAAAGACCTAGACAGGAACCAGAGATGGGAGCAGAAAACAGTGATAGGAGAAAAATTGTCACTATAGGAGAGAGTGCACTTAAGAGTGTAGACTGTAGAGCCACATACCACAGTTTGCTGGCTGGAACACTTGTAAATAGGTTAATGATTGGTAAAATTATCAACTCATTAGAAAATTCAATTGTTGATCCGAAGAAAAAACGTAGAAAAAAAAATTTAAATAAAATAAACCAGAGCAGAACTGTCAATTCAAAGCTTGCAATTCTTTAAAGATTAGGTTTCACGATTCTTCCCTTGCTCATGCTGCAGCTGGTCCATACTCTAAAAAAACGCCTTAAAAACCGGAGAGTCGTACATCACGATGTCAATTTTTTTGACTGATCCTAACTTTGAAATAAAATACAGTTAAAATGTAAATTTTCTGACTGATTCAATTTGATTTCTCATAAAGTAGAGAAAAAGGTAACTGATTTCAGCAGGCACAGAAAAGCTGGAGTTGTCTAGCGTTAGTCGCTCGCTTTTCACCTTTCATTCTTTGGAAAATTATTACATAATTTTTTTCTTTTGTGTCATGCAGAGATTTGAACTAATCTCCTCTTCTAGCGTTGGAGGAGGCAGGTTGCGGGGCATATTTAATTTACCAGAAAAAGGAATACTGTCATTTAACTAAAAAAAATGCTGCGCTATCCCTACACAAAATCTAGCAAGGACAAGAAATAAAACTGAATCGCTGATTTCATAAAATGTTCATATAGTCGACTGATTTGTATACCAGTACTTACATTCTTCTTTCATGGGCTACAAGATTAAATTTTTTCAAGGAAAGAAAAGGGAACATGGCACACGAAATCATTCATTATTCCCACGTCTGTGATTGTACCATTGTACCTCTTAATTTTAGAGGGGAAGAATGAGAGGAAAAGAATTTGAATGTTTACTGTGTTACACTAAACTTTCTCAATATTTATTTTTGTCATTCATTTTAGCAGAGACAAAAACTTTGGGAAGAGTAGAAACTTGGTGCAGATTAGTAAAAAGCAAATTTGCGTGTGGGAGGGGAAAAAGATAATTCCAAAATTGAGGAAATCGAGATTAAGACCCTCTGATAAGAGACATTCAAGATGACCAAAAGTATAAATGATCAAACCATCAAATCTTGTTGACGAAAAGTATACGAAAGAAAGTCATCATAAGATGACCACTGAAGTCCCAGGAAAAAATATGAGTGCTACTAATTAGAAGAGTCCACGCAAGGTCCTCGAGTAAAGAGTGATCTTAATTTTGAGTGAAGTTTGGCGAAAAAAGATGGAAGAAAATTAGCTCAAAATAGCTTTTTCTTTTCAAAAAAGAGAGCTACGAAAATTTTAACTCCCTCAAACAAAATGAGAAAACTACTGAATGTTGTTGAGTTTGCCAAAGTTGAACATACAACCATTTTAAACCACAGAAGAAATATGTGAGACGAATACAAACATTGCTATTCACTCAAAGTGAGACAGTTTCAATCTGAACCGTACTTAAGATTCTGAGGTTGATGAAAGCAAAATTACAATTCAATAAGCTTCGGCTGATGTCTCAATGTTTGCAGTAATCATAATTAATATTTGTAATACCACAGAGAGAGATATTAATGTATAAGAGACGCTCTTAAATAAAATGAAACTCACGTACGATCCAAGATAGGACTAACACATCACAGCTAAAATAATTTCCAGACAACACTCACTCTGAGAATAAGTCTTAGTGTGAAGAACAAGCAACTAGACATCCGTGTGATTAACAAGAAGATCCAACAAATTTGCGAACAAACAAAGTGACAATACAGTGTGATTACCAGTTGACAATCCCTAGATTAAAGCAGTTAAGCCAAGCAAAGGACACTTACACGATGCCGAAGGCGATTGAGTACCTGAACGCCTATCTTGGTCGACATGTGGCGCGATGTTTGTTTGATCAATGCGCACATTAGTTCATCCTGAAGTTCTGGAATGTCGAGGCATTGCTGGAGAGCATTCTGTGCAAGGACGACATGGTAGTCAATCCCTGCAGACTCGACAGCTACAGACGTAAACAACTGGCAACTCTGGAAATTATAGAAAAACAGAATTAGAAAAAATTGCAGTGGAAAATTTCTCAACTTGCAAGGTCTCGGTAGAAAAAATATCATGCAATCAACCGCAAGAAATTCAAAGATGTAAAGTTGGGATTTTATTCCTTTAAAATTATTTGAGGGAATTTTGTGGTACATTTGACTTGATCTGAATGGATATAGCAAGCACGAGAGAACTTTAAAGAACTGAAATCTTACTTTAAACAGTTTAACAGCCTCTGTTTGATGGCTTTCATTTGACAGAGATGTCAAAGGGGAAGTTAAGGTATCTTTGGTATACAGTAACGCAGGATGCCTCCACAGAACACAATCTGCAAAAAAACAAAAAATTAAAATCAGTGTCTGAAATGTAGAATTGTTCGGAGTCATTTGATTTATAGAAGATAGATAACACCTGCTCAAGTTTAGTTTTTCAGCTGAGACATTAAATTATTCATATCGAGAGGTTCTGACTATTTGTTCGTTTTATACAAAGGTCTGAACTCACGGAATCCAAGCTTGTTCCGTCAGCGGGAAGATGATATTACATTGAGTCCTGATCATCAGTCTTGCATACGATCCGTTATGACAGCCTCAACTTGTTTTTTGACATTGTTTCAATCAGTTATAGTCATTAATAAGTGAAAAACATTCGTCAAAAATTTAAACAAAAAACAGGAGTAGCAACATTCAATTATGGTCATTTATGGTCATTTCCATAATTTAAATAATTTTTCTGCCTTCCTCTGCATTGCTTCAAATTTCTCCTCTCAAACCAGATTTTTAATTCTTAAAGATTTTCTCAATTTTTATAAATTTAATGTGTCTTCATATAGTTTTTCTCCATTTTACTTGTAAAGTAAAACATTTAATTATTCCTCACAGTATCAGTAAAACTTTTCAGCATTCTAAAATCTTGGTGGAACCGATATGACACAAGGCGCTGAGAATCTCAAGATTGCGGCAGACCGTCACTAATTTTATTCTATAAAATATCTCATGATAAAAACAAAACTGTAAAGACTAAAACAGCCTGTGAATATCTATGTATATTTGTTCAATTGTAAGTTTACAATAAAAAAAAGTTATTAACATTGGAGAAAAAATTTTTCCAGGGTTGAGACTTGGAAAGTTGTGAATTTCAGAACTTACTTGGGTCACCATCAGTTTCCATCAATTTTTGGATGAGTTGCTCATACTGTGTCCCAGCATTTGAACCTGCTCCTGAGACTACTGTTAAATGATACAGCCAGGAATCCTGCAAAATTAAAAATATAAAAAAAGGAAAATAATGAACATGATATAGGAACTGACGGTATTTGAAAACCTAAAAGCATTAGGATCTTTCTTCTAGTAAATATATGATAAAAGTAAGGAGCTTTTGCCCCTATGATAAATATCTGGCTTTGATTTGGCTTCAGCCAAAACCGCCTATCATATTACGTGGTGCCCACTTCTCTGTGAGGGTTTTTTTTTTTTTTTTTTTTAAACGGAAAAGTAAGAAATATTTTGCCTTGAAAAATCATGAACTATAAGTTGAGGAAAAAACCACTATAAATTTCATATCATTCTATTTCTGAGCTTTTGGTATGTAGAAAGAGAAAAAAGAAATAGAACATGCAAGGGCATTACAAAATGTGGAATGCAGTTAAATTTATCCCAATTAAAATTGTCCAGATGATATTATAATTCCCAGTAGCTCACATTAGCATGGGTTGGATAAAACTCACAATTGCGTTGATATTTTCCAAGGATTGAATCCAAGTTCTGAATAAAACGAAAAAAATTGTGCCATTCGGCATGCGTTGAATCTTCCGAGACCGAGAAATGTCTGTGTTTGAAAAATACCTATTGATACTGGGCTTAAAAGATTGAATGCATGCCAAACAGCACATTTTCTCCCGTTTTTCTCAGACTTGGATTTCGGTGCTTGAGAAGAATATCGCCTCAATTGTGAGATGGTTGCAATGAATATTTTATGAAATAGAAAGAGAACATGAAAATCATTATTTTCTTTTGAAAATTCTTTTCATTTCAACTGGAGTTGTTTGAGCTATTTTAGTTGATTCCTTAGTTGAAACTCACCATGTCTTGTTTTGAAGGCATCAAAAGGTAAGTTGGTGGTTGATGGGATGGGAAAATACCAATGGTCAACTGCGTGTTATCCTGACCGTTGTCTTCACAGTCTGAGTCACTGACATGGTCCACTTGTTCCACCCTTGCATCACGCATGTTGATCTGTCCGATGGGGTTCTAAAAGAAGAAATTCAAACAATTAATGAGCATAGTAGAAAAAAAGTAATTTTCATATTTATAGGTAGATTTCGAAGAAATATCTACCTATTGCAGACAGTACGACCTCGTAATTTTCGGGAATTTTCGCTCAAAGAGCATCGGTCCTGAAGCCCTGAGTTGAAAAATGTTGCTTATAAAAAAGTACGATATATATATAACTGGGATCTAACGAACCTTCGCGACCGTTTTTTTCGGAACTATCGATACGATCAAAACAAAACTAAGCACGGATCTTCACTGCTATGGGGTCTACATCGAGTTTCATTTTTGGTGAAAATCGGCCTATCCCTTAGTTCAGTAACGTCAAGGTCACTGAGGGACGATTTTTCGAACTTTTGAAGTGTGTAAGTGAGAAAAATGTAAGACTTCAAAAACTTCCATGAAAATCATGCAGCACTGTGCAATTCATTGGTGTGCAAGAAATCTATTTGAGAGAGATTTTTAGGCTATTGATTAGAATAAATTAAAGTCAAGACATGAAGATAAAAATTTTCTCTTCCAACGGACTAAACTTCAGAAAATCTGCGCAAAGTTCAAAAGGCCTGAATGTAATTGGGAGAAAAATCAGAGCCTTTACGCTATAAAAACAGGGCAATCTTTAAATTTGAAGCTATAAAAAATAAAAGTATTCAAGAGAAAAAACTCACCGTTTCATTGGGTCCTTTGAAGTACAGGAACATTTTACCAATTAGCGTGCACCAACATTTTCGAGCATGGCCATTCCTCACCTTTGTCAGCCAACCTTGAAGAGTCGGTTTTTGGTGTTCTTTACTCAACAAAAGTTTCGTAGCAGTCCGCCTTTGGACATTCTGAATGGGAATAAATAAGGACATATGAGAATGAGATCAAGGTCTCTCTCCCCCTCTGAGAGAAGGAACTAAGTATAGAAATTGAGCAATGGCTATTAGGAGACTTTTTTGGAAGAGATGAATACTAATGATAAACAAGTACTGGAAGTTACTGGATCAACTATCTGCTTAGGATGTGTTAGACCTAATTTAGACCAGATTTGACTGTTAGAAATTCACAATTGTAACTTTCTTGGTAACTAAACTGTCCGCTAGTCAAAGTTTTGAATTAACACCCTTGTTTCGAAAAAATGGAAAAACATACTCTATGATTGGCTGCGGAGTATACATTTTAGTCTATGGGGGGAGAATTTAAACATAAAATACAATCATAAAGATCATGTTCCTTCTTTTATGAAGATATTATAGGAGAGGGGATTGGTGAGAATAATTTAAAGTGGTTGTGTCCTTTTTTCACAAAGAAAACAACATTAAAAACTTGCGGATTGCCCATATAAATTTACAGAACTTGATAAACTTGATGGAAGGTGTCACTAAGGCAGCTGGAGAGGTAATTACCGCATGTACTGTCAGTTTTATGGCTGCCTCAGCAGTAAAAGCATTAGTTGCGTAAATTGTGATTCCAAAAAAAAATTGACCCTCAATCATAAATAAGCTATACCAAAGTCCACAAGTTGCTTTACTAATGATTGAAAACACACCTGGAGTACACGGACCCAATCTCCCATAGCAAGATTGGAATCGGCTGTGAGATAATAGGTCTTCTTTCCTGTTGATATTTCAAATGTTGCAGCACCGTCTGCTCGCGTGATTCTGCACTGTTCATCTATGACTATCTCTCCTTGTGGTTTCTTCCCTACATCATTCTGAAAAAATGAATACCAAAATGGCACATGATAAGTGTGATGGATTTTCATCAAACAATTCCTCAATCCTATTGCGGCAGTTTTCCTGTGAAAAACTTTTTTTAGCTGATATACGTTCCAGGATATACTTATATTAAAGGCGAAACTTCAAAAATGTATATTTTGGCTGAAATTTTTTGAAATGATACAGAACCAACATCATGGCTTAAAACTTTAAGAGAAAATTCTTCATGAAAAGAAGAAAAATCATTGAAATTTTCTAGAAATGACGTTTAGTAGTTTCACATGGAAAAAATAAAGTATGACAGGATGTCTGCAACTTCGCAAAGCGAGATATTTAGATCCACCATCGATGAGTACTGCTTTTTGGCTAATCTCAAATTGAAAATAGAAATCTTAAATATGTAAAAGTTAGTTATAGATTTTTTGTAATGTCCATAAGATATTAATCTTAAAGAGCCAAAAAAGGAGAAATTGCGATAATTCAAATTCAGAAAAAGGCACAGTCCTTAATTTAGAATTGAGCACAAAAATCTTTCTGAACTTTCCTACAGGCCTCTTCGGGCATCTCAAATTTAAACTTTATCACCCTCAGGCAGCCTTGTTAAGAGTTAGGTTTGAAGTAAGATAAGTATTATTTTGTCACTTCAAAATAAGTTTAGTGGCATATTCTGCTATTCTATGATTCTCTTTCCACAGTTTCCTAGGCATGAGAAAAAATTCAGTCTAAACTTGAGATTTTATTTGAGTAAAACTTAATGAGAGGTACGCCTTATTTATGTAAACAAATTTTAAAGTTTGATTGTAATTCTTAAAGGAAAGATTTCAAAATAATTGAGGAAAATCTGTGATTAATGCAAAATGATATGGATGCCATGAAGCAAAATGATGGTCAAAGTTTGTACTCGACAGAATCTAGGGTGATTGTCTGACCAGAGCAGGGGGTTTGACTTCAAAGAGAAACAGTGATACATTTTTCATGTCCATCTCACCTGTGACTTCCAATATTTTAATTTCCCATTACTCAGCTGGAACCATTTCCGCCTCCATGTTTTGAATTTCCCGCCCAGTTTCGCTAAATGACCAGATTTTTCCAGGGCTGCGTTAGAGTCATTGACCGCATTTTGTCGTTGGGACCGGCTTGGGCTATCGATCACAGCACTGTTGGCAGTTGCACGGTAAACCAAAGATGACCATTCACTCGAGTCCCCGGAGCATGATATTGCATCAGGAGGAATAGCGTAGTCATCAGATACACCCGACTCAGAAACAAATGATGTATCTAAAAGGCAAAAATAGAAACACTGAAAACTACAATATTTAACAGATCACAGCATGTTATTTATGTACGTTTTGATAATGTCATTTAAGATGTCTTTATCGAATACATTTTGAAAATCTAGGTTGATCCAGCTAAGATAGAGTAATTTCTAATGTACCACTTGACGGGCTAAGAAATTAGGCTAGCATACGTTTTCTCAGCAAAATTTTGGGCAGAACACATGAAACACATCAAAAACTTCTAAAATCAACTCTTGAGGAGGAAATAAACGTCTGTGGTTTACATTATAAACAGAAAATTCAAACTTCCAGATCACAAAAAAGTCATATTAAGTGCAAAATCAGGCAGTGAAATCAACCTGCACGTTAAGCAAATAGCTACCGCTTGGTTACACAAACATTTCCTTTCACTTTGATACAAGATGGCATCAATTTTGTCAAAAAAAAGATAGTCCACAGGAAAATTTTTCCATCGTTAAATATATCAAAATCAGTTTGAAGCTCGATTTGACTTGAATGGACCCTAGTTTTTCTATGAATGAGAAGTGTTAAGTAACGTAGAAAAATCCTTTATTTTCCAACTAATGAGTTGGACTTGGAAAGGTTCAATGCATACATCGTATTCTACTTAAAATTTTGATATGATACTATGATCTTCATTTCATACCCTAAACCCATATATACCTAGATGCAGCACTAAAACACAACTTGGAGAAAAAAGGCTGACAACTTCAAGCCTTCTTTCTTCAGGTTGCGTTTTAGTGACGTATCATTGTGGCCTACATTAAGGTTATTTACATTTATAAATGTACAGTCTATAAATAATAACTATGATATTAGGTGGCTTATTGACATTGGATTTCACCTCTTGAGAGAACTCAGAGCATATACTCTTCTCCGTCAACTAGTTCCCCATGAAGTGATCCTGTGCTTACAATTAGACCCCCATTCGCCTCAGTCTTTCTTAAGGTGATTCGATGGAGGCCATTTTTTGTGTCAGAGCGACGTGCGATATATCGCATCGATTTGTTCCATAATTTCAGCTACTTGTCATTTTTTTCGAATTTTGAGATCGCACTTCTGTTGTCATGAGACTTAAGAACTTATGTACCAAATTTGACAAAGAAATTCAACGTAATAAAGGCGTGGTTTTTTTAGAGAGAAAATATCGCATTCGATACTGATATCGAAACTGCACTCGAATGCTATATTTTTCCTCTAAAAAAACCACGCCTTTAATACGTTGAATTTCTTTGTCAAATTTGGTACATGAGTTCTGAAGTCTCATGACAACAGAAGTGCGATCTCAAAATTCGAAAAAAGTGACAAGTAGCTGAAATTATGGAACAAATCGCTCTGTCACAAAAAATGGCCTCCATCGAATCACCTTAATAAACAACGCCAGGCAACCAGTGTTTGAGCTTATCAAACTAGAAACGCCTAGCTGAGGATTAAACATGGGCCTCCTGATCATAGAGCCAGCGCTACAAAAACTACATCACAGGATAATTAGAGAGATGCAGAAAGTAGAGAAGTGAGGGTCATGAGCACTTACTTTTTGAGGGTGAACCAGAGGAACTTCGTTTAGCGGGAGATAAACTGGATAATGTTTTTTGGCTTTTGCTGGGACTTGAACTAGATATGGAAGTATCTGAAAAACAAAGGGGAAATATTTTTAGGAAAGTGTATAAAGTAAAATCAAAAGTGATGAGAGAGCAAGATTTTGCAGCCCGGTGTCGACAGATGATCACGGATATCGGTGATTTAAATTTTCTTTTCTACATTAATTATTCATTGTTAGGATTAAAAATTCCATTCGACTTCTTAGGGCAATGAGAAATTATTTTAAGAAATTTAAGAATTTTTAAGCAAAGATTGAACCTCAAAAGATATCTTTATAAAATATCACAAAAAAATATAGCAGTGCTTGTCCTCATGAGACTTAATAGTATTTTCATAAGCCTATCTTTTTGTGGAATACTCTGTATAAAATTCCTATAAAGTTGGTTTGTTTCTTTACGTAAATAATAGAAGCAAAAATTTTGAAACACTGCGATGAGGATATATGGTTTTGCACTTTGCCCATCTATATGTACCTACTTCTAAATTTGTTCATGATTTGCCAGTGGCAGAAAAACCTTAGAATAATTTTTGGATACTAGCTGCTCCAGGCGCCCTACGGGCGCCCTTCACAGCTAGCAATAGTGGTGCGGTAGCTTATTTGGAATGGGAGCGATTAGTTGAATCTATTTAATAATGATGATGATTCTGCGGCAAAAGATCAAGGAATTTAACTGCCTCTCTGCGTTACAGGGTGGAGACTGCCATTCTACCGAAAAATGTTGTAAAAAGCTCGCATTATTAGTTTTCCTTTTTTTGTGTTATTTTTTAATTATTTTTTATTTTTATTTTTTGATAATTTTCTAATGACTATGAGGCTTTTGGGATTTATAAAAGATCGAAGCACCTCTTTGTGCACGATGTTTTTCGTACGGTTGCCTTTGGGAAGAATTTGGACTTCAAAATTTTTGTACGATGTAGCTCGTGAGAGTGCAACATATAGTTGACCATGGCCAAAAACTGTTTGGGGTAAATAAATGCCGACTCGCTTCAGTGTTTGACCCTTAGCTTTGATGATGGTCATGCAGAACGCAATGCGAATTGGAAATTGTCGCCTCTTAAAAGAGAAAGGGAGAGAGGAGTCTGCAGGTGACAAATCAATTCTTGGCAGTGAAATTCTTTCACCGGCCTTCTCGCCGGAAATGACCTGCAAATCAAGACAATTTTCATAACGTTTCCAGACGATCAATCGGGCACCATTCGATAAACCTTTGGAAACGTTGAGAATTCTTAAAAGCATGACAAAAACCCCCTCCAAAAGTGTGAGTTTATGCGGTGGTAAGCCACTAAGATTAAGACTGTCCAAGAATTCGAGGGGAAAATTGAGAGCCTCTCCCTCTTCCTCTACAATGAGCCTGTTAACACTGAAGTACGTTTTAGAGACACCTGAAAGAACTTCAACAACCTTGTCGTTAATTTCATTGCAATGCTTATTTTTAGAGGCCAGAATTGCGCAGTTTGTGAAATCTACGTTCGAACATGAGGAAGCTATATTTTCCATAAATTTCAGTAATAATATCAATTCCTTTCAGTAATACTGCTTGTCGGTAAATCAATGAATTCCGGCATGGCCTTTTTTAGCAGAAAGGTAAACACCATCACCTATTTCGAGTTAAAATTTTGCAAACTCCGCTTCGTCTTGCAAAGTTCTCATATTTTGAGTAAGTTTTCTGATTTTGAAAAGAGGTCAAAGTGGTGAGAATTTGATTGCATTTTGCACCAATGTTTGGCGAGAAGCATGCGGAACAACGGGTAAAACCTGTCTAAAATCACCACCCTAGACGACAATTTTTCCTCGAAAAGGGATATCATTACCCATTCTCTAAGAAGTCGGTCGATGCATGCCAGAGCATGCGTGATAACCATGGGAGCTTCACCCCAAAAAATGATCGTTGTTTTTCGAATAGTCTCAGCCTCTCTTGAGCTAACCGTCAGACTCGACACAGAATTCTCATTCAGAACCGAAGGAATTTTGAATTTGCTATGAACCGGCCGACCGTTAGGTAGCAACGATGCGGCGATACCTGTCCAAGCAACGGAGATGACGTCTAAGTTTTCCTCTGTACAATACGCAGTAAGACATTCTTAAACGAAAGTTTTTCCCGATCCTCCTGGACCATCAATGAAAATCGCATTACACGTGTAAGATGGATTTTGGATGAGATTAATTATTTCAGAAATAATTTGATGTTGCTCTGGGTTAACGGCAGAAATCATGGAATCATAGTTTTAGGGGGAGGAGAGTCAGGCTTCGACCCTTGAAGATTCAGGTTGATTGGAAGCAATTCCGGAAGATCAATAATGATGATATTGAAATTCCATGAAGTCTTAATGTGTTTTCAATAGCAAAAAGCCGATCAACGTAGTCGACCGACCAACAAAATAAAGAGAGAGGAAGAAACGAAGTATCAAGCAAATTTGAAACAAAGTTGTAAAGAGAAAAGAACAAATAAGAATGAAATGTCCATAACAATACATGTTGTTAGCAATACGTGTGCGCAACGCTGCAGTTAATAAGTCAGGGTCAGTCAAACCGCCAGGATGCCTATCAAGAAGTGGTGAAGCGGAGTAGCCGAGAGATTGCGACGGAATGTGGGTGGTGAGTGACGAACGACAATGCGACCCAAACCTTCTTTGAGGTTGGTGGGAGGAAAGCTATACGAAAGAAAACGGAGATAGCCGAAAGAACGTGGTGGGAGGGGTGGCTGAGACCCTAGAGGGGGTATCTAGGGACGGGCAAGCAGGTAGCGGCCAGATGACCGCTCGAAACAGCTGAACTTTACTCGTCGATAAAAGTAAGAAAATTTGAGAAAATCGAAAAAACAATTACAGCCTGCAAATCTACAGATCAGAAGCTTTCATTTAGAAAAAACCCCATGCAAATCGGTCCGGTGGTTCTCTCAAAGTTAATGTCCCAACATGCGGACTTTAGTCTGAATAAATGGGAGAAAATTTGAGCCCGGCTAAACTTCACTCGTCGATAAAAGTAAGACAATTTGAGAAAATCGAAAAAACGATCACAGCCTGCAAATCTACAGATCATAGGCTTTCATTTAAAACAAAAATCATGCAAATCGGTCCAGTGGTTCTCTCAAAGTTAACGTCCAAAGATTCGGACCTCCGTTTTAATGCATCGAAGAAAATTTGAGAAAATTATGGGAAAAAATTTGAGATAATCGAAAAAACGATCACAGCCTGCAAATCTACAGCTCAGGGGCTTTCATTTAAAAAAAAGATCACGCAAATCGGTCCGGTGGTTCTCTCAAAGTTAATGCCCCAAGATTTGGAACTTTGCATTTTAATATATAGGATTGGAGGTAATCAGATGTAATATTCAAAGCGACAGATGCTTTGATTTCTACATGTGACACCTATGAAGGCTTACATGTATGACTAAAAAATAAGAGTGAAAATGTTACTTGAGCCGTACAATTCTCACCAGTGTTATCACTACTACTGTTAGTGATACGAGTCTCTGTTGAGTGATGAGAGTAATGTGTGTGTTCTCCCTCACCATCCGACGAGTCATCACTTGAATCACCGGTGAAAGGCATCGATCTGATTTGACTAGCGCGCTGGAAAGAGGAGAGAAAAATAAAGGCATGATAAATAAAAAAGTCATCATGAACAAATGAAAAAATTAACTTTCTTAATATAGTTAAGACATGCAATAGCAGAAATGTCTTGAAAAATGGGAAGTATTAGGAGAAAAATTAACACATTTAGAATTCTAAAATGATATACTGTCGGCTAAGTCTTCGACTCTAAAAATACCAAAGTTGATACAAGTTATTCAATCACTCACCCTGAAATATTTCATTATGTTTAATATGTTTTTTAGTTGAAAACCGATATTTTTGCAGAAAGGCCAAAGCCATTTGATTTTGATTGGATTGTTAGTGATAGCTTTTACAACGGTCTATATTGAAAATGTTGCAAACGAAAACTATTAAAATTTGAGATCAGCATTTTAACTGATAACAGGAATAAAAGTATTTGCACGCCCACAGCGATCAATTTAGGTTTTTACTTCTACGTTCATTAGATAATGCTAGATAATTTGACAATAAGGGAGAATGAAGGTAATCATTTAGTGTTCCTGTACTGTGGAGAAATTTTTTTCCTTCTCATAGTGAATTTGTCTACATAAAGGAATGAGGAATTTTTCTCCTTATTTTATTTTGGTAAGGTCAAAAACAATTAAAGAGTGCATAAGAGGACATTTCTGACCAATCAACATGTGGCCATGTGAATTTTGGTCGGATGGCGAAATTTATAGCATAGAAATAGCGCTTGATCAGATTAGACCGCCAAATTAGAAATGGACTGATCCTCAAGCGGTAGAAGAAGGGATTCCCTGATTTTTCTTGTAAATTTTCATTCCCTGATGAATCCTGGTTTTCCCCGTTCTAGACACTATGGTGTGAACCCAGCACTATTTTACCACCTGTTATTTTACATAAAAAAACTTAGCCATGGAAATGTTTAGGAATTGATCAGATACTCACTCCTTTGACTGTTGCGTAAACAGGGACACTAATATCACAATAGCCAGAGTTCACTGCACGACCAGCATTATTGTTGCTGGAATCAGCCTGATCGGCGACATTTGTGCTGAGGCCTTCATTAGCAACTTGGTAGATCCTACTTTCCCACGAAGGAAACCTATGGAGTGGTGGAGTAGGAGGCTTGGCTTCGTTCTCCCAAGGACACTTTTCGTGGCTTGGTGTGTAGATTTCAGCGTAATCATGACCAACATCTGGTTCCACGATTTCCGATTTAGCTAAAAAATTGAAAAATAATCACAATTAGAGTATTTCATTACCCACAATATTTCCTACAAAAGAGAAGATTTCTTTCACTTGAACCACTCGCAAAATTTTATCAAAACAAGCTGAATGCCACTTTTGCTCAGTTGTTATGGTAGAGCATTACATTAGCTCACATTAGAAAAATGCATAGCCTCCAAGTACCGATTAGCAAATTTCTTTAAGAAACAGCCCTGCCAAAGAGCCATGATATGAAAGACACTACTAAACACTCATTCATTTTGTATCTCCTATTTGCTTTTTCTACTTCATTTTTATCTCTAATTTTATTCCTTGATAAAGAAGGAAAAAGGGTAATAATGTGCCGCCCGGCAAGTGGTTGCCTGAAGTAGATGCGGAAATGTTGTCACAATGTAACAGCCAAAAATAATGTTGCGGCAACGTTGCAGCAACGTTGTGGCAATGTTATTTTTGGCCGTTGCCGGACGGGGTGGCCATTAGGCATATTATGAAAGTGAGTTTAGAAGAAATACAATTATTATGAGTCCCTTGTAAATAATTGACACCTTATAGTTTTAAAATCTGACTCCATTTTAATTAATTTTCTTCTCTTTTGTAATGTTCTAAAAAGGATGGCTGAGGTGATCAAAGGTTTTTTAGGATACTTACGCCTAATATGGACGGGTAACAATGCAAGCGATTCGACAGCCGCTTGAAGCTCATTATTGAGCTCTGGCTGAGGATTGGTGTTGTTTGTTGAAGGAATATTGCAAGCAGAGAGATGTCTCCGGTGTCCGAGGATAGTAGAGGATACAGCCGCATTTGTTGGAGCTGCTAAGGCACTGGTTGACATTTTGTTTGCTGGTTCCACATGTTTCCGCTGCCGGTCAACTTCTGCATACACAGGTTCTGCATTGTCAAGAAGTGCACTGAAACAGAATGACAGACGTTGTATTAATTGATGAATCAAAATTACTCGAGACTGAATGGGATCAACACGAGCTATCATCCACTAAAAATAAAATCGATGACAAACATGCGTTCATGAAAATAAAAATCAGCGTTTAACAAAACAAGAAGAATAATTAAAACAGCGAATTACTTGGTACACTATCCCTTCAGCTGGACTGTGCAGACTAAATTTCACATTTTTATCAAATTAATTCCTTCCAAGTTTTTTATTCAAGGCACTATGAGAATATCAAGTAAGCTTCGATTGAGACTATATGGATGTTTGGCATTCTGTGGCATTGTTCAAATAGGGTTATTATGCTGATAATTAGAGGTTAATTAAGTGTCATTTGCATACATACTGAATTTTTAATTATTAATCAACTAAAGGGCCACACCCCTTGATTGCTTTGTGGTCCATCTCCCCGAGGCAAAAGGCCCCTCAGGCATTATGCGTTACCCTTGTGATTTCATATTATAGGGTAAAATATTGTGGAGTATAATGCCTTCTCTTTCTTTTTATTGGCAGTTTTTGACAAATATTTGAGAGTTATTACTTTGAAATTAATTCTTGAAGATGGCGAACAGAGTAGATTGAGATAATATGCTCTTGGCAAACTTTTCAGAAATATATTGGACAGCTCTATTTTTACTGCACAAGCGAAGTAGACAAAACTCAGTTTCAATAGATTACTGCTATCCTCTTCAACTTTAAAGGTTTAATGGCTTTAACAAAAATAAAATACAAAAAAATAGGCAATTTTCATTCGTTTCAACGCGAGACTTTGTATTTGCAATTCGAGTGATTTTCCAATCAATAGCCATTAAATTTCTAGATGGCCAAAGTGCGAAACCATGTACCTTGGTTTGCGACATTGTAGGTAGACTTCCTCACACACTTAATTTTATTTTTAGAAAAATATTTGACATAATTTCTAAAAAATTTCCCTGATTTTTCTTCTCTGTTAGCAGAATATTTTGTATGAAGTTGACTTTTTTCTCTTCAAAATTTAGGATCAGAAATTTTGAAACATCGCAATGGAGGTACATGGTTTCGTACTTTGGCCATAGATTTTCTGATGGTTTATCCAGATCCAAAAAAGCCTTTGACTTACTGCGTTGATCCAGTGCTATTGACACGATGGAGGGAGGAGGAGGAGGCGGCCAGCCGGTTGGCACTCAGCTGGGCCATGTGCCGCCTGAGGAGCTCCAATTGTTGATTGCACTTGTGATTCTGCTGCCGCAGATGATCGTTCTGAGCCTCCAGCTCTCTCAACTTGTTCATCACCCATTCCTTGATGCGTGCTGCTTTCGCTTCCACTAGCTTGGCCTCTTGTAATCGCAGTTGCCGCTGTAAAAAAAGGTGACGACATAACTTTTTAGAGGGATATTTTGAGACGCAGCACATCATTGGATATAAGAGAATGGAAACACACCGACTCGGAGAAAATGAAACGGTTCGGAAGACAAAAAACTGCAGAGGGAAAAGAAGTTGGTCTAAGAAAAAGCTTTTTGGTGCCACAAAACAATTACTCGGGGACATTTTAAAGGCCCAAATTGACATGGATGCGCCATCTTCGATTGCTTTTATGAAAATTGACCAATTTTAAGTTTCTTATTTATAGTGCGTTTTCATTCTAAAAAATTCGATTCTGATTTACAGAATATTATTGCTAGGTACTCGTGTTCAGCGGGTTTATGCGTGAAAAAATTTAGATTTCCGGAAGGTACACAAAAATATGGTAGTATTTGACAAAAGAAACAACACAAAATGTAAGGAAAAATGCTCATGTACCTATACAATGCTCGTTGATTTTTTTATTCATAAAAATACAGTAAAAGCTCGCTAAATCGAACTACGGTTAAAACGAACCGCCGATTAAGTCGAATTTTATTTCGGTCCTTACACAATTCCACTTAGCGAGCTTTTACTGTATAAGAAGGTCAAAGGCAGCGGCACCTGTTTGCATTGCGACGTGGCAAAGTTTCTTCTAACAACATGTTTCTTTACTAATTAATAGGTATATCATTTACATCAAGATTTTTTGGGAATTTTACGTGGAAAATTCAAAAAATTCTTTAAAAAAAGTGCAACTATTCTGGAGTAAAAAAATACATTGACAAGCGAAACTTCGAAACACTGCGATACAATTAAACCACTCTGGCTTTGACTCTTTCAATTAGGATTAGGAAGAATTTAATTTAGAAAACTTTCATCTTAAACGAGCAAATTTGACGACGAAGAGCTTACAAAGATCGAGATAGTTGAGTCTCTTTGATGTCTTGCAAAAAAAACTCATCTGCACTTGAACAAACTTCTTTAAAAACGCATTGCAATAGAAGCATCCTAAATCCAACAATCGGACTACATTTTGCAATAATAAGAAACTACTATTTCTGGTTCATTTAAGAAACAACGTATTCGTCATTCGTTCCCCCAGGCAGATGGGTGCTTTTATCGATGAGCCAGAAATGGAGGCACGTGCTTATTGCAAAATGAAGTCATTACATTTCCCTTGGAAGTGAAATAAATGGAAACGAAGTAAATTTAGAGGGGCAAGAAATTTTTCTCCTTGGACTCCCCATCCCTTCTTATTAAAAATAAAAGTTAATATATATAAAAAGAAAGAGGGGGGAGGGTAAAATACCTGCTCTTCAACTTGTGTAGCTAGTTTGGTTATCGTCTGTTCTTTATCATTGGTGTTCGCATCCACGTCTCTGTCTACAGGCAGATTCCATTCCGCCTGTCCGAGCTTTTGCTCCATGACTCGAACCTGAAACAAAATAAATTGACAAACTTGAAGAGAAAGTAATGCAAAGTGAATCAGTTAGAAATTTTCATCAAAAATATTCAAGTAACAACATGCACTCACTCCATGATCACAGGTCCTTTAGACAAAACGAACCAAACTCCGTTACTTTGAATATTCATAGAATATTCTCAAGGAAAAAATTAAATTGCTAATTTAACAATGTAATCTCTGAAAAAAAAGTAACTGCGATGTTTCAATGTAGATTTTACAACCAAAAAAAAAATGCTACTTTAACCACCCCTGTGGTTAAATTAGCTTACAATAGTGGTTGAAGTAGCATTTTTTTGTAGTAAAATCTACGTTGAAACACCGCAGTCACTGTTTTAAGCAACTTAATTGTTAAATCAGTAATTTAATTTATTCCGTGTACGCTGTACGCACGCAGACGAGAGATCACTGATTTTTTTTTTATTTTTTTTTTATTTTTGAGATGAAGCTTTCGTTTTTTGTACAAAGAAAAAAGAATAACGTGATATTTGGAACGTGGAAAACGGGGCTACGCGTTTTTCTAGTTCCACCGTTCCACCGTGCCATCGTCACAAAAGGAAGCGCCTTCAGCAACGCGTGGATGCGACTATTCTAACTCCATGGATGGCCATGTTACATAAGCTAAAAATTGAAGGCGCGACTACTTCCTTCCTTCTGAATGCGATTACCCAATGCGTCGTTCAAATCACAACTCTATTATCCTTGGCTCTTGCATAATCTTGCAACTGCAAGATTAATGTGTGGAGGGGGGGGGGAGGACGCGCTTAACAAAAAGGTCGATTCGTCTAACAAAAGAGTGATGGAGATGTTGACTTTCCAGCCGACGATTTTTCAATGTGATTATTTCGCCGACGGGGAGTAGGTGGAAAAATAAGACAGGATATTAAAATTTCGGGAAACAAAATTTTCCGTGAGGTGCATACGGCTCTTCTGCCGTGCTAAGGAAGAACGCCGTATGAACCTTCAGGCGTTGCCAAATTTTCCCTTGCAAATGACTAATTTTCAGGCAATTTTTTGAATATTTGCCTTCCAATTTCTCAGATAAATTTGTTTGTAATTTGATCTAAAACTTCTGAAAATTTCAAGGAAAAAGATTCATCATTTTCCTCAAAAATAAACATTTTATCGAGGGAAATTTGGCAACGCTCGAATGTTCATACGGTGTTCTTCCTTTGCACGACAGACTTAGCGTGAGGCGTGACTCTTGCTCCACCGTACTAAGGAAAAACGTCGTATACACGATCTCACGTTGCCGAATTTCCTTTGATACACATACATTTATAGAAACGTTATGAATAATTCTACGATTTCAGATCCCATACAGCAATCTGAAAATAACAGTCTCTGAAAAATTGGAAGAAAATCAATCACAAGCCTTCCAAAAAATCATATTTCATTAGAAGGAAATTTGGCAAAGTCTAAAGGCTCATGCGGGGTTTTTCCTTAGCAAGTCCTCTGCTCGTACTTCTGATTAAAACGAAAGCAGTTTAGCAATTTTAGAAAGGATTCCAACAGTAGTAGGAAAATAGGCATTAACCCCCACAAATTACACGGGCCTTATGGGGCTAAAAATACATTGTTTCTTATGGGATGCCCAAATCTCAAGCCCAAATTTAACACAGGAACATAGGATTTTCATTTTACATACAGGGCCGATTCGCCGAGGCTCGAGCCCGGGCCTGCGATAGATCGATTAATCGAGCGATCTATCGACCTATCGATTGCGTCACCCTTTGCCTCGTCTCTTCCGCGACATTTGTGGCCTTATCTCCCCGAAAAAAAAGCCACCCGAGGTAATCGATCAAAGAGACGGGGCAAAGGGTGACGCAATCGATAGGTCGATATATCGCTCGATTAATCGATCTATCGCAGGCCCGGGCTCGAGCCTCGGCGAATCGGCCCTGTATGTAAAATGAAAATCCTATGTTCCTGTGTTAAATTTGGGCTTGACATCCCATAAGAAACAATGTATTTTTAGCCCCATAAGGCCCGTGTAATTTGTGGGGGTTAATGCCTATTTTCCTACTACTTCCAACATTGAGTTGAAGAAAGAATCTTGCAAAGAAAAGTAAATGAGCGGGGTGTCTACGAAAACGGACTGACCAGAAATGAGTACTTCTTCAGTACTTTTTCAGTACATTCCCAAGAAATTCAGTGCCTCCTCAACAGAAGTACCTCCAATTGACGAAATTCGAAAAATCTCAATTTCTCGCTCAAATTGCGACACAAATGACAAAAAATGAAAACAAATTCCGGACCTTTTTGTGGAATTTCAGCACTTTTTCAGTACTTCCGGACCGCCCTTAAAAAATCAGTACTATTTCCGGACTTGTAGATACCCTACTGAGAGATAAGGGGAGGGAGAGAAAAGAGAGGAGGAGAAAGGGAGAAAGAAAAAAAAAAACCACAAAACCTAGAATTATAAAAAAAAAATATTTAAAAAAATCGACGAATACAGGAAAGAACTACAAGGTGTCACTGCTTGCAAAGAGCAGGTTATTTAAGACATATTCAGGCAATTTATTCTGCCCATGGACAGTCTACAAGGAATTTTCGATTCCATGCTAACTTGCACACAGCGAGTAAAATCCAGTTCATTCGGCGAAAGCACTCATTTCAAGGTAATGAAAAATGCAAGGGGCTACCTAGGCTTTCAGCGAAGATACTAGCACACTATTACATTCTCTACTAGCACACTCGCACCCTCCCGCAACATTACACCATCTGAGATAGCGATTTTGAAATCGAGATATGTACTATTCAGCTATCTCCCGAGTATTTCCCAACGCAATTTTCCAAGGCGCACGAGAATACTGGACGGCCGAACTCAATTATTCTGAATTAAAAATTTTGTGCAAAAAACACTCAAGCCCCTATAAGATACTAGACATGTCTAGGACAACCGGACTTCATTTCGCAATAGGGAACCACTACTTCTACCTCGTTTATAAAAACACCTATCTGCATAAGGAAACTAGAGGGAAAACGTTGTTCCCGAGCGTTAAGGAGCCAAAACTAGTGGTTCTTTTTTACACGATGCAGTCCAAAAAAATTAGACTACGAGGAATTCTGACTTTTTCTCTTTGTCTATCGAATCGTGAAACCTCATCGAAAAGTGCGGATCTGAGGCCGGAAATCCTCTGGAAACAAAACAGGGTGAGGTTTAGGATTTTCCTTTAAAAAAAAAATCGAGGCACTCGGTAAAAAGCGAGAAAATTCAGCTTACACTCAGTTCAGGGCGCTGGAGAGGTCAGCTGGACATGGAATCACGGCAGCCCTTGCAAAGCTCCGCGAGAGAGGTTATGTCGCCACCGAAATCACACCCGACCCGAAATCGCTTGCCGAGGGGGGTCGACTCGATCGCGGCATCCCGAAAAACCCTCCGACACAGAATCAACGAAATCCGAAAAATCTTGGTTGGCACGTCACGGGATCCCGAAAAATCGCGTTTCATTCATTTTTGAAAGGCGACGAGCGGAGCGGCGTAGGGGCCACGGCGGGCGGGACTGAAGGGAGAGGAGGGGCGGGGGGACAAAAATCGATGGCACCCCTCGTTCCGCGGCGGAGGCGCTACCCTCCCGCGGCCGGTTGCCATGGTGACCGTCGCGGTGCGAGGGACGCCGACCGCGGTCCGCGTCCGAGACGGGGAACGGAACGGGAACGCGGGATGGGATGGCCCGATGCCCGGCGGCGTTCCAAGGTCGACACCCCGGGGGTTCGCTTTTACGAGGTGACGTCACTCGCGATCAGCTGATGGTGGTCACCACCGGCCTGGCCCAGATTTCCCGTTTCCGGGATGATGCGGATCTCAGTTTCCGGTGCGCTTTTCGATCCGGGTTCTGTGACCTCTCGTGGGACACAGAAGCAACCCGGGGTGCCCACGGCAGGATTGCCGCGGAATTTGGCGGATGAAATTCCCTGACATTTCCCTGACACACTTGAGTAAAATTCCGTGACGATTGAAGATATCCCAGATGATTAAAAAGACATAATTTGGATGAAATTCCCTGAAATTTCCCTGATTTCCCTGACACATTTGAGTAAAAGTCCATGACGATTGAAGATTTCCCAGATGGTTAAAAAGACATAATTTGGATGAAATTCCTTGACATTTCCCAGATTTCCCTGTCACATTTGAGTAAAATTCCCTGGCAATTGAAGATATACCAGATGGTTAAAAAGACATAATTTGAAATAGTTTTCAGGCGAAATTCGATGTTTAAAACGTCAAACCCATTCTATAAAGAAAATAAAATTGAATTAACAATTTTTCCCTGGTACTTCCATCATTTTCCCTGACACTTCCAGGTTTTCCACGACTTGTTTAAATTCCCTGACATTTCCCGGTATTCCCTGACTGTAGCAACCTCGCCACGGAGATTCGGCATTGACATTCTCGCACATTTCTACGTTTTCTTAGACTTTTTCAGATTTCCTCTAATTTTTGTAAATTTTCCCTGACTTATTCGGGTTATCGCAGACTCTGATTCATCCAGTTTTCACCTAACTTTTTCAGGGCCTCCTTGACTATTTTAGGTTTTGTCCAGTGTTCGAAACCTACCTCTTGAGTTTCAGGAACCATGTGGCCCATCACGCTCTATCTTTAGGGGACAAATTGACTTTTTGCCTGTATATCATGGCGCATTTCGTGAAGTTAGAATCCGGTGCCGTGCGTTGCATTTTCGACAAATCACCAAATAGAAAAATTAGGATTTTTTTTTAGGGAGGAGGGAGGGGGTGCAATTCTTAAGGGCCACATTGGCGTAGAGCATTGATTTTTCAGGCTCCATGGCCGATTTCTTGGGCGAATTTGAAGCGTTGGTGCCTGTGAATTTCGAACACTGGTTTCGTCTGGCTTTCCAGATTTACCTTGCCCTTTGCCCCATTGCTAACACAGCAAAATTATTGAAAGATGGTAATCATCATCAGTTTCTAGCGATTGCGATAGTTATACTATATATTCTCGATCATTT